AAAAATGAAAGAGGGGAGGCGAGGTATGGTTGCCTATGATGTTCAAAAAGGGGTTGCATATGTCTGCTGAATATGACGTACCCTGTGAAATTGAATTGTTTGAGAAAAGCAGACTTGTGCTCTTAACAAAATCGGAAGGGGTGTTCGTGGGGGTTTCTACTATAAAGGGATAGATGCACAAGTGGGATACGTGAGTAGGCCTAAGCGATGAATCAGTTAGTCGTGTCATTTGAAGTTCAGGCTTCTTTTTATTTGAATATCTAATAATTCATTACATATAAGTAGTTAATAGGGCTCTCTTTAACTTTTTTCATGAATGTTTTTATGTTTTTGGGCGGAACTATAAAAATACAGAACCTATAACCCTCTCGTTGTGGTTGTGTGTGACTGGAGAAGAGGACAGGCACGGCGTGGTCTATACTCTCCCACCACGCCCCCCTTTTTCGTCCTTCCATGTATGAGATTTCACGTCTTCATAATTGTTTTGCGGGGAGACTGACTGAGAAATACAGTTGCAACCACAACTTTAGCATCCATATCTTTATGGATTGTCCAATTTACTACCAGCTTGACGGCATCGCAGTCTTCTCATTTTTGAATATATTATTCTGTTCCAACCTTGGATATCAGTTCTCTTCCTTGAAATTTCAAATCTGGAGGTGAAATTCCGGCCTTTTCTTTCCCTCTCATAGAGTTTTAATATATGTGTTGATTCGCAATGTTGCTCTTCGCGTCGATTCAAACTAAAACCTTTGGAACTAGGTATTTTTTGACTTGTGCACAAGAAATCATTCAATGATAGGTATTTTGGGAAGCTCTCTGACCAAAGTCATAGGTGATCACCTGATTAAACCGCAGGAGCGACTTTCGCGCAAGTGTGCAAAACAAACCCTTGTCTTTTAGCGCCTTCGTGTCACAGCCACATGAATTTGTTTGCTCAACCTGCGGTGATAACTTTTGCCATACAGAAATAATGGTGTTTTCTCGTCGCTGGTAACCATTAAAACCATCTGCCAATCGCTCTTTCCTGGCATCAGTTGTCACGCATCAAGCTTCTTGAATATTCCTTACTTGTAGAGTCAAGGATACAACTTTCCAGATTTGTTGTTGCACTTTGTCACCGGTAGGCATCGCCGAGGCCTTAAGGACATGACGATTGCGTCAGGGAATCCTGAGGGTGTCTCTTCCACTTGAACCGAATTGATAAATTGATAGGACCTCCGCCTTTACCTCACCTGAAAGCCCTCATCTTGGATCGCGATAATGGAACTCAATCCCAATACCAGAACTTCATCACGAGGCTTTGCTTCATCGAATGGGCATGAGAAGAACTTGGAAAAACCAGACTCTCAAGACGTATTGGAGCTCGCTCCGAATAGATCGACAGAGCCATTTGGTTTTGAACCTTTATTTGACAAATCACTCAATAATTTTAGCGGAGCCTTACCTCACCTAAACCTTCAATCCCCAGAACTTCACCCAGAAAGCATGGCTGTGCTGAACGATCGATGGGCAAACACCATCGATCCCGATGATCTATTTTCAGCGTTTCAAGAGTTTGAGACTAGTGCTGGTGGTGAAAGCTCAGATGTGTCTGCGTATTCGTCAATCTCCTCGAACGATACTCCTTCGTCTAGAATTTCAGACATGTCTGCATGTTCGACAATCACCCCAAATGATACTCCCGCATCTAGCAAGTATGAGTATCCAGATCCCACTCGCTATTCATATGATGGAGTGAACCTTGATATGGGCGGTAATTTCTTTGATCGTGAATGGATGCAACTTACATCTACCGCCGGAACTATTGAAAAGCCCCCTACCTATCCCCTTGACGAGATTTATGAGCTCGATCCGAGTAGTCAACTTCCTGCCACCGTCCTTGGTGGTCTCAGTCAGCGAGTAACCAACGTCGGAAATATTTTTCGTAGCAATTATGTAGCACAACACCAAACCCCGATGCAGAGTTGGGGAATTACCAGCTGCAAGTCTCAACCATTTCTTCGAGAACAAGATCGGGTCGAACACGAAAATAAAATGCACCCTGGACAAGAATTAACCTTGGGCTCTGGAAGAGATCAAAACTTCGCATTGATCCGACATCCTGACGTTGAAGCTGATCGGAAAACGTTTTCTGGTTCCAATCAATTGTCACAAAAAAGGCAAAACAACTTTCCCCTCTTAAAAATAGGGTTACATTTTATATCAGTAGCTTTCTACCAAGTTTCGCTAACTAAGTTATTTATTGCAGCACGAACCACCAGGAATATTGTCTCGTTGATGAAAACGAAGAAATATACCGATCCAAAGACAAAACCACGCCCCCCGTGTCGGAATCACAGCCAAAAATGCACTTTCAGCTTGGAGTAGTAGAACAAGGGGAACGTCAGTCATCTCTTGCATCTCAAATAAGTCACGCGGATAACGATTCATCTGTACCCACTGAAAGACAAGGATCTGCCTTAGCTGATAGTGATTGTTCCGCCGGATTTGAAACCGATTCCACTTGGTCAGAGGACTGTAGTGACTGGGCAGAAGATGAGATTGATATCCCCGCGGTCTATGAACATCTACAACAGTTCAAAAGCAGCTCTTATCAAAGCTCAACACCAGGTAAAGAAGATTCGAGCCTGCAAGTCCAGCTGTTATTAAGTCCAATGAGAAGGCAAATTGTGGATAGAATTATGAAAGAGTTCTGGATTATTTTCAACCAAGAATGGTCTGCCAGTTTTCAGAAACATTCTGGCGGGTCGCCGCAATCGACATCTTCGTCAGTCTCCCAACATAACAGCAAAGCTAAAAAGCAGAGTGGCCATCAGCAAGGAAAGCGCTGCAGAGAAGATGAAAACAATGAAGATCCCGAGGAGGACGAGGGAAGAGACTCAAAGCGACCGAGATTAGACTTATCGCCTCGTAAAGCTCCTGAGAATCACCTCAAATTTGCTTGCCCTTATCGAAAGCACAATCCTCGAACGTACTGCCACCGATTTCGCCGCTGGCGGTGCTGTGCTTTAAGCCCCTTAGATACAATAGCACGGGTCAAGTTTGTCTTCCTTACAGATCAAAGACCCTAAACTAATCTAGCCTAGGGGTCACTTGTATCGATACCATCGCATATTCCAATGACCGCGATGTGAGACGCTTCATGCCGGCCCGGATGATCTAGAACGACACACCCTTGCTGTCAAATCATGCGAGCTCAACCATGAGCCACCAGCGGAAGGTATCACCGACAGCATTGAAAAGAAATTGAAAAGTAGGAAAAAGCACACCGAGCCCAGTCACAAGCAGAAAGGTGGCAAGAGCTCTATAGGATATTATTCCCAAGAGAAGAGGTTCCTTCGCCCTGTAAGTGCTGAAAACTGTGCACTTTCTATGTTTTTTGTATTGAGTTATCCTTCATCTTTCAAAAACGTTTGAACGCATCACCACTAACAGAAATGAAAAATAGACTACGAAACAACCAGAGACGACATCATATGCTCACCGGAATCGGAAGAGCTTGCCAGCTATGAAGAATATTCTCGTCGGGAGCTACCGCGATTCTTTCAGAGCGCTCTTGAAACAGCCATTGCCAATGAAGCGCAACCTATCGAAGAGCGGCTGAGAAGCCAATTGGTTGGCATGATCCAGGATTGCCAGGATCGAGTATTTGCAACCTACAAGGCCAATCGAAGCGTAAACACATCGATGAGCAACTCGCAATCACCCCTCCAGGTCGACGATAATAATGATGGCAACTCACAGGATGGCCGCACAGGAATTATCAGATCACTATACGAGCGCGTTCCTTCACAGACTTCAAATAATTTCCATCCAGAGCCAGCACTTGCTACAAATTTCTCGTCCGAAAATGCGCCCTCCGACTCTGGTTATGTTAGCGAGCGCCTCGCACCAAATTCAGAATCTACGAAAACTACAGATGTACTAACATCTGATTCTGTGATAGCCGACAGCCAACAAAACCAGCATTCAAGTGATGCCACACAAGAGGACGAGATGATCACAGCCCTGTCCTTTCCAATAGAAGAGGTTTCCTTGCAGCAGATGAACGGATACGAATTTCAAGACATGCTTTCCTTCAAAATAGATCAGCCATTTTCTTTTGATGAAGTATTTGATGGTTTCAATGTGGATGACTTCATGCCACTGAACGGCGAATTGGTCCAGGAGAATACAGATCGAGAACTGTTTTCTTAGGAAGATAATATTTTATTTTGTAAAGATCATTAAAAATATAAGCTTCTACTGTATGTTTTTGCATTATTGCATTCAGAGTCTGTAAGTTTAATCGAGAAAGATTTCTAAGGCGGTATCAAGATTTCTTAGTTTCGCTGCCATTTTTCATTATTTCTTTACTACAATGTTCCTTAGGTCACAACCGTATGATGGTTGCTAAACCGAGCGGAAGAGTCATGCTTGATAGGTTTCAAGGCCACAGCCTCTGTGCATGAATTACCTTCGGTTGCCACAATAGGTAATACCTCTTTGTATATAGAATCGTAGCTTAGCACGCCCTTATATCCGTCGGGATCTGGAGATTACAGGAAACTCGGAAGTCAAGTGATATAGAATTAAGTATGCTGAGTAAGTTGGTGTTCTCACCCCTGAATTGGGAGGTCCTCGCCGCAGTTGAGGGGATACTCGTATGTACATGCAGTTAGACAGGGGGGTTATCTGGAAACTGCAGAGTCCACATTGTGCCTAAATGCACGTGGGATCCCACTCAGGTATCACGAACGAGGCTGAGCTCGGTGAGGGGCAATTAAAGCAAACCAAAAAACCTCTAAATGAGCGCTATTTTGATAACCTGATAGCCCAGTTCCCATCAGTCATGATAACTGGTCTTCATACCTGTTACCAGTTCCGCATTCATCAACCTTAAAGCACCGATGGATCCATTTACAGCGATAGGCCTGGCCTCAAACATCATCTCGTTTCTGGATTGTGGCGTGAAGATTATTCATAGCGCACGATAGATCTAAGATTCATCTACTGTGATGACAGAGAAAAGCAGCCACTTGGAGTTCATTGCAACAAAGACGAAGCAATTTGCTTCGAATCTTGTTGCACCAGAAAATTCTGCGAAGGACCAGAATGAGAAAGATCTGTGCGACATTGCATTAGAATGTCGCCTCATATCGGTGAAGATCATCAAGCTGTCAGAAAAACTCAAAGCAAGAAATTCGAATTCGAAATTTCAAAGCCTTATCGCAGGTGTTAAAACGAAGTATCGCGGGTCAGAGATAAGCGAGTTGGAGACTAGACTGTCTAGTTGTCGAAGCCAGCTTAGTCTTCAATTTCAATATTCAACGAGGTTAGGTTGTCTTTACATGAACTTTTGATCAGATACTGAATGATTCATACTGTAGTTCCGAAATGAAAATCCAAGTGAAGAATTTGGTCAGACTCTCTGAAGCAGACAGTAGCAAACTCCAGCAACTTCAAAAACAAATAGAAAGCCTCAAAAATGGAGCAACGATTACTTCTTTTAGTTCAGAATCCAAAACCCAGCTGAAAGGTTTGTTGGGAGTTTCAGAAAGTGCTTGTGAAGTTATCTTCCAACAGCGGATTTTGAGAAGTCTCGCATTTGCCGGGATGTCCGGAAGATTCGATTCTGTGCCTGAAGCACACCAGGAAACATTCAAATGGATCTTCGAAGCCGATGGGAATAAAGACAATATATTTGATCATTCTGGTCCCAGGTCTTTTACAAATTGGCTGTCTTCAGATGAGGGTACTTTTCATATCACTGGGAAGTTAGGTTCTGGAAAATCGACATTGATGAAGTTTTTGTGTGACCATGAGAGTACCCAAATAGAGTCGAAGAAAAGGGCAGGTAAGGATTTGATGTCAATCGCTGGACTATCTCCTTTTTTATACTGTTAATGAGTGCTAACAGTTTTTTCGAGGTGATGGAAGCCTTGTATTGGCAAAGTTCTTCTTCTGGAAACGAGGAAGCCCGTTACCAAAGTCACTCGAAGGATTATATCGGTCTTTACTTCACGACGTCTTGAGATCATGTCCAGAATTCATACCCGATGTACTCCCAGATCGTTGGAAGGAAGTCAAGTCAATGCCGTGGCAAGTTCAAAATCAACTAGACATTGGTGCAAAAGAAGCAAAAGAAGCTTTTACTCGCCTAACTTCCCATACAACGCTGTATAAAGACCACTGTTTTTGCTATTTCATCGATGGTCTCGATGAGTACGAAGAGACAACCGAAGATGACTATAAATCGATGGTGGAAACACTTGCTGGATGGACAAATATATCGCACCGTGTAAAGATATGTATCTCCAGTAGAGAATACAACGTTTTTCTAAATGCCTTTTCTGGCGAAAGACGCATTCGGCTTCAAGACCTGACCAAGAGAGACATGCAGAGATATGTCAGGGAAAGATTGCACAGTACGGGCGACGCAAAATCAGAAAGGATTGTCAACGAAATTGTCGAAAAAGGAAAAGGAATATTTTTCTGGGTTGCTTTAGTCGTCAAAAACTTTCAGGCTTGTTTTGAAGATAGCCACGAATTATCGGAACTCGAGAAACTCCTAGATACTCCCTTAGAAGAGCTGAACAATCTGTTTAGTCATCTTCTCGGATCCCTAGAGCAATCATATCGGAAGAGGGCGGCGCTAATATTCGCAATGACTGAAACAGCTCGTCAGTTCGCCGAATTTGCCTCTCCCAACTGCGAAAACAGAGGTCTGTCACCAATGTGCTGCTCATTCCTTGATGATTTTGATGAGGATCCCTTGTTTGCCACAAGGACCCCATATCGCTATTTCAGCATGAATCTCATAGAGAGGGGAAAAAGAGAAGCACATGCAATGAAACGGATCAATGGGTACTGCAAGGGATTATTGGAATTTGAAGATAATGACGTTTTGGGGAGAGCGTTTCTGTCTTATACGCATCGCTCAGTACCAGAATTCCTAAGGACTGGAGACTGTGCAAAGGATACGAGCTTTAATCTTGAGGGCATTGTTGTCGAAGAAGTCATTTGTCAACTTTGGCTCGGTGATATTCGTACTACTGCTCCTCACAGTATCTCCAATAAGCAAATGGGCTGCTACGCGTTTGCTATCGTCGAAATGAGTAATCGATGTAAAATTAACCAGTTCCTGTTCCTCTTACTAGAAACGTTGAGCACAGCCGTTACATTGCATGAACTTGTCATAGAATCCGATGATAGGTACGAGCACAATGCAGTGGTAATTCATTGTCGCAGCGAGATATTATTCACATCGTGTCGAGTTGGCTACTCCGATAACACACGGCCCTACAGAGCAAGGGTTGCAATATCAAATCCCATCCACCTGGCAGCATTTGTGGGAGAAACGAAGTATGTACGATGGAAGCTGGAAAATGATCCATCAATTGTTGCGTCAAATAATCTAACAACACTCTTGATTTGCTGTTCAATGTATTCAGATCAACTCATTCTACATGAAGAAATTCTGAGGCGCGGCGTCTCAGCAGAAGCTATGATTCACAAGACTCGGGGACCAAATGATTTTCTAGATGCAATGAGCTATTGGGTTCATTTATTTTGCAACATTCTCTGCTATTTCTTGCCAAATATCGATAGCATTGAGAGGCAAGCTGTCGGGAAATGTATCGAGGCCTTCCTGAGGTACGGTGCGAATCCATGCCTATCTGCTTTCATTTCCAAAGAAAAATCCGGAGACAGCAATTTACCACAAATTGAAGAGAAGGAGACACTAAATATCAAATGCGATAAGATGGTCTTTCGAGCTCTTGAAAAGGATTCGGGATATAGCCGTTTATCTGGTTTTCGTAAAAATTGGTGCGCCAAAGGCGGAAAATGGAAATCATTTGTTCTCGATGGGGAGGCAATCAGCTTCAGGGAATTGGTCCTACAATTCCAATTCGACAATGAAGCAACCATTCTGCAGTTAATTGATGCGTACAACCTCAAGAACCCCAAAGAAGAAAGCAGGGAAACACCCGGCATGGAAACAAGGGAACCACACGAAGAAGAGAAAATAAGCGAGGATCCTTCCCAGCGGCAGAATCAAATTGAGCAACCGAACTCAAAAATGGCAGACGTAAAACACAAAAAGCAAGCATTAGACCACGCCTGCTCGGAGACACTAACGACACGTCGGAAATGGATACTTTCCATCGTGCTGTTGCTAGGTATGTCAATTCATGGATAATTCTACAATTTGAGTGTTAATTACAGCCGCTAACAAGGATTGATATAGGAATGACTTCTGCTATTGTGATGGCGTGGCTGTTTTACTATTGACTTGCTTTGTCTTTTGTCAACATCAAATGAATAACGAGTTTCCTATTTCCTGATGAACAGAAAGCGCCCAGGAATGAATGAGCGATTGGCTACACATGCCCCCTTCTTAGCTGACAAAAGTATACTCCCTGTATTTGTGGTAGGATATACCTAATCCTGAAAGATCATAACCAAAGCATAATTAGCGCGGGGAAATCTTACACCCTTTTCAATAAAGAAGGAGAAAAGCAGTGAATATGTCAGATAGTTAAACAAATTTCATTACACCACCTAATCCAGAGCACAAATACCGAAGTCTAATGTCCTGATTGTAGTACCATACAGGAAATGATTATATCAAACAAAAACCCCAATCGTGAATACCGCCCCTTTCAAAAAGACAAAGTATAAACAACGAAGATGGCGGCCAAGTGATGTTCTTCATGAAGCCCCAGGTATCCTGAAATCCTAAGCGCCAGTGTAGAATAGCTGCGATGTTCCTCTAGCCGAGTGAAAAGTTGCTGGTATTGTGCTGAAGACTGCAATTGAATTAGATTTTGTATGAATCATTTGTATAGAGAAGGACTTACAAATTTGAACGCTGACCTTCCCAAAGAGCAGGTATGTAGTTGACTTAAGCCTCCTCGGCGTAGATAGAGGGTCCATTGGGACGAGTAATGTATGCCGGAACCTTAAGAAGTCCTTGAATGAGGCGATCATGCTCCCCGACAGATAAAGAGAGAAGCCAACTCTCGTAGACAGCCCTGTCATATCTTCGTTGTTCAATAGCATCGTCGTACTTGTAAGGGCTGTTGGCATCTGTATAAAGCTTGGTGACTTCATTAAGGTCAAGGTTAATCGCGCAGACGAAATCCATGCTTGGATAGCAAGGGACGCGACCACGGAGAAACTGTTCTATATCATGATTATCCATTTTGTAGCAGATGGAAAGTTGCCGGATGTTGCGATAGAGCCCTAGCAAGTTGGACTGCATTACTTTGTTGATGAGTTCTTGGTTGCTTGGTCGTCCGGTGTGTTGGGATCCACCAGTAGTAGGGGTGGTTTTCAAGAAATGGGCGAGGTTGAAGAAGAATGGAGCGAATGTGGCGGCCATTGTTGTGAGATAAATATCTGTTGAAACGGGTGTTGTTGATGAAGTATAGTTGATGAATTAGAGTTGGGGAAAAGATTGGATGTTTGTATGTACGTGTGTCTTGATGATTTTACAAACCAACTGGGGAGAAGACTGATTTAATACGCAGATGAGCGACCAAACTAACAGCAGATCACCGCACCATGTTGAGCGGACAATGATGCTATATTTCGATTATCATAAATCTAAAATGATATCAGAGTGGTATTCTGACATCGAATTGTTCACCATGCACCAAACCGTTCCGATCTTGCATTTTGGCCTCGATGGTCACCACAAAGACTGGACGTCAGTGAAGGTTACAATACTCGTAGAAAAGAAAACCCCAAGAGACTCAATTCATCATTTCCTCTTTCTCTCTGCTCGAGATTATGAACCTATCCTTAACAGTGGTAGAGGAACGAAAATCGAGGTGGTATCCATATCGGTAAAACTCGCTTAAAAAACTAAAGGGGTAACTAACTTTTAGCTCCATGACTAGGCGCAGGAGCTAGGATTATGACAGTAAGCGCTCAAATCTTGTCAATGACGACGTAGAACAAAAGAATGAGCCCTTACGGGTTGGAAATCCCAGAACATGTATTCAATTTGTTAAAGTTTTAGCCCTCAGTCCGATATGGCAAACATAAGGAGGGTGGAAATAGCCGCATGATCAAGTCATAACTTACTCAAGTATAAGTCGGATAGCAACCCGACTTCTGATTGCCCAAAAATTGAACATGGGGGGAATAAGGGAAATCTAAACTCCAGGTCGAGTGACTCGCCATAGCTTAGAGGCCGTTTTCAAGCAACCAGCAACTAGGTCGCGATATCTCAACCGGAACACTCTCGAATGCAATGGCTCTTCATAGCTAGAGGCCGTTATCAAGCATATCAAGCATAGCTAGCCGCCGTTTCCAAGCGACCAGTAACTAGGTCGTCATACCCTGACCTGAACGTACTCCAACGGCTCGTCTTAGTCTCGAAGCCGTCTTCAAGCGATACACAGTTAGATCAAGATACTTCGGTCAACACCCAAGCCAGTGACTACATCTTTCGCGAGTACCCAATGTTAGTGCAGTGATTGCAATCACCGACTAGTTCTATGAGATAGCATAAATTTCGAAGGATTATCCGCATCCCCGCGAATTTCGGTACCAAAAATATCAAGCACTTTGAAAACAATCGCTTAGCCGACAACACACTTCATCAACACTCTTCATCATACTCATCATATCGAACGACATCCAAGTCACCCATCTTGTAAGAGCCAACTCCTTACACTTCCCTACTCTCCAGCTAACATACTCAACAGAAACAAAACGACTAAGAGGTATCACTCGACAACCCAGGAGACCAAGATAATCTCACCCACCACTTACCAACAACATCAACACCAATCTTTCACAGTAAGTGCACACCACACAGCTATCCAAACCCTCAATTGACTAACACTCCCAAGAAAAACCCTCCAAATGTCACGTCTCCACCCCTTCGGCGTCAGAATGCCCACCAGACCTGACTACCCCCTCCAAACACCCAAGCCCAAGCCATCCAACAGACGCACCGACCTCAACTACACCCCAAACGCCTATCTAGAGCTCGTCAACGCAACCGCACCACCACTACGCATCCACACAGTACCCTGCGACAAACCGCTCCCATACAACCTGCAAAAAGACCTCCAAATCCGACTGGGATCCATCAACTTCACAATCTTCGAAGACAGCACCGCAACACCCCTGCAATTGAGCCATCCTCGCAACAGAGAAGCTTCAAGACTGCTCGCCGCATTCAACAAGAAATATGCCCGAAACGTTAAGTTGGAAATGCTCATCCACCTCAACAAATGCGAGTACGAGTACATGCGTACAATCATGGACTGGATCCTCCCGCTGGCACAGCGAATGGACGAGGCGTGTGGAGGCTCCATGGTTCCGCTGATCAACAATTACAAACACAACTGCCACTTCTTCGAAACAGCGTATCTCACTAATCCAGTAAATACGATGAGGAAAGCTCAAGCCGAGGGACGAGTGAGGGAGTTTGAGAGTATGCAGAACCTGGTGGAGAGGACGGTTATGAAGTGTCATTTGCATGTCACGATGTTGTTGGATACTTTGATGATGGTGGCTTTTCGAGTGGAGGCCGCGAGTGAGAAAGGCTTCAACTTTGTCTTCCCAGAGACTCAGGATGCTCCTGAATGTGCAGAGGCTATTATGAAGTACGTCTCCGCACGAGGATGGGGAGTCTGTCTTGACGAGAAGCTCGACGAGTATTGGATGATAAGAAGGAAGGTCTGGGGTTCAATTGTGAGTAACTATCTTCTTTCAAATGGTAGAGCTACTGCTCTTCCTCAAGGCTATGGCAGAGTGAAACATATACTGATTTTATATAGACACAAATCCACATTGGTTATGACTTGATCAAGAATAACGAAGTTGAAAGGGGAAACTTCATACCATGGATGAACTCCATGATGAAGGCCGTGAAGGACAATGTCACTGAGCAAGATTTACGGGCATGGAGATGTCAGGAGCAGGATAGATTGGAAGGATTTGAATTTGGATTCGACTCTAAGGCACATATCTTAACAGAAGAGTCAATGACTGAGGAGGATAACTAGTCGACCAAAATCTTAGACTCTAATTCCGAAAAATGTTCAAAATATGATTCAAACAATCTGATGCCGTGTTCAACATCGTATGTGCCCCCGACTTCTCTGATGCTGTGCATAGAAAGTTGTGGATTTCCGAGATCCAATGTCCTTGTACCTAGAGCGGCAGAGAGCATTGGACCAATGGTGCTCCCACAAGGTGAATCATTACGCACAACGAAGAGTTGTAGAGGAACGCCATTTGCAGTTGTAGAATCTTTGCTTGGCTTGGCTCTGCGAGCAACCTGTAAAAGGATGATAGTTAGCAATGCGTTGTCAACGTGCATACCCGTGATGGGTGTAGTCCTTAAAAATGTATGAACTCTTTTTCTCAACCTCGACACAGAGAACGGACAGCCCCTAGATTGACGAACCTCTTGAATCAAAACTATACCAGGAGAATTTGTAGCATATCTCTGGTTTGCATTAATCTTGAGAACAGTTCCCTTGTTCATTTCGGGTCGGTGATCTGCCTCATACTTTGCTGTGTAATTGGGATTAATTGAATGTGCCATATCTGCAGAAACAAGGAAAGAAGTTGCAAGACTCTGCTCATAAGCGGTAGAGATATCAACCTCCCCATCTCTCGAGACCTTTTCGTATGACTTATCAGATGCAGAATCTTGGTGAGCTGGAAGGACAGCAAGTCTACGAAGGACAGCTGGAAGAAAATTGGATGCAGCGCCTTGGGCAGAGGTACTTCCAATTTCCTCGTGGTCAAAGCAAGTAATGAGCCTGATGGCCGACTCATCATTCAACGCGTCAGGGTTTGAAAGGGATTCGATAATGCCCTCGACCGCACAATATGTCATGCCCAAGTTGTCCAATCGGCCCGAGAAAATGAACTCTTCGTTGAGACCACCCAGACAGGCTTTCTGTGTATCATAAAGAACTATTTCAAAATCAACAACATCTTCTACCTTAACCTCCGCGTGTTCGGCAATGAGCTCAACAACATATGGGTGGTGTCGTTCAGACAGAGCCTCCAAAGGCCGGAACGATTTGTCTTCCTCAGAATCCTTTGCCGCCCTTCCATCTTCGGATTTGGAACCAGTCCGGTTCAACTCGGCTGCAATCAAACCAACGATGGGGAACAATTCCGTCTCCTTATTAGGCTTGAATTCGTCTGAACGATGGAGATGAATGGCCAACGTTGGAATTCGAAGGATGGGTCGATCAACCTTGATTAGTTTTGACACGATGTTTCCTTTGCCATCCTTAACCATAGCCCTTCCAGCAATACTGAGATCTCGATCGAACCAGGTATGCCAGATTCCTCCACCATAGGTTTCAACGCCAACCTGCATAAAGCCGGCACCACTCTTCCTGCTCATAGGCTTCAGTCGCAGGGTGCAAGAATCGGTATGTGCTCCAATCATAGCAATTGGATTCCCAGCCTTCCACTTCTTTCCAATTCCGAATGCGACAATGGAGGAGCCATTTCGTGTGAGGTAGTACTTTCCACCGGGTACCAGAGTTGAGGCCCAGGCATCGCGTTCCTTGATCTCTTGAAATCCGGCGGCGGAAAGACGTGTAATGGCAGACTCGACGGCGTGGTATGCTAAGGTCGGGTGAGTTTCTGTGGATAATCCAGAACACTTTTGGTGGATGTGGATATCAATACTCACGGGTGGGAGAGTCATTCAGGAAGTCGATAAAGTCGTGTGCTTGGGCCATGGCCGACGAGACCTTCTTCTTTGCTGCCATATTGGAGACGGTATATGCCCGATTTAGGTAGCTTCGGGAGGAGAGTTGGATGTATGAATATGTGCGAGTAAAGAAGAGAGAGCGGGGAAGAGCTAGCATTGGAGCATTGGTTCCATAGATTGTCCCAGGGTAGTTGTGATGGGGGCGTACTTGCACAATTACCTACTGTACATGGCATAGCGATAAGCCACGCCCGATGCCACCCCACCTCGGCGCATCATCGCTCCGCATCTCGGCATGCAGTCTTGATTGAAATAGGAAGCCAATACTACGAGTACGAGTACTACATACAACATGAAAATTGAACACAATATCTTTCTTTTCAACTCGATCATCTCAATACTACGATCTAGTATATGAGATGCTCCACAACCAATAGAGAAATCTAACCCCACAAGTCCATTAATATTAATCTTAACTGAAGATCCTTACGAGTAAATCTTTAGAATTAAGCCAAGTTCCGTCTCACTGTAAATGGTTCCTACAAGCGGAAGCAGCTAACTTTCATATAATAGTGTAGGGTAAAATATGCTTCCAACAGACTCATTTTCAATTCATGGTTTCCATCTTCCATGTTCCTCATATGAGATTGTCTGTGTTGATAGGTTTCGATATCAACTCAATGCCTTTGTCACAACCGGAAATGGCAGCTCAATTGTTTCGAGCTACTTTACCACTGTCAAACAAAGAACATGGCGATCGACGTTGCAGGGTCACCTTCTAAAATTCCCTTGTACTTTATTTCTCCTCGTGAGGATGTTCGGAATCGAAAACTATTATGGCGTATAGTCAATCTTCACCTGGCGATACGCCGAGTCCGGGAATAGGGGAAGCGAGCCATGAAACTCTCGATATTTACCAGAACCAGAACCGACGGTCAAGAACAACCTCCCCAAAACCGCTTCGGAGAAACCAAAGATCAGCCACCAATTCTCGTGCATCGAGTCCAAATCCACTTGCCTTTCTCCATGAAGGTCTTGTGAACAAAGTTCGTGTGCTTCGAGCAGATGCTACCTCACATCCTACCGATATGCTCGTTTGTCCTTCCGATCCGACTTTGTCAGCAAAATGGTGTAATCTTACCGCAAAAATACACGAGGCTGCTGGCCCAAAGCTGGTAAATTTGGTATCAAATCGTTATTCTGCAGGAATAAGTAACCCACCTTCAAAACGGTGGTCGGAGTATGTCAATGACAATGATATCGAATCACCATTCAAATCTTTCTTCAATACCGTCAAGCATAGCCCCAGTTTCGAGATGACGAACTGCGATTGGTTGGCGCACAGTTGTGTGCCTTCCTATGGCCATACAAATGGGAGGGATGTCAAAAGCTTAAACGACCGTCAAATAAATGAGCGAAACAACGAGAAATATAATTCGGTATATCTCGCGCTCAAAAAAGCACATTTGGTGGCACTGGTTCATTGGACGCGAGCTTTCAGCATTGCGATTCCTCAAGTCCAATATGACGCCGAGTTCTATACTCCTCGAGATGATGCTATCCTTACACTCGCCGCGATTGTGGATTTCTTCAATCACCCTGTCTGGGGAGCAAGAAGATGCAATACCATAAAGCGTGTTGACATCATCATCGATCCTACTGACGATGGGATTCCGTACGTCGAAGCCTACGAATTTGCATGGCAGTGAGTCTATCTTCTTTGAAGCACCTAGAACGACATTTTAATAACAACCGGTCAGTGTAATGAATATGCAATCGAAGGGCAAGGATATCGTTCCACTTATTGGTTCAAAGAAAGGCTTCCTGCGAAGACCATTTCCAATATACCGTCCTCCATTACCGGCCCGTGATCCAGACGCAAACTACCAACCCCCAAGATTGATGCATGATGTATTGTCTTTGCCGACAGACATAGAAACTACAGACAATTCCCAGCAAGTACCCGAATCTCAAGAGTGGAATCTCTTGGAGCAGGCAAAGCTTGATGAAGATGGAGATAGCATATTCGGTGAATTCATTCAAGAATCCATCTCAGATTTCCAGGATAGCGACGCGGGGCTTGGAAATAGGTATATCTCACTTCTCGGTAAGGGAATTTAGAAAGAAAGGAGTTGCTGATGATGATAATAGTCCCCTCAACTTCCATGAGACCACCCACACTGGCAGCAGCTCGCCATAACAAGACGAAAGAACGAGCGCAGAGGGAACTCTCATTGCGTCCCAAGAAGACTCTCTCAGGGAACTAGCTCCCCCCATAACTTCCTATCCAGGAAACCGTAAAGGTTCACAATCATCAGCCGGTATCTTCCCATGCATCCCTATCACCACCCCCAATAGACGAAGAGGACACACCACCATTCCGCAGTTCTTCACCCTCGCCAGAATACATCCCTTCACTTTTTATAGCACTCAAGTCCCCAACTGATGATGGTTTCATTACACCAACCATTCCAGGCCTCAACCTTCTCAAAACAGCTCTTGAAAACAGCTCACCTCAGACCTCCCCCCTATCCGGAACTCCCAAGCGACCCTCTTTCTCATTCCAAAGTTTGCATTACGGACTTGAAGAAAGAGAATTACCAACACCGAAGATTACCATCACTCCACCACAGGAGGCATTGAGAGATAGAGTTGCTAATTGAAGGAGAGGAGATCTAGCGAGGCGATGGTTTCTTCCCCTCTCGCCAGCTCCGTGATCAATACAGAAAGCGATGAAGACGAGGAATGTAATCTGGAAGGTATAGATGCGGACGAGAATCCAAATGCACAAGCATATACAGATTCCAACACATTCTCCCTCGACCAAGAAATGTTTCAATTCTCAACGTCTCAAGAGGTCACACCAGAGCCGACTCCAGCCCCTCCAAGAACCGCCGATTCAGACGATATCCCCGAGGACGAAGATACAACAGCAGAAGAGGACTCTTTATCATTCGAATCCTCAATTCCAGATCCCGACGAAGAAAGCCCCCTCCACTACGTCGATGACAAAACCCAGGAAAACTTTCAATCAATATTCGAATCAGACTCCTCCTTATCAGACCACATTCCAGACGAAATTTCCTCAGGAGAAGACGAGAATGAAATCGAAGATGCAGCTCCCTCCCCCACGATTTCAACAACATCCACCCTAACATCTCACCCCACCCCCCAGTCCTCCCAAGAACAAACACAACAACACAACCCCCTCCTTTCCCCTAACTCGCACTTCGACTCCGACTCCAATACGGAAGAAGTCTACCACCCCGAACAAACCCAAGACAACACATCCGCCTCCCAAGACCCAGAATCCGACATAGACATCGACATAGAATCCTCCTCACACTCCTCAGAATCATCCACATCCCACTCCGCCTCAGAATTCGAAGGACCACCAGAAGGGACCGAAGACCTCTCCCCCACAACCCCCATGTTTGGAAACCATCCGCGGGGATTAAGGAGGGAAGTAGAGGGGTTGAATACGGTGGGCGAGACGCTTGATGGGGAGTACTGGAATGAACAAGGACCTAGGATGAGGAAGAGGAACAGGAAGCGAAGGGGTAGTGAGGATGATTGATGGGGTTTTGACGGATGGGGTCTTATGAATTGTGTAGAGTGTATTGACGTGGTATCAGAGTATTGGGGTGTGGTTGCCTTGCAACAGTATGTATGTAGCGTCGTCTTTTCCCAGTGGAGCTCCCTGCTAATCGTTTAGCTGTTGGAACGATGATGACTAGATCTTGTTGAGCATGCCTTTTGCATGTTTAAACTGCGTATAATTATATAGCTAATCTCGAAGTGGACGAAAGACTCGTAGCAACCCATTTTCTCGTTGTACCTCTTCCCTAGATCGGTTGTAAGTTACCCCAGGTTCAAATCTTCAAGGACCATTGCTCTAACTGCCCTAGGATCAGCGAATACAATCTTTCTTTGAAATAATCCGAATTATTAAGTTGCGTTGAACCGGTTGTCCGCTACAAGCTGCGTTTATTTCGCTCACTACTATGGATGGGGTAACAAGCTAGTTTATATGTTTTTTTCAGTTGGGGGTATTCAAAATGCTATTGAGATCATGCCGACTTAGCCACATCGTTCTTGTACAAATGAGTTACTTGAGCGACCATGTACTCATAAAGTCCATGTCTACCACCCTCTCCACCGAGACCACTCTCCTTTTGTCCAGAAAAGTATGCACTGGCGAGCGGTTTCTCGTTGCTGTTGATCCAGATGGTGCCAGCTTCAATGCGATTTCCAAGCTTCTGGGCGTAGTCAGTATCCGCAGAGTAGACCGCACCTCCTAGACCGGTATCGCTATCATTGACACGAGCAATCACATCATCCTCGTCCTTCCATTTCATCATGGGAACGATGGGTCCTGTCACCGATTAGTGGTGCACGTGATATTGGGGAACAGATCTTGACTTACCAAATTGCTCTTCACGAACGATTCGTGCAGAATCTGGTGGGTTGTTAACGATGGCCGGTTGAATTACGAATCCCTTTCCTTCGTCTACTGATCCAGGAAGAGCGAATTCATAGCCATTTGAAGCGCAATCTTCGAAAAAGTCCTTGACAATCTTATGCTGCAAGTAATTTTGGACTGGGCCCAACATAACGCCTTCTTCATGAGTGCCTCCGGTCTTCCAGCTTTTTACGACATTCGTAAGAGCCTTAAGCATATCGTCGTAGATATCCTCGTGCACATAGAGCCTTTTGCTGGCAACGCACAATTGTCCGGAGTTAAAGAAAGCTCCCAGCGCAACGCTAAATGCGACTTTGTTGACATCCACATCGGGGCAAATAATCGCAGCACTGTTTCCTCCCAACTCCAATGTAACTCTCTTCAAAGTCTTCGCGCATGATGCCATAACTCTTTTTCCAGTGGGGCTCGAACCGGTAAAACTGATCTTTGCAATTCCAGGATGTTCCGTCATCATAGGGCCCATCTTGTCGTCTCCGTTGAGAGCCTGCAGTACACCCGGAGGAAGGAATCGTTGAGCGATCTCGGTAAATTTCAAAATACTGTATGGAGTGAAGGGAGATGGCTTCATAATGATACAGGAACCAGTAAGAAGAGCAGGGCCAATCTTGTTCATGGAAATTGCTAGGGGAAAGTTCCAAGGGCAAATTGCACCAACGACTCCGAGAGGTGCCCATCGGTGTATTATTTTTACGTCCTTGTCATCCGAGGTTACTTCGTCCGGGAAAGAGGGTTCAGTTGCTGTCTATCATTAGTGACAACTCTTAGTCTGATCAATCACAACCTCACTAAAGTACTTCAGTCCGTCGACGGCAAACCCAATCTCCATCTTCGCAAATTGAAACTATAACAGTTAATGTCAGTCCATAGGTCCTCCATATACTTGTCCCCGCGCCAGCTCCTGGACCCAATTGTCGCATGTGCTCGTGGGTTTACACATACAGGCTTTCCTGCCTCCAACATGAGTATATTGGCCATCTCATTCTCATATTTCTGGAACTCGTCGACGATCTTTTTAATGATCTCCACTCTATCCTCCCACTTGGTTCTCGACCAGGTTTGGAATGCTTTTTGGGCTGCCTTCACGGCATCGTCGAGGTCCTCAGCGCTGGCAATTGGCACATCCCACAGAGGTTTGCCATCAGAGGGGTTAGTGCTTTGGTGGATTTGCTTGCCATTGCGGGGTTTCCCGTCGATAATATTGAGGAAGTCCTTCTCAAATTCGATGGGGGTTTCTGTCGTGCCAGTCATGATTTCGTTTTGGGTTCAATCGGATCGATGTCTTTTCTTGCTGTTTCTCTCCGTTCTGCTGAATTTATTGACAAAAGCTCTGGTTTGATTTCAAACCAACAGTTGGTGGGTATTTCTCGGCCTCGCAGATGTAAATCTTGGGGTGGGGCTCCAGACTTGGAAGAGGGGAGCTTTTGAAACAAAATGGCAGGACACAATCAGGCCAACCCGACTGGACTTAAACCTTACTCGAAATGCCGTATTCTCTTTGTAGAACTCGAACCTGTCGTGTGCCGAGTGGTTACCCCTCTCGTGACCCAGTCTTGTATGAATCTGTGGATCCCGTACGGAACACTCGTCCTTCATGGATACCGAACCACCAACCGCCTCTCACAGTTTCTGGACGAAGCAGAAACGCAGGAGAGGGGCCCCGCGACGGGTCCCACATGGGAAGATGGGTGTGACCTCCCCATGCCGTAGGCTACTAGTCTCAACGCGGGAGCCGAAGACGCCCTGGGCAGTGGAGGTTGAACTAGGTCATGAAGCTAGAAGCTGGATATACTCCATATAGCAAGGTGGGGGGAGGGGGTTGAATAAAGTATGAGGGTGAGGTGAGGTCTCGAGAAGGAGGGGAGAGGTCGGGTGTACGGAGTACAAGAGTATGCACTGCTACATTGCCGCCAGTGGCAGAGAAGCCGGCACCCGATCTCCACTTTTCTAAGCCGATAAAGTTCCGAAGGCCAACAACATCTCACTGACCTCTTTTCTGCATTTTCATCAATACAAGTATTTGCTCATAAATTATGAGCTCTCGTACTATTTTATCACACCCATGAGAATTTCATGGCATGATTTCTGTTCACTCTATCCAAACCAAACCCACAACACACATATTGTGCATGCATGCATGTGTTTTCGCAATCAGTGGAAACCCTTGGAGATGAAACATCATGTTAATCACGGTGGAATGGTCAACCCGTTTCCTAAGTTATACAGGCTCCTGATTTCTACACAGCCTAATGACAAGGATAGTAGGGTTTTCGCCGGAATTGGTTACCATCTTCACAACCCATTTAGGTCATACTCAAATACTACTTTCTTTTATAAGCGATAAAATATTAAAGTTATGAACAAGCGGTCTTTTCAGCATGAGCAACGTAAATCAAGAAAGCAATGGTGTGTTACGATATAGTAAGATTCCTTCAGTAACTTGCTAATATAACTTGTAAATTTATCGTGCAGAGCCCTTGTGCAAAAGCAGATCACGTCGGTGGAGCAGTCGTACGATTTAAGCGAGCGCTACACGAGGAGAATGAATCCTATTTGATCAAATTTTAAACATCTTCTAAAGTCTAGACTGATGAGAAATCTAAAACACCACGAAGCAGACGGAAAGGTTTATTCCCTAGGTAAGGCGTTATTTGGGAATGGCATTCCTCTAAAAACCACCCTCCAAGCTTTATCAAGGGAAAGTCTTATGATCTCGCTTGTATTGAATCATTGAAATGTAGCAACGGAACAAACTCGTCTCAATCACTAAAGAAGCACCCATAAATCGATATCATATCCCCTCCATCTCTATACATCCATCAACTCCATCCTGCCAAAGCCCTTCGCGGCTTACAAAGTTCTCGACCCAAAGAAATGACTTGACTTTCTCGGCTATTTCAGTCGCAGTGGACAACCTCATGCTCCCTCCAACAGATTTCACGCTTTTAGAAAACCACCTTTTTTGGGCTCCTTCCCCCAGAGCAAGACTTGTCACCATAGTGATCCACAGTAACATTTCTGGTATGGTATCATCTACCATCAACCAATCCATTGATTCGATTGCATTTCTCGTCCTTTGTGAAAGTACCTCGAACATTCCGAGTCGGCGTTGGTATCCGCGTACTATCAAACATATATAGATGAGAGACGCATTAGAGAAAGCTATTATAAGGTCAACGTTACCGTTGGCCGATTCGAGTGCCCGGTTTCGTAACTCAATACACTGTCTTTCGATGTGATCAAGACGGGTGTGGAAGTCCAGCTTTTCAAGTCCAGCAACATCTGAAGTTGGGATTCTACTTATACCATTCGATAGCCATTTCAGATGTTGGAATATGTTGCCAGAGGATTCGCTGAGAGCTCGAGAGCCGGTGATTAGGTACAGCTTTGCGACTATATGTTTCACTTGAACCATCATCTTCGTTTGAAAGCTTACGTCATTCCAAATAAAATCCGATGTATTGGTGAACAGTAGAGGTGACTGAAGAGTCATTGCACCTGCTACATCGATCCTGTGGTATTGTCAGAGAGTCTCAAGCGATGCTGATGTAGATAAACGAACCATCCTATTGTTTGCCGTAACAGGGGGTTGAGAGTGTCTATATCAAGTTCCCCCACGTGTGTCGCCAATGCACGAAGACCCGTCATATGTGCACGGCATGCAATCTCAGATCCATCCGCACTCTAATTGTGTTCAGTCAGCCTTTGATCCTCGAAAGATGCTTGCGCCCAGTAGACCGTACCTCAAGTAGCGCTAGTAATGCAACGGTAGCAATTGTGAACGTATCGAATGTAGATTTCCTGATACTCTCATTTACAGCTTCTATGGATTTCCATTTGTGATAATTAAGAGCTGTCTGGAACTTGGGATCACGTAAAAACGGCGAGTTCATGGCCGCATGAAGAAGGGTTACGTGTAGCAGGGCTGGATTGCCTATGGCAATCGGAAGGTATGCCCGCGCTGGGTTGATGGGAATTCGTACTTTGTGCCATGTACTTGCGTCTTCTGGCCCATTAGCTACCAAATTCATTCTTGGGGAAACGAGTAATACGTGCAGTATTTCAGGAGATGTAATTCACAGTGTCCCGCTTCAGTAGAGAGGCAGTCAAATGAATCATCGTTCACAGATATTGGCTCTGGTGTCCATCTTACTACCTCGTGCCTTTCTGGGGAACTTGTGCCCAATGATTCCGAGCCTGAAGAATGTATCAGCACACAGGAGACTGTATTCACAGACAGGTGAGATGGTATTTTGTTGGATAGCATTATGCATACTTACTCTCGCGATCTTCTGTCCTCTTATTGACTTCTTTCCTAAGTTTCACCTTCGACGTCGACCCCCCTCTACCTTTTTTAACATTAATCCTTCGACTAACATGTGAACGCACAAATCTCCTTCGTGGATCATTAGAATCGAGACATTTTCCTTCCTGAGGGACGAATGTCAGATCAGTAATCTACGGAGTCATATGCAGTCAGCTTGATGTTCAACGTGGGTGGGGGCGGGATAAATGCAGAGGGGTGGAAAATTACCTCCATGGAGGTTCTGGACTTATATCAGATGCTGCATCTCGATATCAATTCTTGAAACAAAACTTTGGGTTTAAAGGGTATTTTATAAAATTCTCATGGACTTTGAGGAGACAGGTAAAATATTTCGAGCAGCTGAGCTGACGTTATGGGGGGCCGCTGACAGTGCATTACGGTACCCAGCCACTTCTGAGCAGCCACATTTATTTCAACTTCACACCAGGTCCAAAAGATCCATCTAAAGCAAACAAACTCGAGAATCCTGCAAAGAAACCCCATTTGGCCTCAGAGTCGTGAAAGGATGGCTTTGTTTACGTTGATCGTATTCGTCGATCATCCAAGAGCATCGAGAGTCAAGGGAAAGGGAAGGATCGGGGAAGGCAACATACCGTATTTATTGGTTTACAAGATAACATATTACATATAAAAAGTCTGTCCAGGGACCAATATGACCTTATACGCTAAAAAAAGTAATATCTTAATTATTAATTTGGCCCCATTTTTTGAGGTTTATGTTAACGTTCTTTGCCACTCCCAGCCTTTATGTTTTACCCCCAACCTCATCTAATCTTCTGATTATCTAAGCCCATTCCGTATTCATTATTTAGGTACATTCTTGTAGGAAGAATGAGACCTGGAATGGGTCCTGAAATCGTTCCAAGAAGTGGCTGTGGGGTTAAGCGAGTGATGGGAAGGTAAATGGGAATAGCTTCAAGAAATATATGCCACTTTTTTATATGCCGATTATCGAATATACTATTACGAGTTCAGCTCTGAAATTCCAAGTCTTTTAGGGTATGTGGTGGTGCTAAAATAAGTGTAGAAAGATTAATATAAAAGTATCGATTTTAGATTCTAGCTCTCTAATTGGTCAGAATTATCAGATACTAATCCTACGAACTTTTAGAACCATATACGATATATGCATGTTATCTTAACGAGGAATGTTATTTTGTAATCCAATTAATACGGTAGCTTCAGTAAATCACGAAGCTTTGGTTGGATCACTTCCGTTACATATTTTCAAGATTTCAATTTCAGCAAGATCCATCTTCTAATTCGACATCTGAATATCGCAATGGTATTTTCACGGTTTTGGAGAACCACTGCTCGAAACACGGATGCTGAAGAGAATTATTGGTATTACATTAAGAAAATTCTATTCCTATCTCAGTAACTTATCAAACCCCTGATTATCACTGAAATCCACCCGCATTCTCATCATAACTCGTTCCAACTCCTCCTCTTACAATGCACCGCAATTAAGCCTTTGCCGCTTTCCTTTTCAGCTCAACGTACTGACCGATCACAGCTTTAGCAGCGTTCCTGAACGAGTCCAGATGCCCAAAGGTAGCCGTTGTCTTGCTCTTATCCACATCTTGATAAACAGGTTCAGTGCTTCCGACCGGGTTCAAAATACCCTCAGATACAGCATCTGCAAAATAAGTCTTCGCAATCTCGTTCACTTCGTTGAAATCTGCCTTTTCGCCGTCCTTTCCGGCAATGAGTAAGAAACTTTGGCTTTCCACAATTTTGTCATCAAGAGCCTCGACATGAATCCGAGCCAAATCAGTAATAGGCGTGGTAAAGGCCTCGCGCATAGCATCCTTGACTGCCCCCAAAACAACACCAAGAGCGACCGCATTACTACCACCCAATAACTCCTCCGGCTTTGTGACGAGTTCATTTCTTCCGACGACGTATCCAGGGTGCAAGTTTATGATGGTAAAATGGGGCTTTTTCTCCGCGAGGAATCGCTCGGTTGCATCTAAAGAAAGTGCCTTCGCAGCACGATAGGCTCCCCAATTATCAGTTGGATATGGAGCGGATGGAAGAGGAGTGATTCTCGTCTTGGCTGTATAGGTGATTGGCGGGTTGGAGGGCTCGATGGCTTGATCAGTCATGATTGCTACGGCACTGCTTGTTATGACCACCCGCTTAATCTGGGGGAACTTCAGAGCTGAAGTCAGTATGCTGAGCGTTCCATCGATTGCTGGTACGATGATTTCTTTTTCTGTGTCTTCAAATTGCTATGTTTCAATCAGTACCTCGCTTTTTGACAGTTATATGAGGAACTCACTAGAAAAGGTAAGGGACTAGCCAAATGCAAAACTCCGACAACATCTTTCAAAGCTTCGTCAAAGGCACCCTCCGCTGTTATATCTGGTACTATGATACCCTCTAGCTGATTCGCGAACGGTTGAATGAGGGCATGGTTTTTCAATGTCTCAATCTGCACTTCTCGGCGGACAGCTATGCGAACACGATATCCTGACTGAAGTGCTTTTGTGAGGACGGCAAATCCAATGAAGCCAGTTGCTCCAGTGATCCGCATTCAACGTTAGGCTTGAGTTGCGGAAATCCGTAAGAGACAAATGCTCACCAATATGAGACCTCCAGACATTGTTGCTTGTGGAATGTTAAGTTTGGATCTTTACGTTTCGTTATCTTGCGACAGCCAGGAAGTTGTGGCTTTTGTACTTGATGCGGTTGTATTTATTGTCTTGCTTTGGTTGTTTGTTGACTTGTGCTAGAGACGAATATGATCTTTCCCCATCGGAGGCAGCTACTATCTTTTGTACGTTCTCCGCCCCCGAGATCAATGATTCACTCCTCTGGTTGTGCGATTTGGATCACTGATACTGCCAAAGAATCGTATGTTCCATGTTTTGATTACTTACTCTAAGTGCAACGGAGCGCACTTCACTGATATGCAGCAGTATATATTAGTAAGTGCTTTACAAGCGATTGGAGGGGTCTGAAATTAGACAAATCCCGGTGAAGGCAATCAAAAATGGTCAGTAATCGACTTTGACGAGTTTGGTGTTGGGCTTTGTTCACTAATCATTTCAAAAATCTTTTTTTAGTAATCTTACCTTGAACTTTGAGGTCTCTGTATTTGCGTCTTGGAAGTAACTATTTCTAGGAATGTACTGCTAGAATTGGCTGCTTTACTAAACAGCTATAGTCACGACGATCAACTCCGAATGGATGGCGGATAAGTCCCTAAAAGGAAGGAAACTAAAATATCCAGGTGATATGTATCACGTGAGAATCTACCCGCCATCGTTTTCTGGCAAAGAGCCATAAAGAGAGGAGAGAAGATATCCTGAAGTTTATTAACGTAGCTGCGAGAGGCAGAAAGAACCAGTATGGTCAAAAACCCTGTTAGAAAAAACTATTGTTCACTTCAGTCCATGAGGAAAGTAGCCCACGAACCAAGGACCAAGCAAGTGTTTCGAAGATATATCCAATTATCGATTGGTTTTGCTCATCAAAATTATGTTCTTCTCTCTTCTGTATCAACCTCAGCTTCAAAAGATTCATCAAGCCCAACTTGCCTTGACTCGGCATCCACTTGTACTTGCAACAACCAGCGTCACCTCTTGATCCTCTTTCCCAACTGGAATCTTCGCATCATCTGGATGTAAATCAAGTTTGCTAAACCTTTGCAATATTCTGACTGTCACAAAGCCAGCTTCCAGTAATGCGAATTCCTCTAGAATCTCTTAGTACGGCACGGTATTGAAATTAAAGGATGGAGGTTCTACTTACGTCCTAAACACACTCTTGGGCCAGCGTTGAATGGAAGGTAACCATATCCAATGTTCCTAAGATCCACATCATTCTTGACCTCAGGATCCCAGCGTTCTGGACGGAAACTTTCGGCATCCTCTCCGTATAGATTCTTCAGTCTGTGCATAATATACACCGAATAACCAACGGCTTCGCCTTTTTTGATCATCAGTGGCTTGGTGCCATCTGGTCCACCTCCTGTTGGTAATATGGTTGTTTCAAGGGCGGTACGGGAGTTTATTGGTACTGATGGGTAGAGCCGGAGGACTACAATTCTCAGGCTTTGATTTGACTATCAAGAAAACGTGAGAATGTTTACTAACCTTCCTTCAAAACGAAACCCAGATATCTCATCTTTTTCAGGGAATTACTATCTGGCAAAATCGAAAACTTCCCAAGAGTGGACCCAATTTCCATACGAAGCTTTTCAAACACTGCTGGATGTTGTGCCAGAAGTCGGCTAGATATTTGATATCAATTGAACATTCCGAATAATCTTTGGGGCATGACTTACAAAGTCCATGTCAGACAACAAGCTGTTGTGTCTCTGCCAGCCAGCATTACATTCAGTAGCTGATCACGCAGAACTTTAGAATCCCGCGTTTCCTTCATCAGTGCATCCAGAAAACTATGGACACGGCCCAGCTTATTCTCCTGATACTCAGCCGAGAGTGCCTCATGAATAGCTTCGTCGATAAATTGGTGTACAATTGAACAATTCTCACGGAACTCCTTACCCCCAATCAACCAATACTGATCTCCCAGTCTTCCACGTCTAAACAGATAATCTTGAGGAATCCTAAAGGCTTCAGAGAAACCAGCTTCACGAGCGATCAATTTGCCTTGAGTAGATGTCGCTTGTATGGAGTTCATTGATTTCCCAAAGAGAAGGAACGTTGTGGTGTCGAATGTGAATTGAAAGAACAGAGGTTGCAAATCGACATATTCCCTATTTGGTATGCAATGTACGTGGTGCTCAGTATGCTCCTCTACCTGTTTAAAAATGTTCGTACGGTTTAGCGAAAACAAGAGCCGTAACATATCCCGAGAATGCTTCCAAGGCAATGCCTCTTGCGTGAAAATCCCATCTCCAAGTAATGGAAAGAAGGTGGCTCTACGCTTTCCAAGGCCATAAGCTATTCATACAGAAATCAGTCAATGTACGTAGATATGTATGCAGAGCGCGAAAGTTACCGGAAAAGTTGGAGTTCAGAATAGACTCGATGTTACTCGGTTCTATGGTGCTGATACTGCGTGCACCAAGAATGCGCTGCTGAAAGGTTGTACCTGTATTTTCGAAAATCGATGAAAACCATTGTAGGGATTGCTTCTTTTGAATCATTGAAAATGCCAGTATTACTAGATCGAGTGCAAATGGCCACTTGTATTTCAGCGATGCAGGTTCATCGCAACCATGCTGCTTCATGAAATTTGCTTCCCTCTGCCAAAAGTCAGATCTTTCAGAAAATATGTAAGTTTGGTTTTGACTCACCCATTTGGACCTCAGATTTATGAAAAGAGATAGTGCTAGAAATGAGGTCGAAATACAGGTAATGATCAATGTAAGACTATGGTAGCAGTGAATAGCCTCTTTGAGGTTATTCATAAATGCAAGAGGAGCATTCATCATAGCAGACCAACAAGTTGAAGTCATAATTGATTTTGGGGTGGATTTTGAAAGAATTTGGACTTTGCTCAAGAGTGCCGAGAGAGTAGCGTATATATGTACAAAATTGGGCTATGTAGTGAAGTTCTCGCTAAACTCGCTAACCTATCCCAACCCAACTTGAGTGTTGGATTGGAATTGCAGGGTTTCACCAATCCCAATCGGGAAAATGAGTCTTTGTCCTCTAACCATTGCAACTATGCCCTGCTATATTTGGACCAAGTTTAAAGGTTCTAGAAGTGGAAAGTTGTAATCTTCTCGCTAAAGGAGTGGTCAAAAACACCTGCGTCTGGGTAAGATACCTCAGGTGGTCATTACTCTGTATACACTATATAGAAATTTATTATACCAAACTTCTAGCACAAGTGAAATCATCGTATTCATACCTTGGCTAATTGAAAGTAAGCGGTAAAAACTATCCTAAACTCTTCATATAACTATTTTAGTTGTACGACGCTTTTAGAATAATTTTATTCTAAGAGAGGTGTGTAATCTTACAGTAACGACCATTCTTCTTACCATGTACTACATCTTCACCACAGCTTCTATAAATCCTTATTAGAGGACATTTACTCGACTATTAGTGTGGACGGCCTAATACATATTTTGTCGCGTAAAGAGTCCTGAACGCAAGCGAATATTTTGTGATCAGGTTTTGCCTGAGTGTACCTAAATACTATAGATACATGGGTAATAACTCTTGCCAAGCTTATTACTGAAAGTGAGAATCGTATTGAAGATCTATATATTAAGAGGTGAATTTGATGGAATGTTTTTGCTGGCGACCTGTCTCAGAACCAAATGTACCCGCCGCTTCAATGGGACTGGGAAATGGGGGTGGCTTTAGGGGGTTTGGTGGCTGAAACAGCGTCACGTCAGTGGAGCGAGGAGCTTTAGTACCCCGCACCGCGCCAACAAGTAGGTAAATACTCAATTAGGACTCTTGCTTAGAACACCACAAATTATTCAGACATCAACATCACCAACAACCTACTGATATCGCATTATGGCGCCTCCAGAATTTCCCAATGGCATGACTTTGCACTCCATTGGATACGCCGCCCTCAAATACCCCCAGCTGGCGGACGAGTGTCCAGTTCCACTTGGTAACCAACTTGGTGTTCTTCAGCAATTTCTCTCGCCCACCGACAGAAGCAATGCGATTGACCAAATCTCATCGCAATATTTGGATGGTACGTACTATATATGGACTGTACGCCGTCTTTTGGCGCAATTACTTACGCAACCTTGCACCACAGCCTCCTTGAATACCAGACGAGCGACGACCCTCTATTGAACGACAAAAACTCCTCCCAATATTATTTCTCCGCCGTCAGCGCGCTGCTCAGTTTCCTTTGCACGAGCCCCGACGTTTCCCCTCGCGTGGCAAGGTATAAGGAGGGCGCCATCGCCCACGACATTGTCGAAAAGATGCTGGACCCCGATTTCGAGAAGAACATGAAAAAGTGCGATCGCAAATGTCCCCCACCGTTCCAGCCAGCTACATTCGATTCCGACTTTGGCACAATGCTACAATTGCTCTCGACAATAATGCTCTGGTCGGAGGGTAGAACCTTCCACCCACGCGTTGAGGACTTGATCCCAAAGCTGCGACAATGGAAGAAAACCTACAAAAACAGTTCAGTGAGGACCATTTCGAATGCCTCGGAACGGCTGGTGGGTCAGATTGAAGGGACTGACCCTGAGATGGCCGAGTTTGTGAGGGAACAACAGCAGAATCATTTGATGTGGAGTTAAATCATGTCGGAAACAGACGGGTCTTACTGCTTGTGCTGCATGTAAGATTCAGCGGTATTGTGGTAAGGATCACCAGAAGGCGGATTGGAAGTACCACAAACATATTTGCAAGAAGGGCCTGGCCGAGGATCCGGAGGAATTGCCGGCTATGACTTCGGAGAATTTGCTGGCCCAGAGCCGTCCTTGAACTCCAGTTACAGCTAGGAGCTTTTCTTGATGACAACTTAGCTTTGCCGTTTTTCTGTGTATTTGTGTTGGGAGGGAGGGGGAGGCGGGAAGATACCAACGTGGAAGGTTTTTACAGAACGAGTCGGCGTGCTTGGAGTTTCAAAGAGGAGAAAACGCATTTTGAATATAATAAGAGCACTTCCAGATACGAAATTGAAGTGTTGATTCAAAGGTGGTGGTGTTGTTCTTGTGTATGTGGCAAAAGAAGGCGTGCCTGACACGCGTACTATACCCGGTGTACTAATGTATATATAAATCCATTTATCATAAACCTTCTTTCGTAAGCATAGGTTGCATGTTGCAAAATACTCTTTTAGCGGATCAATCACGTGACTGCTCTGTGTGGCGACAGAAATCACAAAAGTATAGAAGCACTAGGTAATAAGTAACCCCAGATTATTATTATAAGAGTTCTTAGGCGTATTTTATCTCTTATTGCTTTATAGCGCCATAAGACTACTAAAAGAGTTCTCTTAAGCTAGGTATTTATATAATTACTTTTTTCGTTTATATAAAGGCTCTACTCTTTGTAAGTATTTATATGGGCGTAGTTCCATTCTATTCCTTAGAACTCTATATTGAACGTTGTTTTACCTCTGATCCTATTCTTTCTATTTACATTTCTTACACCATATCCCTATATTGACCCAAATTAAGGGATTGGCTAGTTGGGGTTCAGACGGGGCCAGATTCATTTGTCTGGACACCAGCTCACTTGACGCCTGCGAGTTGGCAGAAAATTTTTATTCATATAATTTCCAATTTATGCTCTTCCTGACCTTGGTATATTAGGCACAAGAGAAAGCGAGACCATGTGCCACGACAATGAAAAATGGTAAACATGCGTTACGGTGCACAGCCTAAGCGACTAATGCAACTCAACACCGCAACTACATTTCTACCTTCAACTACAATCTGGGCATGTCTTTAGGAAGTATCTCTTCCCAATGCATGATACATCAAACCTCTATCAATCACAGCTTTCTCATCCAAGAGTTTTTGATGTGATCAAAATGATCTGCGATACATGTTTGGCAATAGTCTATCACGAAGGTTATAAGAAAGATCCACCAGAGCGTCTTGACAGCGTGCGGCATCATTCTTGCTATGCAGATGTGGAGAGTTCAGACAAGAAAGGGTGCAAGATTTGTTCATTCCTTCGACAGGTACTTTTCAATCACCGCCCAGGTCACCCCTTTTCTTCCTTCGAAGATGCCGAAGCATATCAAAAACGATTAGATCAAGTGCTGGAGCAGCCCTTTTTCTCAGTACACTTTGTTTGGGCGGAGATTGATGACAACTTCGCACCATGCTGTTTGGGCCTGCAGGGTTTTAAGTACCTCCGGTCCTATGAAGAAGAAAAATATCACCTTCCTTATGTTAATGTTTCATCCCTGCCAGGTACATGCTCACGAGTTATCCTTTGTTATTAGATTGCATTTAACTTTGTACAGATGGCATACCTCTGGACGGCCGGTTTTGGCACATCACTGGAAGACACTTGGGGCCTATAATGGACTTTTCGTTGGCGAAGTGCTGGCTCAACGAATGTGCTGGCTAGCACCAATTCTGTTCCGCGGCGATAAGCACTCCGCTACCTTCTCGAATCCTTGAATTGGGAGCTCCAGGAGAAACTCATGATGTACGGCTTAAGGTCAATGCTGGCATTTCTGAGCGCTATGCAACTCTGAGCCACTGCTGGGGTGAATCGCAGCCATTAAAGCTTACCCGATCAACATTTGAGGAGTTTCGGACGGGGATTGCATTCGAAAGTCTACCACGAACTTTCCAGGACGCTGTTACTGCTGCGCAATCGTTAGAGCTCAAGTATCTTTCGATAGACTCTCTATGCATTGTACAAGACTCAAAAGAGGATTGGGAAGAGCAGTGTACAGCCATGAGACAGATTTACAAATATTCCTTTGTTACACTAGCCGCTCTAGGGGCCTCTGATTGCAATGCCGGGTTTCTTCGCAGCCGGTCACTCCCATTGAAAGTGGACTTTCAGCTCTCCGACGGCGCTTCAGTGTTCTTATCTCACCATGGTTGTGCCGACTATCCTTACGACGGGCCCCCAAATAGGCAAGATTACATGCGTTCAGATAAACGTGACTATAGACCTTTAACTGAACAGAACTTAAGATTATTCAAAAGAGCTTGGATCTTACAAGAAAGACTTCTTTCAAGTCGTGTTCTTTACTTGAGCACTTCGAGAATGTACCTTGAGTGCTTCACAAACAATAGATATGAGGACTGTCATTATCCGACCCCTGGTCCAGACAAATTGCTCAGCAACAATGTTGCGAAGTGGAAATCTGAACAGTTGGGTAATGAACTACAACGTTTCTCTCACTGGGAACACCTTGTCGTACGCTATTCAAACATGAACTTGACTTATAGGACGGATAGATTACCAGCTCTTTCTGGCCTGGCATCGGAGTTTCATAGAGTGACCAAAGCGACATACTTGGCAGGCCACTGGATAGAGGACTTGAACCTGGGATGGTTTGTAATGCCTCAAGGGCAGTCTAAAGCGGCACTTTCAGGCTCTGAGTATGTCGCGCCGTCTTGGTCTCGGGATTCTTCAAATGCTCCTATTGAGTTCTATCGTCCCTGGGAGGATCCAAAGGGTATGGTGTTTTACCATAGATTGAGATTAATCAGGCCGTCTCTTCCACAGGAATTGATTCGTTCGGTATTGTGAAAAGCGGGTACCTAGACATAACCGGCATACTGAAAAATGGCGTGTCAGCCCGAAGATCAGCTGACAGGCGTTACTTTCAAGTTATCACATCATTTTACACCATGGAAAGGATGGGGTGTTCAAGAGGAGAAACGTTCGGAACTTATTATCCAGATAATCCCAGTATTGTTTTGGAGCCTGAGTTTAAATTACTTTTACTCTTTCTAGGCAGGATTCAATACACTCGTTTCGTGCTATGTGACCGCGTTATAGCCATCGCTGTCGAGCCCATCGATGGAGAAGAAGAGTATACTTATAGGAGGATTGGATTGGTGATCACCAGAGGATTCCGTGTAGAGCAGAGGTTTCATGAAAATTTCGTTGCAGACATCAAACCAACAATCTTACGCCCGATCTAGTCTAATCTCTCCACAATTTGTACAGTACCTCTTCCGACTATATCTCTATCAAAGTTGCTTGGGTACTCGGTAAGATCAGACACACCCTTCGAATGTCTTGTAGCTAATACTTCTAAGATCGGATCACGAATGATTACCAGGTCTTTGCAAACCGGAAAGAATTCGAAATGAGCACCTACAATCATCATAACATGCCATCAAACCACAGAGAGAGAAGCCGAGAAGACTTCACGAGGAAGTGTCTCGTTTGGTCTGGCTCTCCAATTTCCGTTACTCTGTGTGGTCAATTCTGCACGGAGTTCAAATTCCATAATTCGGGATTCAGTTTCCTCGTTCGCAACTGCACGCATCTCATTCGCCCCTGGTTGGCTTGGCAAACATCTCAGCTAAATTCGACCATTCACAGATCTCTAATATCCACACAATATTATCAGGATCCCAAGGAACGAGAAGGATACTTCAATAAACTGGTTCGCAAAGTTGTTCTTAGACCGACACTGGCATAGTAGGGTCAGTTTTGTTAGCTTGGGAATGATTGAGAATGGGTCTTGGGTTTGCTGGCTCAGGGACAATAACCGCTGTCTCTCGACACAAACAAGCTACCTCTCTGGAAATAGTCTTTTCGTTACTCCGAAATATTACTGAGAAGTTTCACAATGTGTTGCTATTGTTTTCATTGATATCTCTTCTTGGGGTTTGTCTTTGTTTCTTAAGCGAGGGTCACTTAGGACAGGCGGGCTTGCTGAGTTCTTTATTGAACATGTGGGTCTCAACTGGGTTCTCGGTGCGCAATAGCTCTATAAAAACATCGATCTATTCTTCAAGCGTAAACATACATCTCATCATCTTCCAAGCCATCAACAGATACCGTATACCACCACCTCTGACCTCCAAACTCGTCATTCAACTCAGGCAATATCTGTATCCTTATTTCCTCTCTGCAAAACCAAAAAACACTCCTTGAACCACCTCATCACCTGAAACAGTGCCGCGCCATCCAACCAATACAGCGTCCCCTCCGACTCCTTATACCTGACTCTCAGACTCTTAACATAATCGAGACGCTCCAACTATCACTAATCAGCATTTTCCTATCCCATCCTCTTCCTTCGAATTCTCAAACTCCTTGCTTAACCTTCTCACCACAACACAAAAGAAACGGTAATCAAAAACTCACATTCTCCTCACCCAACTCCTTCGTCTCAACCGCAATCTTCACATTCGCCGTAAACGCAGCCCAATATGTATTCGACGCATCGAAGATCTCGCGGAGGCCACGGATGCAAGCTGTGCTGTTTACTGCTGCGCCGTCCCAGCGTGAGAGCCAGTTGGCTTGGTTGAAGCGGCCTGGGGCGGGGGGTGGGACGGGGACTAGTTCGCCGGTTGGGAGGCGTTGCATGGTTGATTTTGGGAGGTTAGTTGATTTAATGTGCTTAAGAGAGTGGATGAGGTGGGTATGATAGGTATGATGGTTGTAAAGACAGATGGAGAGGGAGAAATGGGGTTTTATACGTGGCTTAGATGAAGGAGTGATTCATCGGATGGTGTGAGGGGAAGTGATTCATGAAATTGTGGTGTATTGCGAGATGTTGTCATGAGTGTGATTTTCATGCGAATAGTGGCAGGAAGTTTTGTTGCTCACAAGAGAAGTTTTGTGCCACCAAGGGTAATGAGTGTTCTTCAATGAATAGAGTCGGCTTCATATTCACATATTATACATACCTTCTTGTCCTCGCATTCCAAGCCATATTTATGCCAGTGTAAGTTACTGTATGTGATAAGCTAGAAGCATCATCACATTTATGACTTGCGCAAAGAGGCAATGATCCAGCACCGAATCTTTCAGAGAATCCAAGTATGTTACAATGGCTTTATTGGTTCGTTCGGACTATTTCTGACTAGTTTACAATTTGAAGTCCAGCCATAAAAGAAAGAAATTGAAGAGCAGCGATGGTTATCTAATTAATCATACAAAAAGTGCAGAAGCAAAATCCGAGCCCGCAAGCGAAGAAAGGCAGAGTAGAAACTTTGACGGCCTCGCCCATTCCCATTCGCTTTCACAAGTGCAAGTCTCAATCCAAGACCAAAACCGCATATGCAAATCGCGGCTCGCTGCTTCCTATCCATGAGCAAGACTCTAGTAAATCTTTCTTATATCCTCCACTCATTTCTTTCCGAATGGAGCGTCAAAATCTTCGATTTTGTTTCGGTGTTCAGTGCTTGTTACGTTCGTCGAGGAACCTTGGTCATCCGATTCGACTTTGACTTTACCACCTTCTACAACGTCCTTTGATACATCCCCGGCGGCGAGTCCGATAGTAGGGTCGCGACGTTCTTCCGCTTCTTCCAACTTCACGAACGTATGCATGCCCTCGTCTGGTCCCGTTGCCGAATCGCCTCCCTCGACCGATTGTTTCAATCCTCCCACGCTTCCTCCCATGCTTCCCTCCTTAGCAGCTCTGTTCTTTGGTGGATCACTTCGTACTTCGGGTGGTGCTGGTTTCTTTGGGGGGTCGATAAGGTACGCAAATCTGGCACGGTCTGCCTTCGACATTGGGGTGAAACTAATACCATACTTTTCAGGTTCAAATGGCTTGATGACCTCCTCACGTTGTTTCTTCTTGAGTGGGCCGTCCGTATCCTCAGCCTCTCCCATATCGGAAATCGAGGATGGAGGTAATGGGGGTTCAATGCGATCTTTGAATACCGCCTTGATCATACTGTCGCGATCTAGGGCTGCTGGATTGAGTCTTCGTTTGGTGACAGATCCCTTGGAGGCAGGTTGCTCGATACCAGCTGAATCGGTGGCAGATCGACTGATACCACCTAGATCAGTGGCAGCTTGATTGTTGGCGGCTTTGTTGGTACTAGCTCTAGTGGCGGGTCGGTTGCCCTCCGCTTGATTGATAGCAGTTTGACCAATGCCAGATTCGTTGCTAGCACTTTGATTATCTTTGAGCTTTTCTCCTATGTTCTCTGGGGGTTGACCACTGGACTTCGCCATGCTGGTGCCAAAGGATTTGTTGCTTGAGATTTCTTGGCGACGTGCTGAATTTGAAATTGCTGCACCTGGACTGGTTATCTCTTTTTGGGGATCCAATCGTTGGGACTTGTGTGCTACTGGAGCCTGTGTTTTGGCTTGTGTTGGGGCAGTTGCTGTGTTTTTTGTGCTCAGAGCAAGCGACGGAGATTCGATGGCCACGTTGCGATTGTTGGTAGTTGTTGTTTTAACGGATGTTCTCTCAGGCTCCTTCGGTTGAGTAGCAATTCCTGGCGTATGTTTACTTGGGCTTCCAGATTGGTCTTGTTCCTTCTCATCCGATGCCGAGGGGAGTTCCAGGTTGGGACCTATGCTCATACTAATTAGTCGGTTGGTCGAAACTTGTTCAAATTGACGTGATAATCTTGCATATGGATTTGGTAGCAACCCCGAAGGACCTCCGGGTCGTCTGTATGGGTTCTCTAATAGAGCATAAGTTCGATATGGCGAATAAGAGCTTAGAGACTCCGCTGCCTCTTGGGAAGCTAGAGGTGCTTCATCTCTAATAACTGCGGTAGATTGCGTATTCGGTGCTGCCTCCGATTGACTTCCAGGTGCTTGTATTGATTTCGTTCTCAAATCAGTGGCACCCTTGCTGCTTGGATGGTCTTCATTAGACTGAGGAGGTGGAACCACTGGAATTGGACCCGAAGGCTCCGTTGGTTCTTCAGAATCCGAAGCATCTTGGGAGAATACAGGTGAATGCAATGTCGGGTATGAAGCCTTCGATGCTTGTGAGGGGTGGGAGCGGTCGGTCAATTCCGGGGAATGATGGACTAAGCTGGCTACAGAGTCTTGTTTCTCGGGTTGCGAGCAGCCTTCCGTCGGGAGTTGTCCTTCCTTCATTCCGAGCGTATTTTGTTTCGAGGCAGCAGGTTTTGTTTGGGGTCCTGTTCGAGGTTTCAAGAAGTTAGGATACAAACTTTGAATCTTTGCTAGCCAGTCTCGCTTCATTTTCACAACATCAGGAGCGGGTGGAAAGATAAAGCTTTGATGGCGCCATAAGACGACTGGTGTCGATGGGATGAGCTGTAACCGGGTCAACCTCGATCCCTCAATTATTCAATGTTTGTATTGACTTACGTGATGCTGAGGGATGCCATTGTGGTTTGCAAGATTGGGTGCTTTGAATGAAACATATTAGTCTTCTTAAGAACTTCAAGTTAAAATCCTTAGATGAGCTCACCTCTGTGTCGGTCTGCAAGATGATGCTGCCACCATTCGACCTTTATTCCGTGCAACATTTCCCAGACCTGATCGTCCGGACCAATTCCATCTATCATCTTTTCAGGATGCTTGACCACTCCCCTCATGGCATTCAAGGTCGCGCTGAATCTTAGAGAGTATTCTCGCTCGAATTGAAGAACGACGTGAAGAGGCATTGGTTCGATGCAGCATAGCCGACATCGCAGAGACTCCAAGAATTGGCGGAAAACTTTGTTCAGACATTTGGTCCATTCCTTGCGGACTTCGCTTAATAGTAGTGCTATTTCGGCGGCGTCTTCTGGATTGTTGTCCTCCCGCATCTCAATGAGGTCTGCGCATTTGCTGGTAAGGAGATCCGAACCAATCGTTCTGCTCTTGTACGAGGGCTCCATTTTGTCGCTCTCCTCTGGTGGAGGGTCGACTCGGACGAGGGTTATTGTTGTTGTTGCAATGGGATGGTGGAGTTGATAGAATGGTTCGCTCGACAGTGGGTCGAGGTGATATTCGCGGAAATGCATTCTGCGGGAAACGCGTCGCCACTTGGCTGCCCAATGGTGAATTAGACACGCGTAGGGCCCGCTTGCCAGCAATCAGAGATGACCACCAGTAGAGGTCCTTGATCACGTCGGAACTTCGACTGAAATGGGCATTGGAAAACCAAAGAGTGAAGATAAGGGTGATAACTGCTGAGAAGAAAACAGATGGCAAGTAACTAACCTTTATTAAATTGTCCAAATACAACGTGCAATTTCGAGTACCCTACTGTGTCCTCAGTCAGAATTTCTGAAGTAAACGCGGTCGGTCGGTCAGTTGGGCAGGCTTCATTACCAATCTGAACTTTTGCAGAATGCAAAATCGTTGAACCCTTTTGGAAGGACCTTTCTTTGTCTTTGTATCAGAAACAAATTTGGGATTCTCTGTCGGCGTGGATCGTGTTTCGTTCGCTGGAACTGACGCGCAGTGTGGTGGTGCTTGTTGCTGGTGGTATTGTCAACCACGATGCTCTACTTTGAGTAGACCTCGTTTAAGCCTTTTTGCGTGTGGAAGCGCAGGCTGCTTACGGCGAGATATAAGCAGCCTGTGAAGGAATAGCACGTTTGAGGAGTTCGCAATAAAAGATTGAATGGTTACAAAATTTGTGCTTTGAAAGAGGTTCAAAGTGGAGGAACGAAAGTGCAAAATTGCAAATATACTTAGCCCTATCTAGAGTCTAGGCTAATTTCCGAAGTGGAACCGACACCAGGCAACAATGGCTAGCGAATCGGAGTAGGCTGGTAACAAAATGCCTGACAGGAGTTTGATATGGCCAGGGGTACTGCCACGAGTCTTCTTCATGAGGCGTGATAGCAACGCCAGGAGACCGCGTGAGAGTAATCACAACAACAGACATGCACAGAAATTCACCAACAAGCAAAGGGAAACCAACATACGAAGTTCATTCCTTACAGTCTTCATCCACAATATAATGCACTTCATATCAAATAATTGTTGTATCTTATTTCATCGCCAGATCAACTCTGTGTTTTGTTTTGGTCATCGTTTAAAACCACCACCACTCAACTGTCTTGGACACTATTAGTAACTATTTTCTTTCTGTTACAGACTCGTTCTGATTTAGGGTATAGTGTTCTCACCGTATTATAGTATGTAAGTCATCAAAAACTGCATGGTTTTCCACCACTACTCTATGGGTATCTCAAAAGGTCGTTGAAATAAGGAAATCATACGGCCTTCAACCTGACGCCAACTTCGAGGCAACTCGTCCTCCTGATTCTATTCTCAGTCTCCGTCCCCAAACCTTCTTCCTCGCCTTTAACAACCACATCATCAATAGTAGCCACACTCTTCGTCCGTATCCTAACCACGAATTCCTGTCCATTTGCTTCATTCTCCAGCCATGCAGCGACACTGAGAAGCTTCGAAATTGCTTTTCCAGTAGCTTGCAATATGACTTCCTCACCTTGCCCTCTCTTCTTAACATTATCCTCCACCTTCTTCAAGAATTCCCCATCATTTTCGTTCATTAACGCACGAAGCTCCTCAGTTTTGTCCTTTGCGTGTCCTCTATTATTTCCTTTGCGGTTATTGTGTGCTTTTTGTTGAGAAGAATTGGATATTCGGTTCTCGATACCTGCGAGGTAGTGACGGACTCGTTTTATGGTTGCGATGAAAGATGCATTGGCTTTGACGTAGATTACTTTGGGCGCAGTGGAGGAGGCCGAGTATGGCGATGAAATGGAAGGATGAAGGAGCGGTCTCTTGACTATCTTGTGGGCTGTTTTTGTGTATGTCAGAAGAGAATGATAGGTTTTTGGAGGGGTACAAACTTTCTGGTAGCCGGGGGAGCTTCTTGTGATTGGGTTTCTCCGTGGCACTTGGGACCGTATCAGACGGTTTTCCCGGGTTTGAAGTCGATGGCGAGCCCATAATTGGTGCCACTGACTTATACAGTCTCAATCGTGGTGTTTTTGGAGAAAGGATATACAGTATGTTGAATCGTAGTCTGATAAATTTTGGCCGTGACGTTCGCGTCGGCAAAATGCCGGCCCAAGCTACCCCAGATTTTGGTATGATACGACAGGGCTAGCTTTAGCTAGGCCCTGCAGTGCTGGTGAGCTTATCCCAACCTCGCACCATCGGGACTTGCAGCAGACAACTGACACCAGATACGTATTAGCCTCTATTACCTTCATTATGACAACGGCAGTATTCCCGTATATCCAACCCGATGAGCTCAAAAAGGCAGAAGTTGAATCTACTGTAGGTACATCCTAAATCTTGCATTTTCCCTGAGGACCCATGAAAGAGCTTGACTAACATACCACTAGGCTCGCGAACTATCCTGGCTCCTGGAGAGTCTTCAAGAGAAACTTGCCGAATTCAAGTCCGGGTTAGAAGATTGCTATGCGCTCCTTGCGCCGACCGAGGACCCTGAATCTTCTACACTTGTGATATCGTCTTCGAAGAGCGAGCTTGTCAAGGGACATGTTACTAGAGTTGGAACGAGGATTGTCAAAGGAGTAAGTAGCAAAAGACGATTGCAAACTGAAGGACCTCTTTTTCTGCAGAGCTATCTGCTAATAATTGCATCCATAGTCTCTCCATTTGAAACTCAAAACCCTTCCGCCCCTCCACCTCAAGCTCTTTGAAGAACACCCACTTGTCCTCCCCCAATTGTCGCACCTGCGAACCCTCCTAAATAGCGCCCTTGACTGCGTAGATATAACACGATGGACGGGCGATCGAAACTCAGCCCCATTTATAACCTCCCAGTTACACTTGCTCCACTCCATTCTTCTCGAAGCTCAAGCTGTATCCACAGCGCCCTCTCTTGTAGCCCCACGACCAGGAACCCCCAATCCACTACCAGTTGCACCACGGACAAGCGGAGAGGCAGGAAATGAAAACAACCCTCCATGGTACGAAAGTATAGTGGATCCCCAAACCTTCACGCCTGCGCTACCCCCAACATTATCCCTCCATCTTCTCCCTACTGCTTCATCCCTCATACTCACCATACGAGTCCTTGAAACGACTGCTGCTCCACCTTCTGCTTTCAATAAATTTGCGCATGCGATAGGGGTTCAAAGACGTTTGGAACATGATGAAATGGATGGTTTGTTTATGTGGAAGGGCGAGGAGGTACGGGTGAAAGAAAAGGTCAGAGTGGAGAGCGGAGGAGATCCCGTTCTTTTGGTCCTGGGAGTAAAGCTCCAGAGTTTGGAAAAGGCAATTGAAGCTAGCCGCTGTAACTTGAGACTTGTGCTTGGTCTGGATGCAGAAGATGATGACTAAGAGGCCTTAGTTCTACTGATATAAGCAGTACTCGTTAGCGTACAAGCATGTTGATGACGATGAATCTAGAAATCATATTGTCATGTTAATTTGCCAATGCTGTATCTACCCTTGTAAACTGTACAATAGTCATGTACTTAGTACAAGAACCACTTAACTTTATTCACTTACCTTGAGTACGTCTTTCACAGCCCATCAACAGCTATAACAAAAGCATGTCGCAAGTCCCATCAGCATATTTACCATTTGACAGACTTTTGTCCTTAAGAGAAGTGCAAAAAGAAAATCTCTCAACCTCCTCAGATTCTCTTCCTAGGCTCTTACAGACATATTTACTCGTCATATCCTCGGAAGACTCGGGTTCCTGGCTGTCTCCAATAGAGGACTATGTTAGTCATGCACACCTCTTTTTATAAATCTAAAAATCATCAGATCCTAATTGCAACGTTATGAAGCGGGAATCGGTCGCAATCAAGCAGAATATCGTATATCTTTTCCTTCCGCTCTCAGTTGTTCGCAGATTGCAGTTGTTCGTGGATTGCAGTTGTCCGCAGATTACGAGATAGATTGAACTTTCTGAGAAATCCACAGTCTTTGATTCATTTACTGTCATTCATCTTTTCACTGTCGTTTTGCTTCTTACTGTCGCTGACATTTCCAGTTAATAGCGTTGTCAAAATTCGATTTCTTTTCGCAAAAAGCAATGAAATCCAGATGAAATACAGACTGGTCTTCATTCTTAGACAGAAACCCTGCTGAGAAAGAGAATGTCTTTTTAAGAATATGCTACAACTACGAACAACACAGCTCCGTGGGACTAAAGTTTGACCTCTTTTTCCTGCTAGCGGAAACCTTTGTGGCTGCTAGTCTTTCAATGTCGGGATACAGATCTACCCTCTCCCCCTGTTGGGTATGCTATAGTGCTATCCATTAACATCCAACTATAAAGCAATTTAGTATAGAATATTGTCTATTATATCATTGTTGTTAATAACTGCATGTGTCTGTTTAGGAAGACAGTGTCAAAGTTGAAGGATTCTGAATACTAAAGGCATCTCTACTACGCTTTATAAGGAGATAGTTTTATGAGTAGAATCCAGGAAGTACCTACGATTCGCTACGCCCATTCAGTAATAACAGAGTATGAAAGGTACTAGATTTGAATTCTGATTCACTGCATAAATGGTAGAAGGACAGTGCTATAGTTTCACTTCTAAAAGGTGTTTCAAAAGCTTTGGAATAATAGACATTTGAGAAAATCAGTTAATCGACTCTTTTAGCAAGTATCAATCTCTTATTTAACCTTACGCAAAATTAATGGTTGCATATATATTCTAATCACTCTTCTGCTTCTAATGACACTAGGTAAAGAGATTGGCTTTTGATACAGAATGTGCCCTTATAACAAAAACGATTCTAGGTAAATTCTAGGTCAAGTCATCTTCTCGATATAACGATGGCTTCTGGAAAAATGGCACGCTTAAACCCTGAAATTACTCCCTCCTAAGCACGCTAACTGCTTGGACGGAATCTTCCAATTTCTGAGTCGGATCTTTACTCGAGGGTAGCCAACAATAGTTCATAGTTCTCGAGATGTTAGAAGTAGGAGAGGCGATTTAAATACAACGGAGATGCCGAGTTTTATCAAAATATTTGTCGTACCTCACGTCTTCGTCCTTAGTTTTCCGTGGGTCATTTTGCTTTCTGTTTGTGTTACAATTCGAAGTTTATTGAATATTTTGTTGATCTATTTATTTGCCGTTTCTCGCTAGACTCGAATCTCAAGATTTGATAAAGGTTCTATCGTATTGGTCCAATGTTATTTCGTTTGCGATATATCTATCAATTTCCTGGATCTAAGGTGTGTCATATATTTTATAAGACCCATTGAAGACATGAGTGCTTGATATTCGGCATGCAACGCTCGTTACGGTACAAAGAACAATGACTTGATTACAAAGAAATCTGTTGAATACTAGACTACTTGCAAAACTCAACTACTTTCAATAAGAACTTCCGTAGTTACTGGGATACATACGCCCAAGCCTGGAACTCGGGTGGAGATTGGGCCCTTCGCACAATTCTTGTATCATGGCAGCGCTAATTCTATTCATTGGACGTTCTCTTTTCCAGCAAAACAACCACTTTATCGGCCTTGGAAGATGGGTCAAAGAGAAGATTTACAGTATATCGGGTACAGCAGTAAGCACTTGGTTGAAGAAACATTGCCAACTTCAAGTTCTTTGTCCCAAAGCTTTGTGGAGTTTCCAACAGAATACTCTCCCAAATAATACACATTGTCTAGTAGCTCACGAATGCTCTTCGGATCTTTGCATCAGCATTGACAAAATTCTCAAAACAAAGATGTTACATAGGTTTCTCCTTCTGAAATCAGGTTACAATATGAGTATAGACTGAGATCATATCTCCAGAACGCTAGTAAGAGCGAGCATTGCTGTTCAGAAACGATCAACTACATATTCAACAATCACAACGCCGCCAACCTTCCACTCAATTCCAAATTGCTCATTAAGGCAGGCGTGGAGATATATAGGTCCAAAAGGTTCTCTATGAGGTTCTAAACGCATAATGAGCTGTGGAGGAAGGAGTAGATGTTTTGGGGGTGCTTTCACGGTCCGACCTGGTGAACGTCTACCATGTTCCCTCTTTATAGCACCAACAAATTGCTGATCCATGTAGTCTCTATTTATCCTGAGTCAAGAAAGACAGCCAAATCTGTAACCTCACAAGGAGTATGCGAATCGAACGAACCCCATCCATTAAATTTTCCTTTGTCGTCGAACCTAAACGAATACCAAACTTTCCGTATTCACTCGTTTTATACAGTGTTTCTTGGGAGCAATATTAGTCCTCTGACACTCGTCCATTGGCCCGCAATAACCGCCATAATCGCCATACTTGCTAGCATACTCAAATTTTAATATTCACTCCCTCTGCATAAATCGAATTTTAAGACCAAATAAAGCTTCTCATCATTAGCAAACAAGTGATCTCCATGAGGCCAAGTGGATTGCTGATGTCTGTAACCTAAAGAGAATCTCAATTTAGATGGATTTCTCACCAGGCGCTCCCTTGTGCTCATAGTACAGCCATGGGAGATGGATCTTTTGCTATTTTGAGAGGTAGCTATTGAGTTCAATGCTTGGAATTAATTACTGCTTATCCTTTTTACACCCCCACGGAGCCCTTACCACAATCTTTCTTTGACAAACCAACGGGTGCTGGGCGGTGGGGTAGTGGTGGGGATTGTACTGCATTTATAGCCTAGTGCTCTCGCCAAAATCATTCACCAAAGGTTCTAGACGTCAAACAAGACCGCTGTAGGGATAAATCCAGGTGACAGGCAACGTCAACTTTACATACGTTGGAAACCATGAGGTCCACATGTTTTTGACAAGTCTGCTTTACTAAAACAACTCAGACACCATGTCTTACTGTGCCCCAAGACTCTTACCATAATTTGCAGTCATTTATCCATCTCCGCTTACGCAAGAATTGATAACTATTTGAAATACCTTTAATTAGCGAATCATTAGGAACCTAAGTCAAGTACCGCAGAATTTCAGGTTTACTTTTCAAATTGAAAACTTCTGTATTGATTCTAGCTAGAACATCGGAAAATGAAAACTGATGTACCTACAGTGATAAGACCTCACAATGCCATATTTCTTAGGCTCTCCAATTGGGATGCGATTACAAGTGAATATCGACTGTTAGTTCAGTTACAACCAACTCTACATAATCTCGGGGTTTACTATAGCAAAGACCCAAAGCAAAACGGAATCCAACACAAGGATGCTGGACCTCCATCCCTTCAACTAGGCCAAAGAATATCTAGAGTACCAGGGATCAAAAATGTATCGTAGGACCTATTCTATTCAAGAGACAGTCTAGTCCACGAATCAAACACCAAACCTCCATTTAAACCATCCGAACGGACACCTCCTGAAAGTTCTCTTACCACCGAAAACAAGCCCACCTTCCACATCTCTCACTCCTAAATTCTAGGGTTCTTTGATATCGATCTTAACTTACTCTTTCGTATCAGCCCCTACCAAAAACTATGGCGATAGCCTTGGTTAGCTATGACCTGCGTTCTTGTATATTCGATAGGATCCGCATTTGCGATCCGTTTCATTTCAAATGCTCTGAAGAGTTCTGGTTGGTTTTGGTAGCCAATGTCAAAACAATACTTATTTTCGCGTCTTCACTTTTGCCCATGTAGCAGACCCGAGTGAACCCTCGCAAGTACTTCTTCAAAATGACTGGTCTAGACCTCAATGACCAGAGTTTTCATTTCTTCTGCGAGCCTTTTGTAGGCTTATTGAGAAGTGAAACCCAACGGCTTTCAGCACATTCACAAGCCGTTCGTGGGGTTCTTTACAACTACAGTAATACAGAGCAATTGTATTCACTAACAGCTTCCGCTCTTGAAGGGTCCAAAGAGGTTATAAATACAGCAGATACAAGCGTCACTTCAAGCAAACTGGAGTACTTAAGATAAACCTCTCAAAGAAAATGTTAAACCTACCCTTGCATTGCTATTCTCTAGAACCAGAGGGGAATTCGTCACACGATATTTTGCGACTAGGTGAAATTAGACCACAGAGCCTCGATGATTAAAAGTACATGGATAACATTTCTAAGGTCTTCAGATAGTGGTTGCATTACTCCCCGTTATACTTTACCTCTAACGGTTGGTGGTCCCCTAAGCCTCTAGACTATGCGTGTCTACAGATACGAGCTTTTACTGGAACTGCTATTTATTGTTTGGGTTCACTTCACACATTTCTCGAATCTTCGCGTCTTTAAACTTCAATTCATCTTCAATTCATAAAACCGTACATTCATGAAAATCGTGCGTCCACCGTTCCTTGCCCATCCATACATCACTCATACATTCAAGCCTGGACTCATTTCCTACCACCCACCACCCAACGACCACCAACCACCTCAACTCCCAAGTAGCAGTACACCACAATAGCCAGCCTCTAAGCACAACCCCTAACTACTTTCTGCACTCCCTAATAGTGCCACCAGTCTGAGAGGGTCCACACTTAAGGTGTGAACAGCAGGGAACAAATCCCGAGCCACGATATGCTATTCCCCAAGGTTTATTAGCAATTGTGCCGTAGTATAGCAGGAACGTAAGGAAAACCAAGGTTTCAGATAAATAAACACATACCTCTCTCATAGCCGCAGTCGGAAAACTGTCTCTCGAGAAGACCGGTGTCGACACTTGCAGCCGAGGCAGTTGCAAGGATAGTAAAGAGGGTGGTGATAGAGAGAGTGAGCTTCATGTTGATGCTTGGGTTTGTTTGTTGGTAGTCAGAGATTAGATGGCTTTGGTGTTTGAAGAGGCTTTGGATGGTTTGTTGGGTTCTTTCATCTGTCGACGGGAGGGTTACTTGGTATTTATACACCGAATCTGCGAGCTTGAGTTTCTTCTTCCGTTACGGATAGACTTTCACTTCTAAGATATAAGGTTTTTCCCATTCTCTCAGGGGAGAGTGTGAATTGTCTGTACAGCTCGGGTCGTCCCACCTTGTCAATTCCTGATATACTGTACAGTCTCATATGTGTGGTCCCCAAAAAGCTTTCATTGAGCCATCCTTTCAAAGCCCGACTGGAACACAAAATATTAATTTACTTACAATACAGTCTTTCACTTCATAATTAAAAACCTCCGCCAAATCGTGGCGAAAGTCTCAATCAAACAATCCCGCTCGTCGCCCAAAAACACGGAATCGATGAAATGATACTCAAACTCAGCATAAATAATACATGTACAGATTCCGAAAACACACCGTTTTCCACAATCCACACAGGCGGCATTGTACCTCCACATGAATCGGACAATTAAATTGGCTTAGAAGGCTACATTGCGGGGTGAAGCCCCTCCTATAACACGTTGTATACAAGGGGGCGGGGACGCGAGGGGGAGACGTGAGCTGTCCAGACTCTTTACCGTGGTCAATCGATGTTATAAGAAATGCAGGGGTGGGCGAGTGGAGTACCGAGCAGTGTGGCATACCTAGTGTACAGTACACTAGAGGTCCTCCTTACAAGAATCCCCCTTCTTACCTATGCGCAGAAGATTTCGATGAGCGGGAGCTTCTTATTGTCGCACTTTTCTAGCTAGTGACAGCGCTGCCTAGTGACCGGTAAAAAGCTGTTCTCTCAATGGCTTAAAAGCAGTCTTGACAGCTTCTCTGTACTCCACCGGCCTACCCCAACATTTCTTGTAACATCGACTTATCACGGTATTTGTACAAGTGCTAGAAAAAGGCCCCGACCCGACAGCAAAATCAACTTCCACTCCCCTTAAACATAGTTGGAGTTTTAAACGTAAAGAGGGTGGTCAACTCGGATAACCTACTCCAAATAAGGAACGAATATAGGCAGAGTAAAAATAGAGATGCTATTACAAACCCGATTTTTATACCTTAAAGACTAGGAGCCACCGAGCAACAGCACGGAAGTTGTATCAATATATTATCCCGTTATCATATGTACATCTGGCTTTTAATTTTCGAAGTGTCCACTTTTAGTCTGAGTACTGGTACTCAACGACACTGCTACCTCCTCAAGTGGTGGGGAGCAAATCGGACCAAGCTCCGTAGCGCCTAGGCACCATTTCCGACCGGTCCGACCGCTCAAATAGGAAGTCGTAGACTTTAAACCCTAGATGTACATATGATGGCACGAGGGGATTTACTGGTAGATCATATCTACTTGTATCAGTTCCGTACTCGAGTTGACTTGCCCGAGCTGTCTAACTTCTTTACTCTAGGAGGAGTTTGGAGAGGAGCAGCAAGAGCAGCTTCAGGGTATTTTAGTATAGTTCAGACCAAGAATAAGGCATCTATTGTTTGGCTCTCTGTGTCGAGCTTTGAAGTTAGAAATTTGCAAGACAGAAAAGTTGAAAGAAGGCATGTGAGACAATTGAAAGAAGATGACCTCAGCCTGTAAGGCATCCACAGGTTTCTGTGATGGGAACTACCCAATACCACCGTTTGTACTCCAAATAAATTTTAGATGATTCCAAGGTTTTCAGAAGCTTTCTCGGACAGATAACTTTACTTCACAGCTCTTGTGGAATTGATTCACAGAGATGGTTCCGTAGAGCAGGTTACGAAGTTTCGTGGTAATGGTTTCGATGGCTTTCCCCCAGCAATAATGGTATGATACAATGCCCCTCCATCAGTCGATATGGAGCTTCCTAAAACCACCCTGTTCGAAATATATCCACAGCCCCTTCCGATCCTTCCATCATATCAAACTCAGTGTTTTTCGGTAGCCTTTCCGGCGTTTGGGTTTCTTGGGTCATTCTTGAACTCGTCGGCTGGAGTTTCAGGATTAGCACTTTTCTGTAGTCGACTAGAAGTACCACTGCTAATAACGAATAGGATCCGCATGAGGAAAATGGCAACATACTGTTCATCATCATGGTCTGGAAAGAGTTGACACCATACATGACAACAAGGCCTATATCTCTCATCAGTCTTCGTCCTTCGCACCCTCTTGGATTCCTCCAATTGACCCGGCATAGTTTCCGGATCGGTCGTATAGCCTATCGAGGGTACGTACCAGCAATGAAGAATGGCGCATATGGCTTAGCTGTAGAGGGTTGCGATATTAGCTTCTGTCCATTCCAAGCTCCTTCGTTGCGCAATTGAGCAGCACCCGGGGGCAAGAGTACTTACCGACAGGCGCCGGGAATTTCTTTGGTAACCAAGACATCTTGAATGTGTGTGTAGAGAGGAATTGAGGTGTTTTGGTTTATGGACTGAGTTGTATGGTGGGTGGATGGCAGAGCTGTGGTGTTGTGAAAGTATCGCCGAGAGCCGCTTTGAAAAGTGGATTGGGACTAGCGTGGTATCACGTGGTTGGGTCAGCTGACCTGCGTCACCTTTGCACTTTGGGACCCCGCTTAGTCAGGATGTTTACTTTTAGGACCCCAATTGAGTGGCAGATATATAACGAAACCCTCTTTCCAAAGTCAAATCTTATGCTACCTAGGTAACTACATATGATAGCAGGGTACTCATGTGCAATTGAAAACAGGCTAGTCTGAGATTCCCAAGCTAAGCTTGCTGCTTGCTGCTTACATATATCCGATTCAGTCTGTACCCCCGTAAGGTTCAACGCCAGATTGAAAGTGCGGGGTGAAGACCCACCATGATTCTCGCTGGCCAATGAGAAGCTCGAATCTGCAACTCTGGCTACCCTGCTGTCGCGCCTTGGCTCTCTGCTCGTTCTGGTACAAGATCACCCCAGTTCGTGCGAGCTTCATCTTCTGTCACTCAGTTTCTGACCTCCACCACTTCCACTTCTTCCATTCAAACACCAAGACACTCTCGGAGCGGCGATCGTTAATATACCCACCGCTGCGCCTGACTTGACACGCATATCTTCAATCAATCACTTCGAGTGAGCTTCGCCTTCTTAGACGCAGGTCAACCTATAAGCACCAAGATCAAGCTCCCAAGTCCTGTTCCTTTGAGCTTCCGAGCTTCCTGCAACACCACCACCAAATTTCTCTCCATTTGCAACTTCCCAAACACGATCACCATCACCATGTTCACCCGTCGTCTCCTCAAAGCTCCCGCATCTTTGGCTGCTCCAGCTGTCCTCGTCCGGCCCTTCTCCAGCATTGCAGTCCTCGCTCGTACACCCTCGATCTCTGACATCACACCGGATGGCGTCAAGTTGTTTGAGGCAAAGCAGAAGGCGTTTCGCGAGCGAATTGCTGGGCAGTCCAGAAGAAAGGAAACATCGACCGGTAAGTCGGCAGAAACCACACCCCAATGCGTTGCCTGTTTCCCGCACTTCCCTTCCCTCCTCCACTGCTCCATCTGCGAGCAATGCGGGCTCACGCACATCTAACATTTTTTGGCTCCGTCTTCATCAGACTCACAAGGTGCATCTGTAGCTACCGAAGAGGATGATAAGCGCAAAGGCAAGCTAAGCAGTCTGATCTATGGCACGAAGGAGGGTCGCGAAATGGATCGCGAGATTGAACATTCCTTTTCACAGGTCCTGGCAAGAGGCAAATACGTTCATAGCATCGTCTTTCACGAGGTCAAGCCCGAAAAAGTTGACGAATACGTCGATTTGGTCGGAAACTGGTATCCAAAGATGGCCGGAATGCCAGACAACAAGGTCAATTTGGTTGGCAGCTGGAGGACAGAGGTTGGCGATTGTAACACCTTTGGTAAGGCATCTGCGATATCTTGTCAAAAGAATTATCAAATCTAATGATACTTCAGTTCATATCTGGGAATATCAACGATACCAAGGATACCACAGCTCTCTCCACAGTATTTCTAATCACCCCGACTTCCCCGCATTCGATAAGAAACTCAAAACTCTCATTACCGCCAAGCGAACCTCCCTAATGCAAGAATTTTCCTTCTGGCCTACCACGGCTCCACGACAACTGGGTGGTGTTTTCGAATTACGTTCGTATACCCTCCATCCGGGAAACCTTTTAGAGTGGGAGACCCATTGGCGTCGTGGACTTGGTGCACGCAGACAGGTGATGGAGGGAGTTGGAGCGTGGTTCGTCCAAATTGGCGATCTGAACACGGTCCACCATCTTTGGCAATTCGCGGATTTGGAGGAGCGGAAGGTTAGGAGAGAGCAGAGTTGGAGTGTTGAGGGCTGGGGAGATACCGTTCATAAGACTGTGCCATTGATCCAAAGCATGAAGTCTCGGGTTCTGGTTCCAATGCCATGGTCCCCTGTTGCATGAGCGATTGCTACTTGCTGGCCAAGAGTCAAGATTCATTTCTCCAATCTCATGTCCGTTCGTATTATGTTTTTTAAGGAGCGCGAGTCGTTGGAACCAGACCACCAAAGTCATGGTAATTAGTTAAGTCTGGAATCTGGTATTATGCATGGGAGTTGAACATGTCTGACATGATGCCATTGTGCATCAAGTTATGACTGTTGTGTATGTTATATTGATGGGCCGCTGCGGAAATGGTTTCCATGAGTTATCTTTTTTAGGGACATGACAGCATGCTTTGGAGCTTTGCTGAATATTTGAGCATTCGATTTTGGTTTGGTAGAATCAAAGTACGTTGATGAATGAAGCCTCTTTCCCAAAAACCCCATTTTCGAGATTGGTTTGTATCTCCTCGACTAGTGATGAGGCGGCTAATGCGTTCTTCTGATTCGCATATTTGGAAGAGCGGGCTCGCTGTATCCTCCATTACCACCACGACTTTCATTCAGCATAGTCTTATTCACCCATAAATCCTCCTTCCATATGCATCGCTCCATCATGAGAAGATCACCCTCTCGCAAGCAGATCCATCAAACGACCTATTCCTGGTAATAGAGTAGGATGAATCTTCCCATTAATGACGGTGACGAATGGATTTTCTCGCCGTGGTTTTCACTACTCTCCCCATTTTTTCTCAACTCGGTCTATTAGTTTTATTTCAAGCTAGCTGGTGGGGCTTGGGGGGGAGGTGTTCGATATGATATGTCTCCTTTTCGATCGATTACCGCCTCAGTTAGATTTACGGAAATTTACAGGTAGGGTTATGCGCTCGGTGTTTTCTTGGTAATTGGGCTTGGGCTTGGTTGTGGGAGGAGAATGGTGGAGGAAGGGTTACTGTAGCTTGGGGCTTCGCCTACGTCGTGTGTATGACTAATGACAGCGCTTACTCTTTCGTTCATAATATTACTACTTAGAGAACTTGGATAATCTTTATTATGGGATTTTGTGATTGTGATGGTATATACTATAGCTAGTAATAGTATCATAGATATTTATATCAAAAATATAGCAGATATAGTTTCAAATAAAGTATAGTACCTTTTTATAAAGTATCTACTAAGTTTCCATCTTAATATCAACTAGAAACAAAATCTATATTTCCCGTATTAAGATCTAACACTAGACTAATCATCTCTAAACCGGACTAGCATATTCGAAGAAAAGAGTCTCTTTAGCGAATATTAGTAATACCGAGTTAGGGAGGAGAGAGGCGATATATACCTACCCACGCCTCAAAAATATCGAGATCTACTAAGGATCTTTCAAAGGATAGAGGCGTTGGCTCTGAGTATGTTTCAGACAGATCCTGAAAATGAAGATCAGAATGACGGAACGTAGAGGCGATAGCTGGAACCTGTGAGATCACCGAATTTGGGGAGAAGGTGTTTTTATTTTTTGGGTTAAGGTCGTGGTCAGGTCCCTGCTCCGAGTCTAAAGAATTTGGATGATATTGTGTTTTTAGGAGACCCGCTAGGCTTACTTCCCAAAGATCTCCTAATGCTATACGTGACGATTTTCGGGTCCGTTGATCATGATGAGATATATCACAAGAAATCTTCATAGGTCTTCTTGGTGTTCTGGGCGGACCAGATCAGATACAAGGACGTAGTTTAAAAAAGAGTCATTATCTTGATCTTGAACCATTTCACTTCGAAATAACCCCAGAAGGGGCGTTCACAGCTCCTATATCTACTCCCGTGGATACTCTCAAATCGGTACGAGAAGCTTGAAGTGAATTTGACCGTTCATTACACAGGGTTACTTGAGTGCCGAGAGAACAAAAGAACTACCTAAGTTAGCCCTAGAACCCATATAATCCACTCACCTGCCCTCCGCATTAATCTCTCCAACTATCCAACTTCCAAGTCCTATTCCCTTCTCCCAAATCCACTTTTCAGTCCATTCACCTCACACCCACCCAACTACCCCTACGCCGTACTTTACCAGCAACAGACGGAACTCTCGAGACCGATATCTTCATAGTGAATCCCTATATTACCTATTCAGGCAAGCCAAAAGTTTTGCTGCATATCGCACCGAGGTCTGCACCTCAGAAAATCGACACTTGGACACCTTGATACGGACCTTAAGAACGGTAACCGGCACTTGGAACTTCCGAGTCCCGACTTCGCCGTGACGTCTATAGTGAATACAACTCGCTAACATTACCTTTACCTGGATAGGCAGCTGAGACTTTTGTTGTACATCGCACCTAGGTCTGCACCTCAAGAAATCGACACTTACACCCCTTTGATACGGACAAACGGTACTTGGTACCTCTCGAAATACTGTATCCGCAATATAGAAGATACACTATATACATCGGAATGCTCGTGAGTTCTCGAAAGTAAAGAGACGTGAAAAACCACCAAGAAGAGAACAGCGGGAACGATCTTCGATCCACACATTGTAATGTTGAGATCTTTTTTGGACCGTCATGGATCTGGAAGTATAAAACTTGCAGAGTATTTTTCACTCAAAGATATAATAATCTTTGCGTACTAGGCAGAAATTACAACTCAGCTCTCATGTTTTGTTCTTATATAAATTACCTTGATCGTCACCTGTGAAAAGGGGGCGCCATAAGAACGGGTACTACAGTAAATCAACCATATTCCCGGTCTGGATATAAACTCAAGAGATACCAACCGTTGCGGGACCGGCGTTTCGCGCAACTCCTTCTTGTACATCACAGTCTATAACGACACCCCTTGAACACTAGCTCTATTCTCCGAGAAAAGGGATTCCCGCATGCTATAAAGAAAACATGTATAACAAGAACCATTATAAACCAACCGGTATAACTTAGCTGACAGGTTAGTTTCTTTTTCTTTTTCTTCTTTTGAATTCCCCGCATTTCCCAAAGCTCGATGCGGTTACAGAATTTAGGGCTAAGTTATGGAAGCTCTCATAACGCCATTAGAATCTTTCCATCCAGCGATTTCGTAATCCCGCGTGGATGGGGTTTGGGTTGAATTAGACTGCTATGATCCTTTTCCTCATTTTATGACCTTCTAATGTATTCCTCTCGTTGGTCGGAACTGTTCTTTGCTAAATAGAAGGCACGACCAAGCTAGAGGGTACGGAGAAGCTTGCGCTGTTACGCCTGTGTCTCCAGATGAAGTGTTGTAATGGTAGTAATTCGTGATCGCATATTCAAACAGTTGGAAGAAGCAGCCTCAGAACCGACGACCACCACGCCGACCTCCAAGCCAAGGAACACCCGAAGCTCTCCCACCAATCAAAACCACCCGCTTACGCCTGCGCCCCACAAATCTGCCAAAACAATCTTGATATCTCCAAACAACACATCCCCCACCACGAAAACTGGGATCTCTGCTCGCCTGGCCCAGTCAGTTAGTCTGTGATCATCGATCACCCTGAAGCGCCACACATGCTAACTGTTTCGCATACGCATACGCATACGAGGATGTAAGAGAATCGTGTCGGTGGGGCCCTACACTGGAGAAAAAAATTCAAAAACTCAGTTCGTCTGGTTATTGAACCTGGTAGGAGGTTTTTTTTGCCATTTCTTTTGGCGAATCTTTTTGCCATTTTCCTAGTTGGCCTGTCTTTTTCCAACTGCTTATACTGAATTCTAATGAGGGCCGCCATCTTGGTTGCTGCGGAGCTAGGGGCTCTTTAAGCTTGTATATATATGTCACATATTCAGGGGGTTTATCTGGAGATGAAATGTAGTTTCGATTATCTCTGTCCTTTACTTTTGGCGCTCTATGTAAATATTATATTATGAAAAGAAATTGTAGGGATTTATTTCTTCTAATTGTTTGGATGAGTAGAGTATCAAGCACCTCCGGCACCACTACCAAAGGTATGGATAGGTAGACACTAACGTCTAAGTCATGTGTAACCACTGAAATTGTCGTTTGGGCATAACAACCAAAGAATCCCCAAGTCCATGAGAAAATTTGAAAGTTGTATGGGGAACAAAGTACTACGACAATAAGCAACCACGAGAACTAACCATGCCGCTGCGCAAACGCATATGTATCCGAAACACCACCACAGCCCTCGCAAGGAATAGATGCCCCATACGTGCAAATATTACACACCTTGCAATGCCACTCGCGCCAATTCATACATTCCCCACACGTCCGACAATGGCTCGTGTTACCATCGTCCTGCCAAGAGCGCATACAAAAGCTACAATAGTGGTCAAAGTATTTGAAAAGCGTCGTTTCTCGAGGCCGTGAAGCAACGCCCAGTCCCGCAAGAAGAAGGTCGTTCAAAAGCGCATCTTGTTCCTCGGGGCTAGGATTCGACGAGGCCTGTAATCCCTTCCAAGCTTTCTTCCATGCAGGGAATCCTTTCTCGTCATCGAACCCCATATCGGCATAATCCTCGAATCTGGCATCGGTCAAAGGGCCGAGAATGAAACCAATACGTGGTGGTTCTTCCTCTGTTCGAACCCGGTAGTTCGGGATGAACTCTGGTGGCCGGTGACCGAGCACGTGTAGGATCAAATCCTTCTTGAACTCTGGCTTTCGCAAGAGTTTGTCGATATTGGCGTGTGCTTTCACCTTGTTAGATCCCTTGGGCATGAAGCTCTGCAGATACGAGATGAGACATGGTTGCGCGCGAACTTCCGGGACACCGAAGAGGGTTGAGAGGTTGTGGAGGGGGTTGATACATCCGGCGCAGGTACAGCCTTTGGAGCATCCGGCGCCGAAGTAAACACATTTGCACGTTAGGGAGTCGAGTATGCATCCTCCCTTGCATTCGCATTGCAGGTCCTCAGGACAATCTCTCGGGTTGTCTCTTTTCTGACATTGTGTTAGAGAATTTTGAGGATTTGCTGGGGGTTTTGTCTTTTTACCTCAGTTACTTTTCTGTTTCTATTCCTTCCATCTCCCGCTTGCCTACCTGGGTCGTAGGTTTCCGATAACTCCTCGAAATCATAGATATCCAGTATCCCATCTGAATCATAAGCTTCCGACATACCCGCTGATGGTTCGGAAGAGGTTGGTTTCTCGTTTCAACCAATGACTTTACTTGTTCGAGTGTGAGAGTGGGTGACGAAGTATAAAAAGGTTTGGGAGGGTTTTCTTTCACCTAAAGTGAGCAAGGTCGGCACTTCTGGCTGAGCCTCTGGTATATGGTCGTCTATGTTGAGGTAGCCTTCAGTTGAAATAAGGTTATCGCCTTGGTTGCTGGTGGTTGTAGACGTTGGGCGGAATTTGACCATTGCCCCACGGCGCCCGCCAGGTCACACCTTGGCCAATAGCCGAGCCAGTAGGAAAGTAGAGTATATCAGACAGCACTTGGTGAGTAGGTGGCGTCTATAAAGTAAGGGATGATTTTTAAAAGTTGTAGAGATGCATGACTTATTTTGGCCGATTTTAATAATTACAAGTTCGGTTTAGAACAGTTATATTTAGAGTTCGAAGCGTAAAACATAAGGGATATATGAGACTTGATACTGATGTACTTTCCTTAGCCCCTTTTGATTTGTGTGAAAGATTATAGGCTAAGAATCACAAGTCTTTAAACATGGATGTTCCAGTCTAATGACTCTATCACTTTTGTTAACATTCAAGTGTTTAACAAGACGACATTTCGTGAATCGTGATAGCAAAAGTACATGTATCATCTAACCTAGCAATCGTCTGATAAGTGCCACAGTGCGAAATAATCAGCCCCTATGGTGATTGTACGTACAACCATTAGACTGATTAGCTAAAGTAGAAAATCGAATTATAACATTAGCACCCGATCCCTACAAATAACAAAGCAAATGTTAATCGAGAGAAGATGTAAGGATTCAGTTGCATAATTTGTACCGACCCGCTCTTTCCCATGAGCAAGAACTCTGTGTTTCTTTCCCGTTTTCATCATCATCCCGTTGACCTGTGAATATAGGCAAAAAGAAAACGGGAGAACTTACCGCTTGTCTACATCAGAATGTCCGTTTAGTAGCTTACTTTTATAGGACAGCGAATTCTGAAAGGGGCGACAGCAGCTCTCGCTATATTAGGATCTGATACTATAAGGTACCCGAGTAACACGATTTCTTGTCAAAGTCAGCATGATTCGCAATCCCTGCTTGTTCGATACGTATTCTTGAAGTAAAGAAGAAATATCAGCTGGGCGTTAACAACCTGTGCTAATCACAGTCCGCCCAAGGGGTGGTTAGTCCCCGCCTCTTCGCTGCTACGTGCCCATATAGCATACGAAGATTGACTAGTCATCATGTATATCACGAATATTAAGACGTGCTTCAAACAGAAATAAAAAGGTTTACGTACTCAAGAATCTCTAGGGAACCAATTACTCAAATTTCCGATGGAATGTGATAGATCGCTGTGGATCATTTCTGAGTAGTTGAATCTCTCAATCGGTTCACTCTTTCATGCAGCAAGGGGCTGCCATCGCTTCTAGTACCCACCAACTCATATGCCCGGCGATGTTTGACAGTCCCTCGAGTCTGTTGTGAAGGAAAGTCTCGGAACGATAAAGGTAGAAATAGAGCCTGGGAGAGATATTGGTCAGAAATGTCTGGGTTTGTCAGAGAAGGCTTAGAAGACTCTCGGATAGACAAGCTTCAGGACTGCTATTATTGCCACGTGCCCATGCTGCAAAATAATTTCTGGAATTCATCATGATTTCTCGGAAGGCCAGGGACTATAGAGCTTGAACTGCACCTACTCTGTTGAATTGATTGTATAGACATAACACAAACAGCTGAAATGCCCTCACACGTTAGCATCTTTCCATCCACAGTAATTGGAGAAATGGAATCAGTGTTCCCCCAAACTCCGGAATCTTCTATCATATAACACCTACAAAAATGCTGGCATGGATCTTACGAAGGAAAAACCCAACAAGAGAAAAACAAAAGTCAAAGGAAAAGCCAACACATATGATCCTGGTCTCAAAGGCGTCATTGATGCTGCTACGTACTCATATGACAAACACCTAACAACTGATCATGCTTGCCACGCATATTTGAAAATCAAGAAAAGAGAAGGGCTTACATTATATCAAAGTTCGAGGTATCTATTACTCCACTCGATAAGTTTGTTTTTGCAACCTAGAGTTCTGTTCCTTTATTGTGTGAGAAGGTCCTTGGTACGAAATCTCTACTCCTCATTTCTGAGGAACGGAGTCCTTAACAATGTCTCGGTCCACGGGTAACCAAAGATGGAGACATCAATGAACTGCAAACCTATCTTCGTGATGTCAGTAAACAACCATAAAACTAATTGGACGATGAGTGGAAAGTAGGATCTTCGCCTATCAGTAAACAACCATAAAACTAATTGAACGATGAGTGGAAAGTAGGATCTTCGCCTATCAGAACTCTAACCGGTAATTTCATGATTGAAATAGCCTCAATTCAAAGAAAAAAATCCACGTATTGTAAATTACATCATATTGGCAGAATTGTATAAAGCAAATGAAGCTGGAACTTGAACTGACCTCGGAGACACTATTGACATATTTCCGCCATGGGACTTGTTGTCAAAAAAGCTCTAGACCGCGTAGTGGGCAGAGCGACACAAGGGCGCGACGCGAGACTCACGCTTGAGGATTTGTCCGTCGCGAGCTAGTAGGAACGAACACGTTGGTAGCAATCTTCGAGGGGGGTTCTGCTCAGACTAACTGCAAACCAAATTAGCATACCCTAAGCAGTAAAAAAAACCTCGTTCTGTGTAACAGACCCCCGGAACTTACACACCGAACAAATGAGGACAGCTCAGAAACATGTAAACTACCCAAGTCGTATACCCACGAACGTACTGAAAGAGCTGAAGCTGCTTCAGATCCTGGTGGTGCTGGTGATGGCGTAAACACCTCGAAATTTCGACACAAAACGCGTCAGATTGATCGTAGCAGTGGGCACTTTAGTACCTATGGCATAGTTGTAGGAAGAAAGGAACTAGGAGATCAGTAGCGCCCCGTATGGGGTGGACGTGGACGTGGACGCTTCGCACCTGTCATGAAGGAAACCTGGGAGTCTGGGACACGAGGTGATGTGATGGCCATGGGGAGCTCGAGGGAGATCAGAGGAAACGGGTTCGCTTGTATCTGGAAACGTCGTATTAATCAATTCAGAGGTCGTGGCACAGATTTGAAGTGGATTGAAAGAATCATGGCGCACACTTCCGGAAAATTCCTGATGACCTTGGGTTTTGAGGTGGAGGTGGTTGAGAGAGTTGAGGAAGGAGCCACTGAGTGAGTGAGCAATGGTAAAAGCGGCAAGAAGTACGCATGCAGCAAAACCATCCCAACTTTTTTCTTTCACTCCATCGTCGACTCCCAAGATTTGTTAGCACCTTTTTTAAAAAAAACTATAGCCACCTATCTTTTCAACTTGCGTCCAGTAAGACTCTAACCCAACTAATGACGAAACCGTTGGTTGTCACTCCACCAGCGTCGTACTATAAAACCGTCTCCTACGCGAGAAATAAAAAAATTAGTTAGTGCTTCAAACATCATGACTTTCGTCATGGAAAGGCTCAGCTACGCAAAACCCAGCTAAAGCGTGAGTTCTAGAGTATCCTCATCATAAAAGAATCATGACATCAAAATGAGGAGTCGTGCATATATCTGTCCGCGTTTCCCTCTTCTGCCCGTATATCTTGACAACAAAACTTATATACTCACCAATACGTTCCATCTTCTCTGAAAGGAAATTATATACATCATCGAAAATGTCTTCCACCACAACCAAGAGACCACATGGTTCTTCATCTCGGAACCCGAATAATCCTCCCAGCTACAAGGAGTCGGTGGAAAAGGACTTGCCAGCCGTTCGCGCACGAGGTATGTATTCCATCCCGACTTTCATAGGAAATATAACTTGGATACCAACTATGGATCTAGCATACGATATGTATGTAACCGCGTATCCAAAAACGAAATTCGGAAACCTCGAGGAACTCGAAGTCCACAACCAAGAAATAGCATTAGAACACATCGAAAAAGCGTACTACAAGCACAGAAAACAACTCAAGAAAGCCACAAAAGAAGTGCAAGTTCGCGGTTCGTCCTCCTCTCTCTCCCCCTTCAAACCCCCAAACAAAAGAATCATCAATAAATCAAGAATAAAAGACTAATGAAATACCCACAGCATTCTCCCTCTACCAAATGCGCCACCCCTACAAAGACCACACCTCCATCCTACAAGTCCAATCCGAGAACTACAAGCTCGCAGACCACTACATAAACAAAGCCTACTACCTCCTCCAAAAGGAGCTCAAAGCCGAAGAAGACCGCCGCAACGCCGCCATCGAGGAGCTCAAAGCGGCCCTCTACGCCGCGGAAGAACGACAAGCCAAGAAGCGCGAGGAGCAACTCCTCCTCTCCGCGCAGCAAACCGTGCAATCCGCACACGTCACCTCGGAGCAGGAAGAGCGCGATGCCAAGCTGCGCGAGCGCGAGAACCTGTGGATTGGGATTGGGCAGCAGCGCAGGTTGTATCGACATTGTTGTTTCAACGATCGCGAGAATGGGGGGGCGGTGGAGGAGGATACCAAGGAGATGGGGAGGAGGCTGAAGGGGAAGGAGAAGAGGTGGAGGGAGATGAAGAGGGGGCAGGTGGATCTGGTGGAGAAGTATTTGGATTGGAGGACTCAGGCGTTGGAGGAGAAGACGGGGTGTTTGGCGAGAACGTGGTTTCGGATGAGGTATCCTCTGTGGAAGTATAAGGGGCAGCAGGCGCCGCCCAGAAAGGATTTATAGGAGGTTGTAAAAAGAGTATATGAACGTACAGAAATAAAAGTTTGGGTTTGGGGAATCACACTCTTTGAGATGCAACCATCGGTCCTTCCAGTCTTGCTTGCACAATCGCAACCATCTCCGTTCCAAAATGACCTCCCTTCAACACTACCTCAGGTAAAGGCAACGTCAAATTTATACCAGTCAATTCCCCAATCTTCTTCTCATTCCAAACCACATGACGATGCTCAATCTTCCTGCCCTTAATCGTACCCTTCTCGACCTTCACAATCTTCGGAGTAGGATCACACCCAACAAACACGACATCACACGCCCTCTCAGCCTGAGGAAGATCCGAATCAACCCAAAGTTCCACATCATCCGTATCCACGATGATATCACAAGACATCGACTTGCAGATCCGACAAGCTGTTCTGACGATATTTTACACATCGTCGGTACCACCTCCTGTTCCGCAAGCGAGACCGTTGACGACGACTTGTGGTATAAAGATGTTGCTCTTTCCCCGATCCATGACGTCGGCCCGTTGGCACTAATCCCACATCTTGTAACCGAACGTACCCGCCTATTCGCTGTTGTTAAAGTATGTGACGTTGTAGGTCGAGAGATGGAGTGGAGGTTGTAGTCTTTTTTGGTCTTGTTATGGATTTTGCGAATCGTCGGTGGGCATGATTGACAGGCTTGAAAAATGTACAGCGTTGGGTTATTTGATGTCAGTATTCTACTTCCCAATGAGAAAAGCTCCCTTCTGGTTGAGATAAGAAGTTTAGAAAAATGTATCTTACTCGACAATGGCAGGGGGTTGGACGTCAATGAAAGAAGCGATTGTATGAACATGACCTGGTTGATTCTCCAAGTCATGGAACATGTATTTGCATGATACTCCAACGATGGAAGACATGACCATGACCAGCTTTGGATTGAAACTAATGGTGTAACACAATGGAATACGGATGAAGAAAGATTTAAAAGATGATGAAATAGAAGCTACAATGTGGAAAGAACTGATTTGTTTTCTTGTATGTTCTTCTAGTACTCGAGTATATATATACATAAAAGAATGCGCAAAAAATCGTTTCAAGACCTCAATATCACCTGCGCAGATAGAATGGCGGTCCTCTGAACAGCCGAGATCTCTCTTCGCACGACTTCCAGCTTAAAGCAGGATTGTACAGCACTCCAATGCTTGAAAGACTTGGAATCGGTCTAGCGCTTACGTAGTACTGTGTTTTCAAGCAAATATAATCCCATAGGGTTGAAGTGGGAGTGGGAAGGGGATAAAATTTGGAACCTCCTTGGCTCGCTTAAGAAAAATCACCACCAGTTCCACACGGTATCTGCCTATGCGACGATTGTATAAACCCGACGTGTCTTTTAGTTGCGCCACAGACGGTGAAATTCAGTGCTCGTCTGTTAATCCATGGTTGGTATCTAGAACGGGGATAAACGCATAGTCGTGTGCGAGAATCCAGATAGATGATGGCGGTGGCCTTGATCTATCGTAAGTCGTATGAAGTTTTTTTACATATTCTTGACCGGTTTATTGGCAGAACGATAATCCCGGGGCTCAAGGCCTTTTTCTCAATGCTCCCGGTTGAAAAGAACCGGTGTCCAGAAATCAATAATTTAGGTTCATCCGCCCATTCGCAACGCCGGCAATGCACCAGATTCGACTCCAAGTAAACGTCATTTTATCATATTTCTCTTGCCACCTTTTTTGCCAGTTTCCTCTGCTCTTCGATTTTTAATGCCTTTTCGTCGGTCTCCTGGATGGCTCTTCCGATCGCAATGGTGCCCTTTACACTATTACTGTTCACCCAAACTTTCCCATTTCGACCAACAGCTATCTCAAATGCAACGCCCTGACCTCCTAGCTCGTCCAAAATGACCAACGCCCCTTGCTCAACTGGTTTGGGCAACATAAGACGCCTTGCCATGCCCAGGGAAATATCAAAAACCATTCCGCCAGTAAGCGGACCCAAGCCTTCAGACTTTCCCGTTGACTGCGATACACATTCCAACTCTGGATCCATATGCTTATTCGCATGGGTGACTCGTGCATATACTAGGGCGCCGAAGGAGAGCTGGGGTCGTGTTTTCTTTGTCGCGCCCTCAAAAGAGAGCTGGGGAAGTGTTGCTTTGGGGGCATAATCGCTGACGCTCGCGTAGAAGATGTCTACCGCCGAGTTTTGAATGGTCGCAATCACCAAGTCACCGGTGGTAGGAATGTACTGCAAAAGAATGAATCAGTCGTCATTCTAGGTGACCGTGAGGATAAGATTGGAATGGAATTGCATACGCGACCGCCATTGAACTCTACCCAAACCGCATTTTTTCTCTTATCTGTACATAGCTGGCCTGCGACGGTGGGTGTGATGGTGTTTGGAGGGATATGGCGCAAACCGGGACCAAGCTTCAATGGAAGAGTTGGATGTGAGGGCAGCGATGCGGGGTCGAGTCGGTCGCCCGGGAGCACGAAAGTTGAGGTTCTCGTTGATGCCATTGCCAATGGCACAATCTCTTGTAAAGAAGAGAATGTGGTTGAGTTGTGATTGCTGTAGGCGCGACGGTACCTTCGCGGTGTTGCATTGTACAGTGGTGGTTCTCAGCCTTCTCTTTGGTGGGGCAAGCGGCCCTGGGCTAGTGAAAAAAAAGTTGCCCTCCATACATTGCCCTCGACCTTGAGACCCTAGAACTTCAACACCATCCATACAGAAACCAACTCATTTTCCCCCTTCTCTCTTCCTCGCACATCTCCATTCAAAATGGCTGTTGAAGGATCTTCCGCTGCGCCTACTGCGCCTGCAGAGCGTCACGCAATCGGTATCTCCATTGGAAACTCCAACAGCAGCATTGCTATCACAGTTGACGACAAGGCTGAAGTTATTGCCAACGAGGATGGTGGTATGTATTGCCTCAATATGTATACCAGCGCCTGCGAAATATGTGTATCATGTATAGATTTCATGGAAACTGATTCCCTTGCTAGATCGTCAAATTCCAGCAATCTTGTCTTATGTCGACGGCGAGGAGTATACTGGACAGCAAGCCAAGCAGCAGCTTATCCGCAACAGTGCCAACACAGTCGCATATTTCAGAGATTTCTTGGGCCAGGAGTAAGTTTGGCCAAATTGGTCTTCCCCTCTTCCTCATTCGATTTGTGTTGAGACTGATATCCCCTGCCAGCTTCAAGTCAATAGACCCCACCCACTGCCACGCCTCTGCACACCCCCACGAACACGAATCAACAATCGCTTTCACCATTCAAGATAAGGAGGGGGACGAAAAATCAACCGTCACAATCTCGGAAATTGCAACCCGTCAACTTCGTCGTCTGAAGCAGTCTGCTTCTGATTACAGTGGTAAAGAGGTCAACTCAGCCGTCATCACCGTCCCCACCAACTTTAGCGAAAAGCAAAAGGATGCTCTAAACAAGGCTGCCGCTGCCGCCGGTATCGAGGTTCTACAGTTCATCAACGAGCCTATCGCAGCCCTTTTGGCCTACGATTCCCGTCCAGAGACCAAGGTTGGTGATAAAAACGTGGTTGTTGTAGATCTTGGAGGAACTCGTTCCGACGTCACTGTTATTGCATCAAGAGGAGGCATGTACACTATTTTGGCTACAGCACACGATTATGAGTTTGCCGGTGTACACCTCGACAAAGTCTTACAAGACCATTTCTCCAAGGAGTTCATCAAATGGAACTCCATAGACCCACGAGAGGATGCCAGAAGTTTGGCCAAACTCAAGTTGGAATCAGAGGCAGCCAAGAGAGCGCTGAGCATTGGTACTAACGCCAGTTTCAGTGTGGAGAGTTTGGCTGAGGGTATTGACTTTACATCAACCATCAACAGACTTCGTTATGAGACTATCGCAAGAAAGGTTTTCGAGGGATTCAACCGACTGGTTGAGGGCGTTGTTAAGAAGGCTGGTCTTGATGTTTTGGATATTGACGAGGTCATCCTTTCTGGAGGTACTTCACACACCCCCAAAATCGCCAAAAACTTCCAAGCCATTTTCCCGGAAAGCACAACCGTGCTCGCACCTTCAACCACACCTACTGCTATCAACCCATCAGAGCTTTCAGCTAGAGGAGCAGCATTACAGGCTTCATTAATTCAAGAATACGAGTCCGAGGATATTGAGCAATCAACTCACCCTGCTGTCACCACCGTTAAGCATCTTTCCAACGCTATCGGTGTTCTATCCATCAGTGGCGATGAGACCAAGGGAGTTTTCAACCCCGTGCTTTCCGCGGAAACTGCCGTACCAGCACGACGAACTGTTCACGTGGCTGTTCCTAAAGAGGGCGGTGATGTTCTGATCAAGATTGTTGAAGGAGGAAGCCATATCAAGGTCACCAAGGTCGAGCCAAAGCAGAATGGTAAGAAGAGCGATGATGAGGATGACAGCAGTGACGAGGAAGATAGCGACGAGGAGCCCGAGGAACAGAGAGAAAAGGTCTGGAAGATCGGAAACGTTCTTGCCGAGGCTGCGGTTAAGGACACCAAGAAGGGAGGAAAGGTTGAGGTGATGATTAACGTTGCCGCTGATTTGAGCGTGACCATTACTGCCAGAGAGGTTGGTGCCAAAGGTGGTGTTAGAGGTAATCTTAGCGCGCCTTGATGATCCTTTCGCGGACAAGTCAAATGTGTCTTAACGATTTCCTTAAAAAAAGTTCGATTGGTTAGACGGTCACGATTTTTCTCTTTGCTGATTGGAAGCGCTCTGTGTTAGATATCTCCAAACAGGAGACGGGGGGTTCTATAGAATGCAGGATTCTTGCATGACACATAGGATGGACGTAGAAGTCGAATAAAGAAAAGAAATACAGACATTTAAATCTTAGGCCAATATGGCTGTTCATCTTGCTCCGTATATATTTCGCCACAATTGGCTCTCTACCTATAGCTGGTCGGGCAACATGATCCCCAAGGAAATACCTATGGGTATTAGTATCTCACTTTTGGGACCTAGGGCAGGAGCAACAGCAGTCACTTCCCTGGCCATATACAAAACTTACTGGTTCTCAAGGATGCCACTTGTCTCGAGGTCGTGCTTTCCTCCTCGTCAAACTTTACCCAGGCCCGTACGACCAGCTAAGGGGACGCTCCTCCACCCTGAATCAACTGTTGCAATGCTTTGGCCAAAAAGGGTACTCAAATGTCGCTCCCTGAATGGAATATCTAGCCATCCTTCATCCTCGATAATTTTGGAGTTCGGTCTACAAAATCGAGGCAGTTTCGGCTCATATTGACGACGACATGACATGCGACTACCTAAGCTTGGACTTCTCGTAAAGGGCCAATCAACAAGGTCATATTGATTATATCTTCCCAAGCACCTGCCGGTACTCATTAGTACAGTTACAGGGAGTGAAGTGGAGTGCTTAACAATGTATTTCCACGTTTCTGTGGGTTCTACCAAGGACTCAATCTACATTTTCCCCGCATATTCTATAGAAAAGCGCTGATCAGCTGGCGTAGACATGGATGTTTTCTCGGTTTGGTAAGTATTATTTGATTTGGTGGCAATTTGGGGCTAAAATGTTTCCCCGCATTTTCACTTAAGCTCCTCTCGCTACCAAACTTTTTTAACTACCACGACAAGCCTTCTTCCTTCTCAGCCCAACCCAATACGAATCGCAATGACCACGGAAACAGATTATGGCACCAGCACGTATAGAGAAGAGATCTCATATTCTCTCTCGCGACGTGGCTGACAATTTACCACAATAGGTTCGGGGCTTTTCATCTGTTTGCCGCCATCTGCGTTTCCCTAAGGGGCATGGAACTCCGATATATTGTGCAGCATCTCCTAAATCCCATGTTGGCATTCTCGAACTAAGTTAGTGGCGGTTGAGATAGTCTCTGGTGTTCGCTTTCTGGGACTTACCTGATTCTACAGTACTTCGGCTTTCACTCAGTCATGTTTTACTGCAATCAGGCGTTCTTCTCGTACGATATATGCTTTATCCGGTCCAAAGAAAAACAGCATCATATCCATTCGGCAAGCGTTGATGCATTTGTTTTCCCGTGTGCTTATTATACCAGCCACCGACAGCCGGTGTCTTTGCACATTTTGCTCTGCCTCAGAAAAAGCAAGACTCCATCTGTATACCCCTGTAATAGCCGAAGGGTCTATACAGATAAGCCAAGCCACCCAAGCTTGGTCTCTTGTTTCTTGGCTGCCCAGGGGCTCCTTTGGACTGGGAAAATCATCATTGGGAAGTCTTCCTGCGAATCGAGTGTACGGATACTTGGAGAAGCCTACTTGACCATGTCTCTTTGCTACGTTGACTGGCTCAATACTTCAAAATATAACCCCTAAGTATGTCGGTCGTTGCCACTTATCAAGGCACCATCTAAGCATCAGATATACCGAATGCTTTTGGCACTTCTGCTCCCTGTGGTGTCAGTATACTTCATGATCTATCGAAACGTCGTTTCACGTGGTATTTCATTGATTTGCTATCAAGTAGAGCGACCAATAAACTTCCAGGTTACAGCAGGTCAAATGCGGCGGCATGTTTCAAATTAGTACCTCCATATTATCTCAGGGTAGTGATTTTTCCCAAACCAAGTTCGATTCCGGTAAACTAAAATGTCCTATTCCCCTTCCGGCATTGTTCGTGACCTACGCCGGCCACAAAGTGGTTGTTAGTGTGACGATGGAGGTTTAGCGGCAGCAAACAGCTTGCGGGGAAGCTTGTATGTATTATCAATTCGCCCCTTTACCCTGTCTATCAAATTCGCCTTCTACATTATCTCCCTCGGTTTTCATTCGGTGTTTTGCTATCCTCCTATATGAGATTCACGGTATGATTCGATGGGACAACAGCCCTGTCGCGTAATTTATGCAGGTTCTTCTTGAGACAGATCCTCAATGGAGATATCATCTGGTCATTGAGAACTTGCCAAAATCTTGGGATAGACAAATTTTCGTACCCAGCACATTTTCTTCAATACAGGCAATATGCAAGAAGGTATTCCAAAAGCCCCTTTCAATTCTACTCGGCACATATCTTTGTCCAGATAGTACTCTTACCAAGAAAGTGACCTTGGCGAACCCCCGCCTCTATGGGCCTAAGGCTCGCTGTGTCGACCCAATTCAGGAAGTCAAGGAGGTTGACGACGGTTAGAAGGACATGCAGCCCGTCGTTCCGCCTTGTGATTATTCGAGGCTTCTCTGAGCTGTAAATCATGGGGTCTAAATGACTTTCGGCTAGGCTCAAGAAATCTCTCTGTCGGTATATAACCAAACATGTTTCCAGAACTGGTTGAACGTCTCGCTGTGTGGGTATTTTTTACAAACCACCTTAAATATTGCTGTCAGTATGTTTTCCAACCTAGCTCTCGCCACATCTTTGGTTGCCGCCGTCGTGCGGGGCCAACAAGTTGGTACTCAACAAAGCGAAACTCATCCTTCAATGACCTGGCAGAAATGTACTGGTACCGGTGGAACATCATGTACAACCCAGAATGGAAAGGTGGTCATTGACTCGAATTGGCGTTGGGTTCACGACAAGACAGCCAACAGCTACACCAATTGCTACAGCGGCAATGAATGGGATGCCACTCTCTGTCCAGATAACAAGAAGTGCGCAGCCAATTGTGCTCTCGAGGGTGCTGATTACAAGGCAACCTACGGTGCTGAAGCAAGTGGAAATCAATTGAAGCTTACATTCGTTACTAAAGGATCATATGCGACGAATATCGGGTCGAGATTGTATCTCATGGATACAGACACCTCTTATGCTCAGTTCAAGCTTCTTAACCAAGAGTTTACCTTCGATGTCGATGTGTCGAACTTGCCATGTGGTCTTAATGGTGCTCTCTACTTCGTGTCAATGGACCCAGATGGCGGAATGAAAAAATATTCAGGCAATAAGGCTGGTGCTAAGTACGGTGCCGGGTACTGCGATGCGCAATGTCCCCGTGATCTCAAGTTCATCAACGGAGAGGCAAGTCGTTCTTTCCTGTAGTCGGTTGACAAACTAACGGGTTCCACAGGGTAATGTTGATGGCTGGAAGGCTTCCAGCAACGATCCCAATGCTGGAGTGGGTGGTTATGGCTCATGCTGTGCCGAAATGGATGTTTGGGAAGCCAATTCAGTCTCCACAGCCTACACCCCACACTCCTGTAAGACAACAGGACAAACTCGATGCACTGGAGACGAGTGTGGAGGCACATACTCCGCTACCCGTTACGCCGGTATCTGTGATCCAGACGGCTGCGATTTCAACTCCTACCGCATGGGAGACAAGTCCTTCTACGGTAAAGGCCTCACCGTTGACACATCCAAGAAGTTCACCGTCGTGACCCAATTCATCGGCTCCCCATTGACGGAAATCAAACGCTTCTACGTCCAAAACAACGTCGTGATCCCCAACTCGGAATCGAAGATCGCCAACGTGACAGGAAACTCGATCACACCGGCCTGGTGTGATGCGCAGAAAGCGGCCTTTGGAGACAACTACTCGTTCAAGGACCAAGGCGGATTCCCGTCGATGAGCTCGGCGCTGGGTGCTGGCATGACGCTTGTTATGTCGGTTTGGGATGATCATTATTCGAATATGCTTTGGCTGGATTCTACTTATCCCACGACTGCTACGACGCTTGGCTCCGAACGGGGTACTTGTGATGTTACCAGTGGGGTTCCGGCTGATGTGGAGAGTAAGAGTCCTGGTGCGAGTGTCATTTATTCGAATATTAAGTTTGGGCCTATTGGGTCGACTTTCAAGCAGCCGGCTTGAGGGGTGTTAGAGTGAAAGATGGGTTTGTATATATGAATTTGTTTGTTTCTTCATGGATGGGCGGTGGGTGAAGGAGAGGTTGGAGGAAGACTTTCGCTTATTTAGGGGGCATGTAAATAGCAGACCACGGAACTGAGAAAATCGCGCATGCTCCTTAGTCAAAAATCGTTAGCGCCTAGTCTCTTGAAGGTGAATCTCGGTTGAAAAGATTGGACTAAGAGCTAAGGATATAGTCCAGGTGGAAAATATTAAGAGCTGGTGGGTATTCTGTGATTTCATCTAGATTTAAAGGACACGTTGAGTGAGGTATCTCCTCTCTCTCAATTAAAGAGTTGATATTCGGTTCCTATGGGCTAGTAAATAGCGGATTGCGGGGAGGCCAGACTATATCCCTCCCAAAAACGAAGGGTTCATTTTAACAAGGAGCGCAAACAACTTGCGCTCGGTAATAGTGAGGGTTCTCAACGTTTGCTTTCTTGGGAATCAGGCATAGGAAGTTAGATAAGCTTGCTTTATTGGGAAATTGTTGCTAAGATGGACATTTCTATTCGACCCGGACGTGAGAGGAGAGATCATGTAGCTTTTATATTAGATATGTCTCCTTTTCTATAGGTCCTTCTTTTTTCAAATAATGGGTTTTTGGCTTTGATCTACTTCTTTCGGTGTGATGTGATATTGAATGTGGTTATAATGTGCAAGAATGATATGTGTATATAGTTCTTGTTCACGCCTCCTGTCCTAACTCGAACATGCAAACCTTTTGTGTAGCAAACATCCTAATCTACAATGGTAAAGGGCGTGGCGACAGTGAGGATACGACAGTAAGAATATGGCGACAGTGGATGGCGAGTTTGTATAATCAGATCCTTATCTTAAGTAGGTAGGTGGGGGGGTGTGGAGGTATAGGCACAAAGAGGGGTTTAATTGAAGCCTCCCTCGAACACAATACTTTAATTTGGGGTTGTTAGACAGATAGATAGTAAGAAATTTGTGCAAAAGTCGAAAGTGGACTATTATCGGCAGCAAGAGTACGACAGCGACAACCCGACTGACCATATTAAGGGTATCTCGAGGGAAGGATCTGGAGTTTCGGCCCTCTATGATCAATGCGTATTTCGAATTCATTACCGCTTGTTGGTTACACGGTTCAAGCGGATTCGTTCCGTAATCGTTGTTTTTCGGACTCCTACTCCTACACTCTCGCTTGTGAATAAAATACCGAACAGCATTCGGTATTTTGTTACAGTTACTACCTACTTGGGCATTAAGGCTTTTAGAGGCTTAATGCAAAGTATACCGGATTCACGAAGGTGCGGTGCTTGCTATCTCAACTCCAAAAAGTAATTTCAAGTAACTACCTACTCAAATACTCTAGACATTACAACAGTATAGCACAGGTAGCGGAATTAGCGTTATAAGCTATCGCATTCATTTCTTACTTATGATACTCTATCTAACTTTACATTTCAAAAGACAATAGTCAAAATCGGAACAAGCAACATGCATCACTATCCAATCGCATTCTTATCTTTCAAACCTTTCTAAGCAACCTCTTCATTTACTTTTTATAAATGCATGTCTTTCTCGACTTATATGCTGTGCGTGACCTGGTTTTGCCAAGACATCTCTACAGTAATATTTAGTCTCTCACATCACAGGCATGCGTTGTCGACTCGACGGAACCTTCCGAAATTTTGCTCCATGCAAAAGGTCACCCTACCTTCACGGACTTCAGATCTAGAGGAGGCTTTCTGAAAACCAAATTCTCGCGCTGACGAGTGTAAACAACTAGCTGGCTTGAATACTCTGGCAGTTATAGATTTCACATGTACTGTACACGCCAAGAGGTTCATATTGAGCTGTGGAGTCAAAGGTAGTCTGGTAAATTTGTTGGTTTATTAAGGTTTCAAATCCAATCCAACTGCCTTTTGCCGAAATCAATTGTTAATTAATGAACTCGCGACAGGACGCGAGCCTCTCACATGTGGGCTGCTAGTTATATGACGTAAGAAGAACAAACTTTTGAGTAACTAAATAGGTGATCAAAGCAGTATTCTCCTTGTTGGAATCGATGTCGACCTAAGCACTTTGTAATACCTGTTTGAATAAAGTTTAATTCGTTCTACTCGCCCACCCACTCAAATGTAAAGTTGTTGATGTCGACATAATTAGTCGACTTACGATTAATTAGCAAGTTGATCATTTGGAGAAAATTAAATTAGATATAGTTCAAATACGTTGAGTAACCTTAGATTAGAACGCCCCAGAAATCTGGCCAGGATATTTTGAATTCCTACCTGACTATTAAATAACTTTAATCTCATTCTACTCTATCTAGCTACTCCTCATATCCATAGAGAAAAAAGATGATGCTAGGCCTTCATTTACGCTAATCTAGATGCTTTTAAATTGTTTATAATTCATCTGAACTTGGAACTAGCAACCCGACTCAAATTCAAATTCATTTGAGATTATCGAGGAGACCTGTCTCTGGTCACCTTTTTGACACGCAACTGACTGTATGGTCGTATTATCTATCATATTGCACTTAGTCTGTCAATTCATTGTCTACAATCCTGAACGCGACAACAGAATGGCCCTCTACTCCGTTACCCGATTCCGATTAAGCTTGTTCTATCTCATACTTTTGTTGACCTTTAAAGCACTTGCAGCACTTCCAAAAAGAACTCTATGGTTTCATGACTCTTGTTCTGAGGGTGCAGTGGGGATCGTGTGGGAAGAAATGCAAGACATGCTCAGATTGGCAAGCCCGGCTACCAATCTAAACGCATGGTCTGATGCCGGGAAATACTTCAGACTTGTGTGGGGAGACAATCGCGAGGATACGTTCAAATTTGTTAAAGGTTCGTTGTACAAGAAAAAGAACCTGTTTTAATACTAAACGGTTTCAGACACGGTCGATGCTGTCAACCCTGAAATGGCTACACTCAAGGAAGACGCTAATACGTATATCTACTGTGATGACGATGAAAGATGGTCGCCACCGGGAAAGACCCCTGGGATTGCGGATGACTTGTGGTACGATGCTGAAAACCGTATAACTTTTAAACCAACGACTAGTTTCGGAGGTCTCCAGCCAGGCTGCAAATACAATGATGACGATAAACCTCCAGGTTCGTGGGTTGTAAACGGCCAGACATATTGTGATGTGCTCCCATCAGGAAAACGCGGGTCATGTGCGATCAGCATCTGTAAATATATATCTGACTATGTATATGTTGCGGTCTCGCAGACTGAAGTGAGTCCACAGGACTCAAGCGCCAATTACATTGATCAGTATGTTTTCTTCAGCGGCACTCTACTCCACGAGGTTAGGACCCCCATTGAAACCCCCTGAGGACTTTGCTTACTCATACTTGAAAGCTTGCCCATACGATTGAGAATTACTATACTGGTGACAAATGTAAGCAAACCTCTTGGATTGGAGTAACCCTAAATTCGTAATGAGCTCATGCACCTGTTTTAGGGAAAGACAGGGGCCCACATCCATATAGATGGCAGGCCGTTGTTGCAAAGAAGGGTACTGAAGCGTTGACGAATGCGGAAAACCTTGCATATTGGGGTATGGGATCTTCAAAAACCTCAAGGTCACCTTTTACTGACCAAAAGTAGGCCTGGGATGTATCCTTATGTCCCGAGGTGTTGCAATCAACGAAAATGGCGGTTTCCGCATTTTACGGCCGCTGAGAAATCAGCCAATAGTAAATTGACGCCCCAGCCAAAAAGCATAACCTTGAGTTTAATACGATAATATACATTAGCTCAATAAGGCTTTTTGTATATCATGATAGAAGCTTTAAATCCGAAGGTTCTCTAAAAGATAAATTGTGGCTAGAAGGTTAGAACTACAGAAATAAAAGTAGCTGCTACTTGAATGCTTTCACGTAGTAACGTCTACTCTTTTCAAAGATGGGAACTTAGAGGGAACAATCTTGGCTCTACTATACTTATTTTAATTTTGTGTTTACCTGTCACGAAATGTATACCGGCTAATTTGCTTTATTTGGTAAGATTAGTCTCTATTATAATTGTCGAATACATACACATGGATATAAAATCGAATTTGCCTATCTTAGTTCATAGTTAGTTGGGAAGCCAGTAGGTAATGCTAACGTTCCTTGACTAGCATTCCATTCTATTCCAGTCCCCCCCTCCTCCCCCGGCCTCTCCCTTTTGGAATATTCCAGGATTCCACTCTTGAATATAGAGACCCAAATGGAATAAATCATATGCCTTTTGGCATAGTTCTTCCGATTTCTCGTGTATTTCTACACCACTGATATCTTTCGTCTTCTATTCAAGGGCAAAAAAGGCACTAAATGTGTTTGCTACGTAGATGGCGAGCATTGTATTAAATTTGATCGTGAGTTTGCCTGCAAAAAGTCCATTAGCCTTTGATTAAGCTTAACGACCGCTTTTTGAAAGAGAGTTTCGCTTAAACAAGTCGATGTTACGGGCATTGTTTCTTGATAGATTTAAGAGGAGCCGCAAAGGAGAGGGTGCATAGAGTGAAGAGTACAATTCATAGTCTTCAACGGACTTGAACATAACTCTGCTCTATCCCTCAAGGTAACTATACCGTAGTAATCCTTTCGTCCAAGTCGTCCGATCCTTTGAGAGTAGTCTCACTCTCCTAATCTCCAGAATGCCAAATGAAAAGAGCACTCGAAGATCCAGATTCACATTAGTGCTATCAGAGAAACCCTAAATGCTCTCGCTTATGAGATCCATACTGACTTGGTCGTCTATAAGGTTAATGCGGACGTTCGGTAGATCCACCTGACGTATCGCATCCCACTTGAGATTTCGAAGACTATACCGACTTTTTCAAGAATGTTCCCTGTACTGTATACGTCTGAAACGGCAGTGAGAGCAGGTTCATCATCATTGAAACTTGATGAAAGTCCATAAATGCAGCTTCGAAAGTATCCCTTACTCCGTAACTCCCTGGGAACTGGTAGGGAGAACGTCCTAATTCGGTTTAGCAAGTGGCATTCTAACATTTTTGGCGAGCTCGATTGGCGGGAGTAATAAGGCCAAACCTATTTGGAACGTTCTGCCTACCAGTTCCCAGGTAGTTACGGAGTAAGGGATATCGGTGGTTTCAATCCCCTTCAAGCGAAAATGTTGTCCTGTCATTCGCGAACACGCTGAGATAGAACTGGTGCTTACAAACAAACGGAAATCCTCATTCACTAATTTTATTGAACTTATTCATAGGAAGCCTGGAAGCTTGATGTAGATATCTCTTTCCTAGCAACGAGAGATCGAGGCACTCGCTCCACCAACACACTCCTTCGTCCCAACGGAAGCTCGCCTCTCATGAGAAGCGAAACAGTCGGATCGGTCGGCGTAAAATATGTACGGAGTGTAAACAAGCTTTCAAATTCCCTGCTCCAAAGCTGTGCCGATAAGAGTTTGTGACGTAGCTTGTATTTTGTGCTATTTCTAAAGGGGGTGGCCAGCTAAGAGTCACGCCATGCTAGCTCAACAAGATCTACGCCCTACTATAGATCCACTCTTATGCGATATATCTTAGCTGTAAAAAAAACAAGGGGTTTAGCCAATAGAACGCGGAATTGAACTGCTTATTAAGAAAAAGCCGTCCAAGAACCAGTATAAGAGCTATTAAAAAGGTTCCTTATATAGTGGGTTTTAATATGATCTACGTGACATGGTGTGACTCTTAGCTGTCCACCCCCTTCATTTCGATTTCCATGTGTCTTTCATCAAATTCACCAACCTCAAAGCCGCCAAGAATGTGATCCACGTAAGTTCCGGTTATGAGTGGTTGGCCGTGTCACCTGTATGTAAAATTTACCTCCACTTAAGCTTATTTTTAGACGAGGCTCTGTTTTCGAGTTTAACCCCGCTGGCAGCTAAAGACTTCAGAGTGGTGAACTTCGGACAATGTCTGTAGTGTTGTTACAAACCAGGAAATACATCGGATAAAGTAAGATAACACAACTATCTCTTTCAGTATTTCCAGGTTCAGAGGTACTCAAGAAAGTGCAAATACGAAGTACGAAGCACGAAGTTGCTTCGAGAAGTAATTTAGAAATGCAAATGCCAATTGCGCACCTCATGTGGACAGTGGAGTAAAAATAACCCTTGGCTCACCCCACTTTCTAAGCAAAGCATATGAGCCCCAAAAACTATCTATATAACAGACCAATTCTGGGTACATGTTTTGAGCTGTTTGAAAGAGATAGCGAGGCAAGGAGTTGATTTTCTATTTTCTTCTGCAAAAGACCTGAGGATGTCCCACTTGGAAGTGGTAGTTTGCCTCGACGATCGCTGTCACTTTCTATGCGGACTCTTATCTGCTGTTTCTTTACGGAAGCTTGATTTACCGGACATCCCGAGGTGGTATTGGCCAAGTCCTGGCCGCCTTCTGAATTGGCTCAGGTAGTAATGCAGACATCCTCTCATTTAAGAATGGTTTATTCTCAGAAGTTACAAGAACAGATGTAAGAATTCTTGATCGACGACGGATATCAATCCAGGAGACATGATTATTTTGCACTATCACCGGTACAATCATGACATATTTCTTCTTCACATTCTCTTAATTTCACATTCGCTCACACTCACTCATTATCCACTCTTTTCGCGAATCTATCAGTTCAGTCTAATTTTTTTAATAACGTCAAAATTCATTCAATATGAAGTCCTGTCTTTTCCTCATCTCTACTCTCATTCCTCTCTCCCTCGCAGCAGCATTATTACCACGCGATGATTTTTCCGAGTACCAAGATACACCACAGGACGCGAATGACACACTAGCAACAGCGGATGAATTCATCCAAAACGGCTGTAAAGAAGTTCTCTTTTTCTTCGCTCGAGGCTCCATGGCGCCGGGAAATATGGTACGTTCTTCCTCACCTATAGCCTGACCTCAAATATACTCATATATACCAAGGGTCCTCCAGAGTCTGTCGGTCCGCAAACAGCCAACGGATTAAAACTCGCATTCGGAAACGACTCAGTTGGTGTTCAAGGGGTGCCATACGACGCTTGGATTTTATCAAATCTTTGGATCGGAGGCGCCAGTTACTCGGGGCGAAAAAACATGAAAAAGCTGATTGAAAATGCGGTGCGGGAGTGTCCAAAATCCATCATTGTTGCTGGAGGTTATAGGTATGTGCCATTTTCCATATTAATTTCAAGCCTGCCAGCCCACTACGTTATTGAAAAGGGCTTCTTGGATGTTAATTACTAATGCCGTTTCCAGTCAAGGGGCAGCGGTCACTCACCACGCTATCGAGAACCTATCCAAAGAAGCGAAACATAAGGTAGCTGGAGTTGTTACATACGGAGATACTCGTAGAGACGACGATAATGGTCGTATCCCTGGGTTCCCTTCTAAGAAGCTGCTGATTCTCTGTAATAAGGGCGATTGGGTCTGTGAAGGTTGGATCTTAGGTGTCAGAAAAGCTCATTACGAGTATGGCAAACGTGTACCGGAAGCTGTTGCTTTCCTTACTGAAAAGATAAAAGCTGTCCAGGCTGCTCGAGGATGATTGATTTCTGTTACTTTGATGTTCGGGCGTTCTAGCGATGAGTACAAGGGGGATTCTTTTTGGTTGTAAACATGTTAATGATAAACAGGTTGTTATGCACTTAATGTCGTTGTCTGAATGTACGTGTTTAGGATAAATGTTCTAGTACGAAATCAAGATACACCAGCCACTGATTCTTCATACCATGAATACAAGAACAGTTAATTACAATTATCTACCGTGCCATATCCAGTGTAGGGGAATGCTCTCTACCAAATCAGTTATCGAAGCTTGTATGTCTATGTTGTTATATTCTAGCATTTACTCCTAGGTTAAATTAAGTAGCGTTCTATAGTATATCATGACCTAAATACTATAGATAGAATCTTTTCTCCTTAGCAGCCATATCCGAAGCTCTTCTAGCGCTTAAAATCTTTCAAGGTTTCAACGTTGCATATTATCTTCACCTACCTTCCCACAGAATTCGACAAACATGAGTATTCTAGCACTCTCATAGCTTTCTTTGCGTGTCTTGCAGATCTTGCAGATCTTGGTTTCAGGGTCTGGGACAGGTTGCCCGAATCTGAGTCGTGTTGATGTAATAATGATGTAACAGAAGCAAATACCCACGGGCAAGAAAGTTGTAAAACGGCCAGTTAAGCATTACTCTCAATGTGTAGAGACACAGGAGCTCAAACTTCCAGTTTAAGTATTCGGATTTAGTCAATAAGTACTTTAGGATTTACGCTTTTATTCAACTTTAGCTCAGAGAAATCTTCTAGTAGTCTATATAATAGTCAGTGCGTCTTCCTATTGCGCTAACTATTAGCTATATATCGTCCTATACTTAGTCCTCTCTCCTTAAGTCGAATATTACTATCATTTGCAATTTACTAATTATTAGTACTTTCCTACCCAGTAACTCTTTATATACTACGCTATATTATCGTAACCTCCAAGCGCTTCCACATGCACCCTCATTTTCAAAAATCCCAAGTAGAGACCACCGAACCACTCCTTCTGCCTTCAGCACAATCCCCATATCCTTTACAGTCTCGATATCTCATAGTTCTAGTTACATATCAAAAAGAGAAGGTGTGCAGTACAAAAAAACATTCAAGCAGAAGAAAGGTGACTGACTACCTAGACAAAAGTAATCAGGTAGGTATTGTAATTCCCCTCGCGATACCATCTTCCACGCCATCACGTTCCGTAAGCCCCCCTTTTCACCATGTAAGATCTAACTCCACACCTTACTCACTCTTCATTTATACCAAGAAGAGTCGAAACATCAGCCAAAATCTCATCTGAACGATAACCGGACCCAAAGGGTCCATCTGCCGAGTCGAAAATAGCATAAGACTCATGTACATAGCCAAGGGTCCAAGAGATGTAGTATGTACGGAATCGCAACTGCAGTGTCGAGGTATCTACGCTCACCATCTACACACACCTGCACTCGCTGAATATACCACAGCACTCACATCACACCAAGAAAAACCAGAAACCAACATCAAACAATCGTCATTCCTTCTAAGAATTACAGTAACTTATTCACTCCATCTACCTCCCCCTGGCTAACACTCATCCCCCACATCTTTCATATCTCTATATTCCCCATACAACCTCCCTCTACGAGATCCTACAAAATATACTCCCTACGCTCGTTCAAAACAATAACAACTTACAAATTTATCCCATGAAATCAGGAACTGGGGACGAAGGTAGAAGTACAATGCCATGCAAGTAAAATCAACTTAAATCAGAAAATAGCAGATGAGAGACAGGGAAGGGGGAATCGCTATGCAAGTAAATTCACAGAAAGACAAAGAAAGAAGAGAGACCAAAGAAAAAGAAATCATGCTCAAAATTCTCGGTTATCTCTACAGTAGGAGGGTATCAAAAACAAGAAGAAAGGCAGGACGAGTAGTCTACTTTTTCCTCCACCGAAATCGTTTGCTATGATGCATAAGATGTGGCAAAGGTGGTCCGGGATTAGGAAGGGCGTGCAGTCAAGGTAACAGTAAGATCGTACAAAACAGTAATTTCGCGGATGCGCTGTAGTCTGTCAACAACTCATTCGTATGGTGTATGCGATTTTGATTTGGTAGATTTTGATTTGGTAGATTTTGATTTGGTAGAATATATCGTCCTATCGAAACATCTTGAAAGACTTGTGCGCCAGCGGAGAAGAGCCCAATCTTGCAGTCTCTCGAAGACGACCGCCCCGCATGTTCGGCGTGTTCGCACAAAATGCACATATATAAACCGGAGGAAGACTTCGTTCGTCAATGCCAACGCATTCAGCATGCAGCCAATTGTCACAAGATTCGCTAGCAGCGTTAGTAAATAAAATATATGTTGACATTAAAATCACGCAAAGAAATGCTTACCACTGAATCTGGAAGCCTTCGCTATCTGGATTATTGCAAACGCATCGGGTGACACTCCTCGAACTAGTCGGTGTAGCACTATCTACGGTTGTGACGGGGCTTATGTTCGAGGAACCATAGCCTGTATAGTTTGGATTGGCGCGAGGATCGTGTGTGGAATAGCGGTGGTGTCTAGGAGTCCTAGATTTGGCAATCTGAGCTCGCTTGCGATTTTCTACCAATTGTCTCATTGCCAAAGTTGCATCGCCAGAACCATCATCCTCATCCATAACAGTCTCTGCCTCACTTTCGAAGCCATCAAACTGCAAAGATCGTTGACTAGAGGATTCGGATCGACTATAGCCACCAGTGTTGCGCCTTCTTGGGTCTTTATCATGATGTAACGTCTCGAATCTCGCGAGCCGCGGTGCTTTTTGCGGAGGAGGAATTGCAAAAGAGTTGTTCCGACTTGGGACTATGATGGGCTCCTCATCCGAGGAAGATTCACTAGAAGTATAGTCATAGCGGTCGCGACCTGAGCTGGCAGGCCTACTACTAGTTGGTCGGGATCGGGGCTCCTCCTGGATGACTACAGTCTCGGTTCTGGCTCTTCCTTTGGAATCAATAGTGAATCTGACCTCCGTTCGAGCTCGTGAGGCTGGGAGCTCTGGGATGGAGGAAAGACTAGGAGGACGTTGCTGCTTTACTGGCGATACTCGTCCATTACGGGTCTTTACACGATCTACGGACAGTCAGTGGTTATTCAACGACAAATTCTTGCATGTGTAAATGGTCTTTCTACCTTGTGGCCTTCTGATTCTCGAGTCACTGACACTTCTTTGTAGACCCAGCCGCGCAGACCCCTTAACAGGTGAGCTCGCGATGCTTCTCTCGTTTCCAGCACCATGATCCCGCGAGCTGCGAGATCTACGCAAATCTTCGTGGTCTCTGGAAGCTTCCCGCGACTGATGTTGATAAGGCTCCAGAGGCATGTCGTGGCTTGTGATGGGACGTGGACATGGAAGCGACACATCCTCGAAATCCGATGCCATGTTCGTAGCCGTTCGACTAAATAGAAGTCCTGGGTCAACGGCGTCGGCGCCAATGGCAAAAGGGTCCTCCGAGGTGGAGGTGCTATTAAAATCGAACGGCGCCATGGACGATGCGAGGTCGGGTAGCGGATGTGACATTTTGGGAGCTAAAGGTCTCTGCCGCCTCGAGGTAGCTGGAGCTTGGAGAGCTTGAGCTTGAGCTTGAGATCTCGGCTCCGGCTGGGTTGAAGGCAGATTCACGGAGTCTTGAAACATTGGATTACTGTTTCCCCAATCAAATGAATTGTTCATCTTATGGCCTCCAGTACTGAACATCGCAGCGTCATCATTTCCAAAGTCCATACCCATACCGCCCATGCTCGTATCTTGTTCCCAAAACGGCTTCGAGTTAGTATAAAGTGGTGCTGTTGTTGGGGCTGACATCGGATATCCGAAAAACTCGGCTGATGTGGAGTGGAAAGCCATCATATGGTTGGAGTGCGTAGGTGTTTGTTGTGAGCCGTATTGGCCGTCTCGAGAGTCATTTTGCATGATATCGGTCTGGATTTTTGGCGCCAGTTTTCTCGCTCCTCTCGAAGACGTTGCGGGAGGGGTTGCAGTCTGGCCACTGAAAGCCTCCTCCAATCGTTTCTTGGGCTTTCTTGGAGTTACTCTTTGCTTGGAGCTATCATCGAATCGGCTATGGGTAGTTGAATAAGGACCAGGAGAAGAGGGCAATTGGTTCAAAGGGTCGACTGGAGGTAGGGCTATATTAGGGTTTGGAGACAGATGATGGACATGAGTTGAGAGTTCCGCAGCGATATCCTCGGTACCAGAGAGTTGCGGTTGACCAGTGTTGATCGGAGCGTGGGGCGTGGGAGCTTCTTCAAACGAGCTTTGTTGGGCACCTGTCAAACGGCCGGGCGTTGAATTGAACACCGAGTATTCCTCCGCAAATTGAGGCGTCCAGTCACTACGATCCTCGAAGCTCGATGAATTGTTCCTCGGGGTCCGGAAAGTTGGACTGGGGAATTGAGCCGATGTTGGTGTTTGCGTAGGCGTGGCGATTTGAGCGTTTGGATTCCCAAAGCTAGCATACAGATAAGCTTCCACTATATACGTTTCCGAGTCCTTCTCCTGCTCCAAAACATACCTATATGCTTGTTGTTCCCAACTCATAGCCAAAGTGAAGTCCTATATCTGGGAAGATGGCCCGAGGCAGGATTGGAGCTTGAAGGATTCGGTGTTGATAGACAGCTTGGGTCCCGGCCGCTTTCCTCTGCCACTTCCTCCCTCTGCCATTCACCAAATGTATATCCTCTTCTCGAGATGTCTCCTTCTGATATGTTAGAGGTTCGAGGTGGTTCGAGGTCCGAGGCTACAAAAGCAATTGTGGGGTGGTTTAGGCAGGACAAACCAAATCCTAGAACATGGCGTGCAAGCAGACGCTCAATGTGAATGATTCTGGTTACGCAGCAGTCAGCAATGGCTGCCTTAATAGGGGCTTTCACTAGAGCATACAATGAAGGGTCGGGAAAGCTATTGAGATTTGCTCGTGCCCCAGATGTTGTGGTCCAGGCATGCAATCAAGATGATCTGTACCCAGGTTGGGTTGGCTGGAAGCAAACACAACAAGGGCGAATTACGGAGGCCGGAAAACGTCGTCCACCTCTCGATACCTCACGGGCAAGAAGCGAGAATGCTGCCACTTGGAAAAGGGGCTAGTTCGTTTAAAGGATTGGATATTGCTTTGGAGGTTTGGAAGACGGTTGCTCCGTGGAAGGTGGGTGGTGAAGAGTTTAGAGCAAGTAGAGCGCACTGATGGCTCCGGTTCCTGGTGTGACAAGAAAAGGTAGACGTAGTGGGCCGGGGGTTGCGGATGCACAAAGCTCCCAGAATACTCCGTAGTAGAGTAGAAAAATTGCGGGAAAATAGCTCCGAAGTTGATCCAGTTTGCAATGGTTTGGGAGAATGTTGGGAGATATAATTGAGTGGAAATGGCAGTGATTCTCACAGTCAAGGAATGTTTAATTTACTCCATCGCTTGCTGCACTTCGGCTGCTGCCAATCCAACACCGGGTTCGAAGAGAGAGAAAAAAGTCACTAGCTAGGGCACAGCAACGGCTGAGCCGTTCCAAAGAGCAGAGAGATACGGAAAAGTTCTAGTCTAAGAAGTGCTAGGCAGCTTGAAGATCTAGAGTTGAAGAGAATGATTTGTCGAGATTTGTTCTCCTACACTCGAGCTTGCAATGCTGCAAAAAGAGAGAGAGAGCGCCTATTGAAGGATATGAAAGCTTTAGGCTTCGGTGGAACTCATTGCAATAGATTCAATTGGCTTGGAAGTAATGTATCGTAAGTAAGTCAATCAGCTAACTAGAGCTATAGGTACTCGGTGAAGAGGGGTATCAATGGGTTACTCATTAAGCTCCAAGCGCTCGCTAGGCCCCCCATGTTGACAGGAGACAGAGAGAAAACCTAGCCGAGGTAGCTTAATGAGTCCCTTTTATTCATGAAAAGTTGCAATGATTGTTGCAGTAAATCCTCCGCCGATACTGTTGTCCCACACTCGAATCGGGACGTTCTTCGGGTTCTTACATGGGATTTGGATGAAGGTATTGAATTCCCATCATTCGGTCATTCTGCCGCATGACCAAACCTTTTCCAGCAAGGTGCCCCAGACTTCCAACCACTGACAGCTGTTGACAGCTGTTGACAGCTGCCTTAGGAAACATTCATGTTGCCCAACGTGTACCTGCGTATAATTTGCATATTTTGCATGAATGAACGATATTACCACCGCCTAAACGGTCGATTGACCCCTATTATTGCGGGATATGTGGACTGTTCGAGAAAGCACAAGCTGCGGACGGGCACCCGCAGCAAACACTCATCGTCAGGTATCGTGGCTTCAGCAGCCTTTTTACAAATTTCCTCCAACACACACGAATCCTTCGCCAGCATTTTCTTCACAATGTGTCGGGACTGGTTGGTGGTCAGCAACCACCACAATCTCCTATCATTCTAGTCACCTTCTAGAACTTGCCAAAAAACTTAGAACCCAACTGCGTCGCTTTCCAATTCGACTCGCAGCTGTCAAACCAGACTGATTCGCTGAAAGGGCAATTTATCGAAGAAATCATTATTACGGGATAGTTCAACTTCAGCCACCAAAATCCAATAGGGAAGGAGAGTGTGCTTGCGTCAGAGAAGGCTTGGAGGCGTTCACATCCAATGGTCTTCATCGAAAGGTGGAAATCTGCATCGGCAACATCAGCAAATATTCCTTGTCAATAATAGGAATCCATCGGGACCTGATTTCCCTGGGATGATATCAGCTAATGGCAAGGCCCAGACGAATAAGAATCCGTTCTTTGTCGGGCTTCTCCTTTTGAAGAAACATCCTGCACGCAACGGCACAGGACTTCTCTTAGTATTATATTATACAATAATTACTAATCCCAACTGCAGCATCTTTCAGCCTGACATGATGCGCCGGACTTTGGTGAAAACTATGTTATCAAATCAATGAATGCATTATGATTCATGCATTGGACAAGGGGCTTCTATGGGCCACTCGCTTCTGAACAAAGGTATTGTTCTCGCACTTTGCTTTGCAGATTCCAGGAAGGGGTGTTATTGGCATCTAACCGATTGACTTCATCAATAACCTTCCACAGTTGCTCCATTGAAAAAGAATAATGGCTCGCCGATCTTCTTATCGATAGAGCCTCAACTTTTGACCCCACCTCTACAGAGGTAGACCGTGTCATCCCTTTGAATCCCCATTAATTAATGGCATCGGTTCACTTCATTGACACAAGCGGACGGTTAGTAGAGTCTTGAAAGATAATCGCTACGAGCGAGTATACTCGAGTACCGGTATTTGTTGATCGAGGAACCTTACTCATTGATCACGTGACCACACCCCCCTCCTCCCGTCATCACAGTCATCACATGTCCCGAGTCTACCAGAATTATCCGTCAGCCCCCGGGCCAGGGCTTCACAATCTTCTAGCAAAGAAGTCTCAGCCACAATACGACTTCAACTTGTTCGTCCCAATTTCTGGGCCTTTAATGCCCCAATACCAGCTTTCAAAATCCCACCCAGCGATCTTGCAAAGGATTCAAAATTGCTCCTCCAAAATTCCTTCAACCCAAGTACGACGTCGGAAGCAGCAGCTTGCCGAGGAATCAGGGCCGGCCGTCGATCATCCGCCATCCTTATTCAGTCTTGTGCTGTAAGGCTAAACGAGCAAAATAAGACCAGCCTGAGGCCTTGATACGACCTCATCACCTCACTCGCCCAAAGGAGAAGATATCCGACTCAAACGATTCTCTCCCGTCACCGCTAGTACAGTATTGAGACTTGAGTACGGAAAAATAACCTTATTCTCGAAACTTTTCCCTTCTTCCCATCTCTGGCTCGTGCGTACGGTGCGTTCGATTTCTTCAGTATGATGTGCAGGCTGAAACACCGGGGCGAGGTCGACGAACATCACACACCAACAACCACTTTGCCGGCCCTGATTTCACATCCGGGAACCCGAAAGCTCTTTATGGACCTCTGGCGTCAAGAAGCGCGCGCGAAAAGGCACAGATGAGATCGACCTCCAGGAAGTCCACATTACCAGAAGCAAAGGGGGAATCTGCTTTGTACGTCTTTTGACAAATACTTGCCCTTGCTTTGAGACCAGTTACAGACATGGGGTTGCTGGTGTTGATCATGAACAACGAACAGGAAGGGAACGCAAGCGTCATCGAAGTCGATGATGGATCAGGTGGGTGTTTTGCTATGACCTTTTCTTCCCGTTGAATCTACTGTACAGTACTGGTACGAAGTAGAAGTGCGGTGTCGTACTGTAGTTCCACGTTTTGTTGAAGCACAAACCACCAAGTCCGTGGACGTGCCACAGCGTTGTCCTATCCTTGAGATGTTCTTTAGCCATCATTCATACCTGAACATCTTATTACCTCCGAGTGGCCTAGTGGAATATCATACTTTGTGCCCCGATTTTACCAGCAAGGACGTCGATTCGGACAGTATTCATCGCTTCTTGGCAAGGTTTCCGAGGTTATTTTCCAACATCGTGATAAAGTTATCTGAAGAATTGAAGAACCCGTGTACGAGAAAAAGCAGCAAGTCAGTGGACGGACCTTACAGTTTACGTGATACCAAAAGTTGGGCAAATCATGGCCCTCTCATCGGTAAACCACCAAGTTCGGAACCAAACGATTTGGGGACGTTTGATGCGTCTTCCAGGTTTCGTCCAGGAAGAAGCGATCATGAGTTTTCTCACTCCGGGTTTTTCTTTGCGTTCTTGTTTTGTTCTCGTCACTTTTTTTCTGGGTCTTACCAAGAAAATACATCACTTTGTTTGGAATTGGAAACGATCTGGTGATCCCCGGAAACCCCCAAACGAGTTTCTATCTTTATCCTCTACCAAGATCAGAAGATGACAGAAAATGTTTTCAAGGAGGAGGAATTGAAAACTCGAACATCGATAACTCCACTGGCTCCATAATGTCCACACCACGACACGCAAATCCAGTACGTCGCCCCACTCGTCACGAATTTCCCTTTTAAGACCATGATTTATATTTAGCTTAAACCTCCGGATTGGGTGACCGGTGGACTCCACCGGAAAAAAAGAAAGAGAAATTGTCGCCTCACGTTTACCGATTTGAGGCGGACGCAACCATGTGGCACAGTGGCAAACTTACCTCCGAGTTCCCCAACCTCTTGGAAGAGTTCAGGCCAACAACACATCACTTGGATAAACCTCGATCCCAGTCGATATCAAAACTCATCCCCATACTTACGACTCGTCAACACCCGTCCCTCCGGCAGGTGCAAGACCATACCGGTAGTTCCTTTACCAAGAAGGTTCTTAGCCGCTCTTCGTCTTTTGTTTGATACCGAACACTTTATTCTGACTTTTTTGCCTCTGGTTGTTGGTCATCTATGAGATATATGACGGGACGGAATTCCAGATGTCCGAACGAGCAGACTAATCAACAGATGCCCGATCGAATCGAGCGAGTGCGAGTGCGAAGGTTTGGTCTGCTGTCATTGAACACCGTCTGGGCCGGGAAGGATAGGCTAGCTTTGCAAGTCTCTGAATATCCCGTCTGTGTAACATAATGCCCAACTAGGTCGGACTTTGATTCGCTTCTACAAAGGACGGACACTCGAGTATCAGGAATTCTAAGTCCTGACTACAAGAAAAGTTGTGATATCTTCTCAATTTCATTCATTAGACTATCTACCCAATAGAAATCGCCCGGGGTATAAAAAACCAGTGAGGTGCGACTAAGCTGAACTGCATATCTTTTGGTTCCTCCTCTTCATCGAGCCTGCCGAATTACATTCTTCCCTGCTTCCCTAACTTCTATATATGTATCCCACCGACTTCCAACTCCCTCAACGGCCAACGCTCAAAAAAAAACGACTTTGGTAGGGGTTCCCGCTCGTAAAATCATGTTGCTCTGTTGTAGTGTTTGTTTTGTTGGATAAAGTGGGGCTGAAAAGGAAGGTGAACAACAAGAGAGTGAAAAGAGAAAAAAAGAGGGGAAAAAAAGAAAGTAAAAACAAGAAACAAAAGATCTAAAAAAGAGAAGAACGATTGTAGCGCCAATTATGCGTAATAAAAATCCCAACCCCCCGTCCGCCCCTTCCTCCTTTTATGGAAAATCCCCTTTTGACACCATTCACAAGAACCCAATTTCGCTATGCCCGGATGAAAAGCCTGACCAGATCCCAAGTTCCCCCTCCCCCCCCCGCCAATGACAGATGAAAGAAACACAAGGAGTGGAGTTTGGATCTCGTGATTCGCAAGATAACCAAGGCTTCCACTTGCGCGATGAAAATTCGAAGACAGAAGAGAATTCGTAATCGGTTATTTTTGTTTGGAGTGGTTTTGAGAGGAGTCGTCATCATATCATTCCACTTAAGCCCTCCATAGGATTGATGATGGCCTTCCGATTGATCTGGGCCTGCGTCTGGGAGCTGGGCGTTGGTCGTCCTTGCTGTAAGATACTTCCCGGCATGGGCGTACTCACCACACTGGAGGAGGGTGTCATCTGAGGCGTCATCGGAGGTTCGACTTTGGGTTTGGCCATCGCGGAAGCGCCCAACGCACGAGTATGAGATGACTCGCGACGACGTTTGGGAGCATCCTTGATTTTTGGATGTGTGTGGCACTTTGACGAAGAAAAACTATGTTAGCAAACTGAGGCGTAATATAGTTCCCAGAAGAGGAACAATTGGAGTAGAATCAACAGTTGAACTTACTTTGTACGCATGTCTGAACCAGGTCGTTCCCTTCTTACTGCTCACAAGTGCAACCCATTCGTTACAACTGCCGCACAGACCCTCCCACACATCTGGATTTCCATCCATGCGGCGAGATTCCTGGGGCTCTTGGAAGGGACTACCAGTTGCTGCGCTGATGCCGTGGGTGAAACTTTTATCGTACCAGAAGGCGCTGTTTTTCAACACCAACCAACGTCCTGGCTTGCAAATTCCACACCATCCCTCTCGCTTATTCCCATGACCACGAACCCATCTTGGTGTGTAGAGATCGCCATCGAAGCGGAGTTCCTGCTCGTGGGGAGTGAGATTTGGGTCAGATGGATTCATGTCCTCCGGCGGCGGAGGCACTTGTTCTTCGTGAAGTGATGCATAGAGATCTGGGGGGTCGCTAAGGTCCGTATAGTGAGCGTGTAAGGAGTGTGGGTCAGCATTGCTTTGCAACATCCGGAAAAGTCCATGTGAGAGAAGTGGAGGCGGCGTTTCGAATTGGTTTGGCTCATGGAAATTGTGCGAGGGCAGAAGCATGCTATTGCGATGAAATCCCGTATTGTTGGCCAACATGAAAGGATGTTGTTGGGTTTGAAGGTTCATGGTGTTCAAAGGTAGTTGGGCGTTCGGTAAAGTTGGAGAAGAATGTCTCGACGACATACGAGGTTGGTGGGGTGTAAAAACCTCGTGTCCTGAATGGTAGATGAAAGGTGATGGCCTCCGGCTAGGCATTGTTGCGCAGGATCCTGTAGACCATCTCTTGCTGCGCGTACTGACCATAGTATATGGTGCTGAGCGCATGCTCGGTCTAGGTGACGGAGAGGCACGGCCTCTGCTCTGCGTGCGAACAAGTTCGGAGCGGTTTTGAGGAGTCATTCTTGGTGAAGCGACAGGCGAGAGTTGAGTGGAGGACATCAGAGAGTTGCGGTTTGATGGTGGTGGATAATCTGAACTGAAGGAAGGAGCCTCTGAAAGTGTTGCCGCGAAGTCTTCATAGGAAGGCATTTCAGATAGGGCCCCAGTCGTCGACATGGTGAATGATGAGCCAGACATGCGACGAGAGCTGTATGAGTGATCCATGCTTATACGGTCACTTTCCATTCCAGGGCCGGGAAATCTCAAGTCCAAAATCGGAGCCTCGTCGGTTGAGAACGCCTGGCCGATGTTCATATCTCTCATATCGGTATCAAAGTGGTGTAATTCGAGTCCTTCGTCACCACACGTCTTGGTTTGCCAACCATCTGGATTCGAAGTCAGATGATAATTCACATCTTTGTTTTCCCTTTCGTTCCACATGAACTTACTCTCACCATTGGAAGTGTTTGGGTAGAACTCTTGTTGAACTGCGTATGTCTGAGGTAGTCCATCGTGGATTGGCTGTGTGGGCATGGTCGATGAGTCCCATGCGGGCAGTTGACCAAACTCCTCTGGCATACAATAGTTGAGTGGAAATGCCGACTCATGAATAGTTGCTGGTCGGGGCCGCGTTACTGGTGGGGTAGGTGAAGACCACATTCCCATCCCCTGTGGCTCTGACTTCATTGATAGTTCGTTAGGATTCATTGTAACTGAAGGAAAGGATCGAGGTGGATAGTCTCGTCTGAATTTGTTGTTTGGGTTGAATGTAAAGGAAGGTGTCTGAATCTGTTGGCGACTATGAATAGTGTAAGTACGCTAAGTATGCTAGACGAAATCCATATATGGAAACTCTTACAGTTGTGCCTGACTGGAGTTCTCCATGACGAGGTGTCGCCGGTCGTATAGTTATTATAATCCGGCCTGGATCAACGTCGTCAGCGATGATGAGTCTAAGACTTTCGGAAGAAGATGGATGGCAAAACGGCAGAGGAGGAGGCCCCACTAACTGGGATATGTGGACTTTTCAAAAGGCTGTGAAAGAAGGTTGTAACATACCAGACGTGGTAATATCGGAGGATATGTAACTCAATATGTTCTACTCTACTGGACTACGGAGTAGGGCTGCTCGGAGGTGTAAGGAATGGGTAGAGTTTGTGTAGTGTTCCCGGTGAAACGAGATTGGGCAACGATGCCTCGCGATGAGGAAGTGGGTATACTTTGGAGTATCCTTAAGTGCTAGTAAGTGCTAAATCGGTGAACGGGCTGCGGGAAATGAGTGTTGAGAGTTGTACTATGCAAGAAGGAATACACAGAAACAAACTCGTTTGGTGATCGGCGAAGCCTGGCTTTGATGAAGAGGAGAGCCAGCTCCCAGTATATAGTCGAAGATAAAGCGAGATTAAAATGACCGTAAAGGAATGACTGGGCAAATAGAATAGGAAGAGTTGCGATTGGGACGACGCGGAAAAGGTCGAAGAGGGGCAGTGCAGACACCCTAGAGGTATAAGAAAAGAAGAGCGTCGTTAACAGCCCTGTCCGGGTTCGGGATATCCCTCGACTACCCATGCTCGAGAACCAAGCCCAAAGTTGCCAAACCACACCAAACTGGAGCGGTGGTTGAGATCAGAAAAGACCAGGAGTCTGCGCTTGGCGAGCCATCAGGGGGCAGGCTGCAGACAGGCGAGGGCGAGAGCGAGGGGGCCGAGGGGGCTCCGCTCTGCAGAGTCCGTGTGGAGCTGCAATCCACTGTTGCTGGACCCTCCGCTGCACCTGCTGCAGCTTGCCCAGGGCCTATTTATTGGGGCTGCTGACTTTGGCAAAAAGCGGATTCTGTGGTGTTGTGGTGATGGCCATGGCCGTGGCCGAGGCGAGAGTCGACTTAGTCGAGGACTAACAAAGTATTTCTTGCCCTAGCCCCCTCTCCTCCGGCGCCGGCGGCTCCTTGAGGCTTCAAAGATACCGACAAGTTGGTATTCAAAGTTCACAGCTACTCACAGCAGCAGCAGCACTCAGGATAAGTTCCGTCTCCGTCTCCGTCTCCGTCTCCATCTCTACCTACCGTATCTCTACACCCCCTCCGGACACCGGTCGCTCATCGAGGTGTGAAGGAGGTGGCTGGTCTGTCTCATCCGACGCCACGACCTACTTCCTCGGTATATCCAACTTTGATCTGGGGTAAGCCAGGCTGGGAAGTATATGGTACACCAGGTCCACCTCTTGGGGAACGACGCAACACTGCAAACTTACAGCACCACCACCAAACCGCCCGAACTGTCAGCGGCCGTTGAATTGCCATTAAGACTTTACGCCATGGTTGTCCTCTACCCGGCCTCGGTAGCGAGGGAAATCGAGGGACATCTGCACCAGCCCAGCCAGAACTTGGAACGTCTGGGAGTGACCAAGGAGTTCCTCAAGTAACCTGACGTCTATCAGGCCAACCAGGTGGGTCAAGACACTTGGTTGTCGGCGACTCTGAGGGCCGGTCTCGACAGCGGTCACGACGGTGTGATTTTGATCCGTGTCCACTGAGGTGGGCAATCAGGGATTGCGTTTGGTCGCAAGATCTGGAGCTGTTTGAGGATCGTCCACACGGTCAGGGTATAGTCGACGCTCATGGGCCACCCCGCCTATGGCGACTTGTACAACAACGCATATCAGCCCTAATATAATTATGAACGTGGAGCATGCTGGTGAGAATGTGGAGGTGCTGCTCGACGGCATCTGTGGCATCGAAGAACACGCCCCAATGCGTATGAATTCTTCTTCGTGGATGACGATTGGGTCATCGCTGGGAACCTCGGACTGCACGCATCAAGAAGGATGCTTTTGCAGCCTCTGCAATGTGAGGTCTGCAGGCAGCTGTTGGGCAAGCTGGTGAACTGGTGGGTTCTTTTGCAAGTGAAAGTTTCATGTTGGCTGTGACGATGTAAGAATCGGTCGTTAATTGAGTGAGAGCGACGGCGTTGCTATGGTGGCTGGAGCAGTGGATAATGTTGGATAGGGTGAGAGTGGGTTGTTGGTGTGTGGTTCAGGGGTCAAGGGTCGTAAGCGAGTGTTTGAGGGGAGCAGGGAATCGTGCTTCTGAAACAACGCAGAGCGGGGGACATCTACCGTGGAAATAGCTTTGGGTCTAACTCGATTGATCAGACTGTACGCGTCTTAATTTGGTAACGCCGCGACTTTTGGCGCCACACCTTGCCCAACTAAGCTTCCTAGGTTTTTTCTCAAGGAAACCATCGCAAAAATAGGTTAGACATCCAAAACTAAAAGATTTAAGGGTTCTCAAGACTTGAAATATATTTATATACTTTTAAAAAGTAAAAGTATAAAAAGTAACAGACGAATTTCAGAAAGACTTACTTGGCACTAAAAATAAAGATTAGATCTTTATTAAGATCTCGCAAAGGCAGGAGCGGATTATTAATCTATTTACTACCTAGAGGTTGTGTTCGGTTCCTCGCACATATAGAGTAGTCATCATCATATAGCTGTCCTAATATATCGTACAACGTCGCTCCCTGTTAGCAACTTGAGATAGAGTGGTATCACTGAACTAAGCACACATACAATACAGACACCGAGGTGATTTACTCGAAAGAAACGTTCATATCCTGCTGCTTTTCCGTCCCGAACCCGAAATACTGTTTTCCGCTTCGACCTAATCGTCGGAGGCCTCCTTTGATCCAACCCTCAACTTCCTCCTCATGCACAACAATGGACTTAGATATGTCTTCATCTTCAACTGATAATTTGAATCTTCGCATCCGAGACGCAATTCTTGGGTCGAGGATTACTGGTTCTAACCATGTACGTTCTCGGTCATCTTCTTTTCTGATGCGAACGCTCTTATGCCATTCTTTCTCCTCTTCGAAAAGGCTGTTCTGCTGCTCAGCTGACTGAGCGACGTCAATGGCTTGGGTTGAAGAGGGACTGGCATCATCTGCTATGAAAGCCGTAGGAGGCTCTGGAGCCGAGGTAGTGCTATAGGGTCGGCAGTTGGCGAGAACAATTGCGGCTGTCTCGCGGCCCACTGAATCGGCTAAATCACGTCGATTCAGGAAACGATAAATTCGTCTAGGTGTGTTGAGAAAACCAAGAATATGGGGAAAGGTAATTGGTGTTGAAGGATCAAATTGAGCAGGAAGTCCAGACGGTGTAGGCGCGGATGAGTAATCTGCTACTGGTATAAACGGTGGAGGCTTCTTTGGCTTCTCGTCCCCTTTGGGTGCTTCTTCCGGAACGAGTGCTGGCTTTTCTTCTCCTGAAGTAGACGTGTCGTGAATCACGGTAGACGAATCGTCAGGGCTCGCGATGCTGTCTACAGATACAGGAGAGGGTGCCGTTTGTTGTTCAATTGTCGCTTCTGGGGTTTTTTCTTCCAGGGGGTTTACTGGTTCCGTCAAAGGCCCTAACCACCCTTCATGAAGACCCCTCACATACTCCTTCCACGTATGCCTCCCAATGACAATGTCTCCCCGCGGCCCTTCAAACTCCTGGATCCCATTTTTGCGCCGTATCTGCGTAATGACATCCTCTTCTCCTCTTTGGTCCGGCGGTGTTCTCGAATTCCGAATTCTTTCAGCAAAATCCGCCCGAATATCACCCTCCTTCCTGCCCTGTACAAACTCCCAATCCAAGCCCGAAGCCACTAGAATTGGCTTCACATATAATTTGAAATGTTCCTGCGCCGACCGTAGTCCATCGTTTGGCGGCGCTTCCAAGAACACTGTGAGCTTACGTGGCATATCCCGGGAATCCAAAGGTTCATCGGCGAGGTGTTCTACAAGTCTGCACCATTTTCTTTGCACCCGTCTTGTTTCTCTCTTGTCGTAGATGACTGCCGCCGTGAATGATCCGGTGAGGGTGAGGAATATAGTCCAGTTTCGGGATGGGAGTTTTGGTCGAAAGTTTTCTCCGAGTCCCATGTATTTGTATATCGGATTCGGCTTTGGGAGAGGCTTGACGTCTGGCTTAATTTCTGGTTTGGAGACAGATGCGGATGTGGATGCAGCAGGCTTCTGAGGTCTCGATTAGCTAGCTATACCATTGCGATGAAATGACGTGGACATCAAAGATCATATACCTCTGCTTGAGCTCCGGAGTCTGCCATTATTGCTTGCACCCTGGGTATCCAACGCTGAAAAATACCGTGCACGTATTATATGCACATAGGTACAATATATTGCAGCTCGTAGCCACCCCTCTTGCAACTTCTGCTTCTGCGTCTGCTTCTGCTCAACGATTGTCGTCGCTGTTCACCTGTTCTGGACCTCTCGCGACCTTTCAGCCAAACTTTTGTTCCTTGGCGTTGAAGCTACCGAATCGTCCGATATATTAATCCGTGCCGCCGCCAGCCGACTGTCATGTGACGAAGTAAATAATTGGAACATTCAAGGTTGGGTTACTTACTCGACTTTTGGATTATTTAATAGAAGAGACCCGAATAGTAGTTTATAATCGATTTAAAGATACAGAATATAAGAGTGACACCATTTCCATTTCTTCTTACTAATTTAAACAGCATTACTAAACCTAAGTATCTCGAAACTAGAAAGTGTTTTCGTCTACCTCCACTAGATCTAGTGACCCTTAGCCTACCTAGCAGAAGGCTGTACTAGTGGGCTGTAGCCCAGGCTCCTAGTGGACAAGAAAAATTACAGAGACTTCTTTTATCTTAGCCTAACTTGACTAATAAATATACTATTATATTATTTATTTGAAATAATTAAAAATAATTTATCGAAAACGATAGTGCAATAAAGGTAATTGTTCTAGATATTTCAAAAATTTAGTAATTAGAATTAACTTACGCTTATAGTTAAGTAATTAATCTCTGTCACTTTTCTTGTCTACCGGGAGCTAGTTAGTAGTCTAGGCTAAGCGAGCCGTCCGATGGTATTCCACGCATTCGCACCACAGGAGTCGGAAAAAATAGCCGTGCAGTAGTGCAGAACCTGCAGGTGTCAAGGTCGTGGTCGCGGGTGGGTTTGTGGAAGGCAGGCCAGGTGTGGAAGATGTGGAAGCTTGGAAGTTTCAGAATTAAAGCTTGGCCGACTCAGCTGGTGTCACCAACCAACAGGAAGTTCTGGAAGAGGAAAAGAGAGTAGCCGGCAAGCATAAAAGCTTTCTTATCTGATTGAATGGCTGCATGCTCCCATGCCGCATTGATTGCCGTACAGCAAGTACTTAGTATGTAAATTTACAATACACTGCAGTACAGTACAGTATGCAGGTGCGATATCCAGAGCCCAGAACACCAACAACATATGAAAAGTCTACTCCGTATCTATTCATGATCAGCACCTTCAAACCACTCGCTCACATTCATATGAAGTAAATCTTCGTCTCAGAGTCGGAGTCTCAAAAGCTTTGTCCGTGCTATACGATAATACGACAAAATAGATAGTCGTCATTGCCGAACAAGGAGATACGGTACGGAATCTAAACGATATCCATAAGGACATCCGTATAATCTCTCTTTTTAGACCTCTCTCTCAAATCCACACATCCACTAACCCCCACACAACGTCTAGGCCGGTTCCCGCTCAGTGCTGACATCTCCAACGTCAAAATCGACGTCAGGTCACTCGGGTAACCCGACATGGTTCGGATCAGTCATCAGACTGCGTTGTGGTCTGCTTCCTGAATGGCCCTTCTCCGTGCTCTACCCACCTCAACCTAAACGGGGGACTACCCAGGCCCACCCACACCCATCTTACCGAAAGTCCTCCGTCGTAAATCGTGTCTTGTTGGAATTAGGGTGGCTGGCGTCAATGGGAAACCGAGGAGCCGAAATGTATACAAGTTTTGGTACGAGTTTGATGCACTCGACAATCTGCTTCGAACGCATGAGAACGTAAAACTTTCCTACACAATTTCAGATAGATATTTGGTCCTACGGAACAAGCATCTGCAGCAGTACGGCACTGTGGTTACACACCAAGCCCCAAAGCTACCGCTGCCTCTCCCACGCTCCCGGGGTGACGGTAGACTATTTTTGGCCGCTTGCAGAACGGACGAGGGGAGGGGGAGGGGTTGGAGAGGTATTGAAGAGTTCGGACGATGACGATGATCCACAACAACCCCTCGCAGTTTCCATAAGTTCCATAACACTGCAAATTGAAAAGAGATTACAACCCCAAACCAGATCAGCTTATCCCACGTCGATTCCGGGTTCTCGTAACATCAGGGCTACCAGCTGGTCCAAGTTACTCAGCCAAAACCCGATGAAGAAGTACGGTGTGCTCAATACGTGATATCATGGTTTCTTCAACTGATAAGGAAGGTCATTTTGTGGGGGATGCTCGGTTAGCGGGTTCCATCAAATGGTACCTGGAAGCTTTGCATGAACAACGAAGCTCAATCCGGACGAGGTCATTGCCTGTTTGGAGGCATCATGATCAATAATAGATACTGATATTAAATCTATTTACCAATGAAGTCTCGTTCGTTGAAAAATCATTATTGTCAATCGATTCCACGCGGTCAAAGCGTGTGTTCCTGACCACGGCTAGCATCGACCGTGGATTTTTGCCATCAACCAGGGATTTTCTCATCTCATTGTGAATCATGTTTCTCCAATGACGCCAGATCGCTCAAAAGGTAGGGTCATTATTCATGCAAAAACATAAAGTCTTCGGATGAAAGGCAAACATGTTCTCGCTTTGACAAACTTCTTCTTTTCTCTTGATGGGGAAGCTGAATCTATTTTGAGTACCTGCCCCTCAAATTTGCCTTGCTCACCAAGTCACCTGGGAACTCTACCGAACCCATCAGGCACCCGAATATTCTCACGCTCAATATAGTACATTCCCCAAGAAGCAATTATCGAATGTTTCCAGAAGGCAGAAGGAATCCTTCTTGTTCCTTGTTAATGGATCGCCACACACTAGCCTCTGTCTCCGCGATCTTCGCACCAGCCTGCTGGGCCATTTTACCCAGCGCATTCCACACCCCTTCTCCCTGCTCTCCTATCCCTTCGGAGTTTTCTAGTGATGCATTGGCGGCTTCCATGGCACGTCTCTGTTCGCTTGTGAGGTCCGAAGCATAGACATTTTGTTGGTATCCTGGTGGATGCTCTAAACTGCGGCGGGAAGCGCCGTCTCCGGAAGAGGAGAATTGAACAGGATAAGAAGATGACGCATTTTGCGTTGTCGAGGTGGAGCTCCGTGGTTGTTGTCCTCCAAAAGGCGCGGTTGGAGGAGGGATAGACATCTGATGGGGGTATGGTTGGGGCATGGATGCAGGCTGCGGAGGAGCGGGTGTTTGCTGGGCTTGGTAACTCTCGCCTGCCTTTGGAGGGGGAGGTATGCTCTTCTTCACGGGGGTTGGAAAAGCACCTGGTTGTGGCGGTGGAGGGCCAGAACTCTCACCTTGAGTTGTTGGAGTTGGCTGTAGAGGGGCATACCTCTGAGTAGCTGAGACCATGGGTGCGGGGAAAGCAGCGATGCCCGGCTTAGCCAGTGAGTAAGATGAAGATGAAGCTTTTGATGCTGATGTCAAAGTAGGATTGAGATGTGACTGCGTAGGCACGGTGAAGGGATCTTCTGATGGATTTTGGGCTTGAGACGGCAATGCAGTTGTTTGTGGGGTAACTCCAGACGGCTTTTTGGCCGCACTTATTGGTGAGGAGGTGTATACCGGTATACCTGACATGGTGTTGAAGAGGTTCAGGGCGAACGAAGGGGTTTGAGGGATGAGAGAGGATTTTGATGCCAGAACAAGTAGTGGCGACCTGTTTCGAGTAGGCTGATATTGGCCTATTGGGGGGCCGCTTATATGAAGATAAGACTGATCCTGGGACGCTTCTGGTATCTCGCCTTTGATGAAGCTTTGGCTTATGTAGGCCGATTACTTTCAAGTTCAGACTCCTACTGCTTAGCGTTTGAGAAGCGCAACTCGTCTTGCCGCTCTGAATTTGATATTGATGATGTAGAGTGATAGGACGAGATTATTTGCTGATGTTGGTTTGGGGGCTGAAGCGTTCTATTCTCACAGGTAGAAGGAAGACGATGTTGTTCTTTACATTATGGTGTGAATGTCTTACATTCCTTCCCTTCCTTAGCCGCCGGGGCTGAAAGAGCCTCTCAAGTGCGGATGACGTAGCTACAGTCTCAAGGAATAATCACCTGATTGGCCCTGAATGTGTAACCACAAAACACAAAGAGATATTCCATTGATATCAATTCACTCATGTTGTACTGCTTCAAGTAAGTTATTGAGTTTGATACTGAATAACCTTCTTGCTTGGAAATCCGACCATACAATGTCACCAATTTCTACCTTTCGCAGGTCCCTCCTCTAAATAATAAGCAGATCCAATAAAGAGAATTATATTAAGAAGAACCGATATTATGACCAAGAAATCCTCTCCTCAGTCTCTTCGTGGTAAGCGTCCATAAAATAGAAACAAAATTGAATTTCCTATAGAATCTTATTTTTACGCCCTAAAACTGCAGTCTACTACAGGTATGGGAGTTCTCAGCAAATATTCCTCAGGTGTCATTCATTACTAACTTAACTCTTTTTAGTAGTACGAGAAGAGTAAGGGGGTTTGTTACCTTGGTATAAAATTAGTCAATCATTGGTTATTACCAACAGCGTTAGAAATGATTAAATTTGATTTGATTAACAGTACTTAATTAAATTAAATCAGATTCAAATATCGATTAATCAAATCAAATCGCCAAGTAATCGGATTAATTCAGATTAATTCAGATTAATACGGAGTCCGATCGGTCCGAGACTCGGGGTAGAGTCCTAGGCCTCGGGGAGGAGTCCGGGGTAGTCCGACCTCCCTATATAATATATAAGTAGAGCTTATAAAGCTTTTATATAATAAGACTCTTTCCTTACTTTAGTAGAAGGCTTATAGTACTAATTCTTTGTTATAACTAGTATAGGGGGTTACGTGGAGTTATATAACCTACTTTATAATATCTTATAGAATAGGAATATAATAATATAAGAGACTCTAAAGGCTATACTAGTAATAAACCTTAAAAGCTAGGGGTGTTTCGTAAACAAGGACAAGGATATACTAATAAAAGACGCGTTATTCTTTATACTTTAGTTACTATTTATAGTACTATATATAGTAAAGGGTTTATAGTAAATAAGGAGGATATACTTACTTAGCTAGGGGGGATATATTATTTTTAATAGTATATCGTAGTTCCTTTATTGATACTACTACTTTATTATACGTTATATTTTAAAGCTCTTTTTCGTCCTACCTACGATTCCCTCGCTAGAGGGCTCGCCTTATGATTTAGTAGGGTTTTAGACCTAGTTTTAGTTCTTTTATACCCCTAAAAGGGGTATAGGCCGAGAGTACTTATTAACTTACTTTCTATAAATCAAGCCTTCTGATTAGCTAGATATACTAGCCGGAATTGGAAGTGGTTCTTGTACATAGGCAAGTTATAAGTACTTAAAGCTAGCTAGCAAAATACAAATTAAAACAAACAATAAGCCTTTCTTTTTATACTTGCGATATGTGACGAGTGATAATAAATTAATTAATACTCTGATTAACCAAATCAGTTAATCAAATTAATTCAAGTAGACCTGTTAATCAAATTAATTCAATTCAAATCTGAATAATTCAGAGTATTAATTGATTAGTTGATTATTTTTTTCCAACGCTGATTACCAACTCTCTCATTACTATATAGGAGTTAGTATTAACTAACTCCTGGAGTTAGTATTAACTAACTCCTGGAGTTTCCGATACTTATTTATATACTGCAGTACTCATATTTTGATACTTTTTTATAGCTATCTATACGTCTAAACTTAGAGTAGCAAACTGCCTAAAAGGGACAGGAAAACATAGGAATTGCGATGGTGATGGGGGCAGAGGCAGTTTTATGCTAAATAAGTGTAAGATTGTCTATTAGTTAAGCAGAGGGAGACAAGCAGGTATAAATCTCCAGGTAGGAACTCACTGAGTCCGAGGGTACAAAAGAGGTAAAAGGAGGGAGAGGGAATACTTTAAAATATAGACGACATGCACGAGTATGTTAGAACTCCCGCAAAAGTCAAACCTAGCCTAGACACGAGACCGACGAAAGTACTTAGAAATCAACGTTCCTATACGCGGGATGAGTTATTTCCTATAAGGGTATCATGGAAAAAAAGGCCGTGGATGTTGAAGTAACAGCCAGGCAACAGAAGGGAAAATAGAAAGAAACTCTTGCGATTTCTACTTCCTAATGAAATCCGATCCGACCTTAGTACTTACAGGACTTGAAGGTCGATCCTAACTCGCTGGCACGCAGCAATAGACAACTCCATACCACCTAAACCAAACAGTTAGATGGTTAGCAACAAAGCAATCTACCATGCCAACTCCTTTGTAGATGTTTTTTTCACTTTCCAACCTTTTCTTTATCTTCTCTCAGGGACAAAGTAGCCCTTGGGGCGACAAGGCCTTTGTGAACACAGCCTTGAAAATAAACAATCCTAAACAATCCCTTCATCCGTCTACAAAAGGAACAACTGTCCTAGCACCAAAATCTCTCTCTATCGACTTCTACTTGCTCTCACCTTCACAACACTAACTGAACTGACAGCAATCTGAAATCTTTCTCAACAACAACAACAATCCAAATTTCCATCGACACCATGACGAACTTTTGCCTCATGCACCATTCTTTCCATTCCGACTGCCTTGCCTGCCTCGAGGCTTCGAACACAAACATAACAGGTAACATGGGGATTAGCGCTCAGTTCGCCATTGATCCAGCACTGATGAATCCTTTCGCTAACTTCGTACCACTGGCGCCAGCATCGACCGGCTTGTCCCTGAATTCATTTGCGAACTTCCCATTTGAAGTCAATAACAACACCTCGTTCGCTGGGTTCCCAAAGGTAAGTGTACCATTCGGGCCGCTATTCCAAGGAACCCAAGCATTCAATGCTTTCCCTCTTGGTGGTAATCGTATGGGACCTATCTCTCAACTAACGGCCCATCCTTCTCTAGCACCAACCGCAGCACCACGTTCATACCTCAACTTCCTCCGGCATCGAGCACAGAACCAAGCCCGAAAGCCTTTCATTCAGCGCTTGGCCAACTCTCAACGCTGTCCTTTGCCTTTCGACTTTGGCGCCGGGAATGAGGATTCCTATCCAGAGATATACGCTTTGGATAGGCTTGATATCGTGGGTGGTAGGAAACCTCAAAAGGCTCACAAGCTGCCTGAGAATCTACAGAACTCCCAGCGTCACCCTCTGCCTTTCCGCTTTGAAGAACCCGAGGATGAAGATTCTTACTCTGAAATGCTCGCCTTGGATGATCGCGAAGTCGTGAATATCAAGGGCGCCCGAAAGGGGGACAAGCTGGTCAACAAGCTATCAAAAGGGAAATTACTGCGTCAAGAGATCCCCGCCTCAATGAAAAAGGCTGGAATCAAGCGTAAGGCACCCATCGACAGCGGTTCCCGAACAGAAGAGCAGCACGCCTCACCCGCGAAGGTCCGTCGAATCAACGAAGAAGCCCCTCAAAGCTTTCAACCTCGACCTGTTACCCGCGTTGAGGCTCTGAAGAATTATGCCCCAATTGCACCGATGCAAAGGGCAACACCTCAGCCAGCTCGAGCACCGGCTCCAACTTCAAACCCAACTGCAAAGCCCATTTTTAAGCTTGCCCCAGGCAGAGGAAACGAGCGAGCACGCTTGGGAGTTGCAGAGGAGACCGTGAACGCTTTCCAGCCTTCTCGAAGCTTTCAAACTCAACCGCAACCTGCTGCCAGAGTTGGGCCTTTTGAACGTTGGGTCCCATTGGTACCAAAGCCAGCTTCAAAGCCAACTCCAGAGCCAACAAAGCCTATCCTCAAGCCAGTTGAGCCTTTTAAACGTTGGATCCCATTGGCACCAAAGCCAGCTCCAAAGCTAACAAAACCCATCCTCAAGCTCGCCCCCGTAACCATAGAACTCGACGTAAGCGAGTTCCCTACCTCCTTCCCCTTATCCTCCCCCTTATCCTCCCCATCCTCCCCACCCTACTCCCCCTCCCCCTCAGTCCCCTCCTCCTCCGGCTCCGAGCACCCACCAGGAGCACTACGCAGAGGGTCCTCCATCGGCTCCGATCCCTTCGCGGACTGGCATGGGGACGAGGAGATATTCTCTCAACCCCGAAGACTACGATCCTCGGCTACTCCTTCCGTCTCGCCCAAGAGTCAAGTGTCTCCGCGTCGACGACGTGCGAGAGTCTCTCGTAGCGTGTCGTCCACGAGACGATCAGCTCGCATTCGTACGGAGAGCCGGAAGAAGAGAGAGGCGTCGGGGGAGTTGGGGGGTGAGGCGAAGAAGGTGAAATGTTAGGGGGAGTGAATGGGCTTGGGGATGTGATTTGGTGAGGACTTGTTGGCGAAGCGTGTAGGTAAGACGGAAGGATGGTAGATAGAGGGTAATCGATGGGGTGTAGATAGGTACTTTGAAAGACACGAATTTCCTTTTTAGTCCTGGCGGTAGATAGAATAATAACCCCCCCTTTTTCTTTTCCCAAATTGATATCCAAACAACACACAACACGTGTGAGAACCTGCAAATTATAAGTATTAGTGAAGACCAAACCAACCAAGAATGGAACTGAACAGCTAGCTTACTTGAGTCATACCCACTAACTCAACCCACCCCTATAACCAAGCCATGCACCTCGACTGAGATATGGGGATGTAGATACAACCATGTCTTCCACATAATACCAAATGTACAGACTTCAGCGTATCAACAAAACTAATCAAATACTCAACTCTACTCGAGTAGTACTCAAGTTGAGTTGAATGATTATGATTAGGTGATTCCGTTGAGTTGAGTTGAGTAGTGAATTCGACTATTCGAATAGTACTTGAGTAGTTATAGATAACGTGACTATAATATAAGAAACTTGTCCTCAAATAGCATATGCCAAATACAGGGGCACTCGGCAACACGGACCCATTGGCACCGCCCGCCCGGAGTCGGCCTAGCGAGTCGGGCGCGCTACGGGGTAACGGGCCGACACTACTCGAGTAACTCATGAGTTAATCGAGTACTTGGCGAGTTGAGTTGAATAGCGATTTTCACTACTCGAGTTGAGTTGATTAGATGCTACTACTCAACTCAACTACTCGAATTTAATACGCTGTGTAAAGTACATCTTCTTTTGGACACGACAAAAGCGAGACATGTAGTGTAATACAAGAAAAGAACAAAAGAAACAACCAAACGACAAGAATCGTAGATAATAGTATCCACCTAATCCTCGTATTCAGTAGAATGACGCAAGTGACAAGACAAGATGAAATGGTTGTCTGATAAGCCAGCCAAATGAGACAATGGAAATATATATAAGTCTACAAACTCAAAGCACTTGCCATATTTCAAAATCCAGCATCGTTTCGAAGACAAAATAAGAAGGATTCTAATTCGATCCTCATATTTCTATGCCCCCCTGAACAAAGGGAAAGATTCTATGCGCGCTTTCGTAAATCACTATGCTAAACTCTCTAGGTTGTATCTGAAAAATCACGCTTTATCTACATCTACTTGACATGTCTCTCTTCCTTCTCACTCGGCGCTTGGAGAGTTTACCCGGCTGTCCTCATCCACAGCGCTTCCGTTAGCATCAGACATACCTGCTAACAGGCTCTCGACGAGCTTATTCATAAGTCCTTCCAGGAAATGAGTGCCTTTTGCCCTCAATAACTTTCACATCATGCATCCACCAAGATTCAACAAGTAAAGAACTTTCTCAACCTGACCTCTCTATAGACACCCGCTCCAGTCCCAACAATGAGCAGAACAGCGTTGAAGATAGCCATCATATAAAACGGCGCTCCAGGGGATAAAGTATCAAAAAGTGTGCCTCCCAACTTCGTAAGCAGTAAAATCGCCGCACCACCGGAAAGAGAATATACCCCCGCAATAGAGCCTTTTAAATGACTTCTCGATGGTGGCGTTTCTGGAGCTGCAACAAGAGGAGCAGTCTCCGAGGTCTGACTGAACGGATTCGGGGAACGAAGTTGAGAGGAGAGGTTGTAGCCACCTTCATCACCCAGAACACCGCGTCCTAAAAGTCCGAGACTGCAGACTATGGCTCCAATTTGACTGATTCCAATCATTGCAACAATAATGAAAACAGCTGGACTTCCGCCACGTCCCTCGATATTCTTGGGCTCGGGACTTACGAGTCTTGCAAATGCGATGTATCCAATTATTCCAAAGACACTCGCTACTAGCAGTGGAATATTAAAGCGACAATATCGATCAGAAAGGTAGCCAAATGCCGGAGCACAGAGAAGCGCAATCAGTTGGGAAATTCCCGTCAGTTCCGCGGAAAGGAGATACGCTGCTCGACATTCCTTTTTGAGTTCTGGCGAAGGGTCATTAGGTGACCCTTGACAGAATCCACTACGGATGAAGTAGGCGTTTATGTATAGTGGGATAAAGAGTGAGATGCCCACCGAGGAGGCTCGGGCAACGAATCCTCCAAGGTAGCCCAGTCCAATATGGGCGTCTTTGAAGCCCAGGACAGTAGAGTCGAATAAGAGGCGCCAATACGGGAGAAATGGCTCTCGAGATACTCTAGTTTCTTGTTCATTTTCCTGTGTCGACACTGGATCGTAATCCCGCGATGGCGACTTTCCAAGCAGTAACCTCCAGCCTTTCCCCTCTTCTCCTTGTAAACCCCGCAGTCCAAGGAAGCAAAGTACCGCTACAACCAAGGCCACAATCCCCACAACATAAAAGCTATGGGCAACGGCTTGTCCTTGAGTAATGCCATCGATATGCGAAAATCTGGCCGGCAATGGCAGAAAAACAGCCAAAGCTACGAGGGCCCCGCATCCAGTAAACACTCCCACCAGACCAGCCAAACGAGGAGGACTAGGTCCTGTTTTTGCTTCCGACTTTCTCTCGCCCCGAGTGTCTTCACCAGCCTGGTTCTGTCCACTAAATGTCGCAGGCGTGATGGTGAGGTCGGAACTCAAGGAATTCGAGATGCTGTGTCGCATGGGATTGCGTGGTACAAAATCTTCCGTATTTCCCTCATTCTCATGCGTCCGTTCATTCCCATTCCCATTCCCCGTCATCGAAGGTAGAATCGCAGTAACCATGGTAGCTCTAGAGTACATTAGCCAAGCTCGTCAACATACACAGCCAACAACCGAATGGATACTGATACTCACGTCGCAGCGCCACCCAAACTAAACAGGACTCTGGCCAGCAGAAGTTGGGGATAGACATTCCTCGCCTGCACAAAGATAAACAGCGCCAATCCAACAATTGTATATCCCAAAATGCAGACAATCCTCACACCCAATCGATCCGAGAGTATCCCCCATAGCGGACAGGCAAACAGCGCAACTAGCTCATCCACAAAGCCTAAGGTGCCGACCAAATCTCCAACTCCATCTTTGACTCCTATCAGATCGGTAATGACAAACGACACGCTGCTATTCAGGAACACGAGGAAGGATATGGAAAATAAGCAAACGGCTCCGAGGTACGCGCAAGCTTGGACGGTGGTGGTGGAGGAGGCGAACGGGAGGTATCGAGATACGAGAGACGAGGACATGTTGGAAGTCTCGTGTTGGAGGTTGGTGATGGCCTGAGGGCAGGAATAGGTATCAATTGACGTTGTTGATCATGCTTTGAAGGTGTAACCAAAGCTGTGTCTTCTTACTGGACGTCGTGCTGAGTGTTGACCCATGATGCTAAGCTGATGAGGTTGTGTCCGCCCGCAAAACGCGGCCATACCGGTAGAGTAAGTAACCGAGGTCCGTCCTGGAAGGAGCTTGGGCTTTCTGAATGTCTCTGCCAAATATCATATGTAATATATATAAAGAACTTTCTGAATATTTCATTGTACTAAATAAGGTTTTATATATATTACTTTATTTCTATAGAAGAAAAGCGAAATTATTGGTAACACCGGGGGTTATTAGAAATCTGTACGTAGCCCTAGATATTAGCCGAAAATATACTAAAAACGCTCTACTTTACTAAATTATAATAAATTAAAGAATAATCTATATATTCTATAATCAAAGACTTATTATAAGATAGATAATAGCTCTAACTTATACTATTTAGAATTCTAATAAAAGAGTAACCTCTTTTATATTATAAATATTGTGACCGTGTGGAGTGAACCACTGCTTGCTGTGATGAATACTGAGTCAAACCGGAAACTGCTATATTGAACGAACAACTAAGTGAGAGAAGAAGAGAGTTCCAGAGGAACGAGAGCCTAAATACAGCAGTCCAGTAGCACGCACGGGCCATGCTACACGTGATCCGCCCCCAGTTTCTCCAACTCCGTAACAAATATAGTAGATTTACTAGAGGTTTTACTAGAAGAAAACTTTTTATTAGAATATTACTTAGAATATTATATTTTAAAGGAAGTTTTCACGTATACGATTTATTTGTATACTATAAAGAACCTATATAGAAAGTATTATATACTCTTCTTGTGACGACACGTACGATATGTTGCTCAAGGAGCGTCCAAGGTGTAGGTTATGGAATCGTAGAACTGTCTATTCGAAGATTCTAAGCTAAGGAGAGAAGAGAAGGAAGGACAGAAGCTCAAGAGCCAGATGTAACGAATACTCAAACTGGCTAACTAAACTTGGCTGGGTGTTCGCTGGTTGGTATGCTATGATAAGAAGAAGACTATCGGGTTGTTCACTTGGAAGTGAACTCGTTACTTGTATCAAAGATGTCAAACTAATATGATAAGATTGATAACTAAGTTGAGCACGAAGCTCCTATCTAATGGCAGACGTGCCAGTATTATATAGAACCTTCGTTCTCGCGGATCAGTGCTCATCGCCCTGATCGATTCCGATTCCTCAGAGGTCGTCAGTCCGACCACCTCTGATGCCCATTAATCACGTGACAGTAACTAAAGGAAATCCTTGGATCGTCTAGCTAGCCTAGTCGATCCCTATTTGCTATAAGAGCTATGATAGTGCTTAACCTGTCAGGGCGCCGCCTGGTCTTCACTCATCACGTGCGTGCACATGATTCGTGACACCAGAGGCTCTTAAATACACGAGGTGGCGCCAAGGGCCATGCCTTAGCCGAGTCTCAGCCAGGGGCTCGTTTGACGCATGGTGGCCGCCGGGTTCCAGCCAGGGCTGGTCTGTAGCGTGGTGGCGTTGAGAACCGTCACACTTCTAGTATAAAGTTACTAAGTTATAAGGTTATAAAAATACTATTTTTAGTATTTTTTTTAACTAAATCTAAGACTATATAGAATTCTAATAACCTCTAATAGTAATAAATAGTTATCTTTTTATTTCTAAATTAATAAGAGTACTCGCTTTATAAGCTATATTCGTTTATTTATATTTATAGTAATATTTATAACTTATATTAAAAATATAATTTTTAGAAATACTAAAAAAGTCTAAATAGTTCTATTATTTTAATCTAAATATATATCTCTTTAAATATGATATAATAATAACGTATCTAAATAATGATATTAGTATTAGAAAATAATTATAATATACTAGGACTTAAAGTACTAACTTAATTAGTTTATATAATATTAGAATACTTTATACTAGAAATAATTAAGTAAATCTACCTTAAACTTCGAGAGTAATAAAGTGTAACGAATACTCAAACTGGCTAACTAAACTTGGCTGGGTGTTCGCTGGTTGGTATGCTATGATAAGAAGAAGACTATCGGGTTGTTCACTTGGAAGTGAACTCGTTACTTGTATCAAAGATGTCAAAC